CTAATGAAGGGTGTACTCGCATAGACTGCACGCTGGCATCGGCCGGGCGGGTGGATTTTGTGCCGTACCAGCTCGCTGAATTTATGATAATGCCGCGCTATTATAGGAATAATATTCAATAATTAGTCGTGTTCCTAATAAATGTCGAAGAAACGGAATTTTTATGTTGTTGTACGGTATTTGTAGAGGGTGCATAAATTAACTGATTGTGATCTATTGTGATAAATAAGGGATGCATCAAGTGCATCTCAAGATGGTATACATATACAGGGTGGATCAATGAAGTTCAATCAACAATCTTCTTCATATTCATTTTCTCGATAATTTTTGAGTTACATCACGATAAACTCAACCTGTATAATTGGAGAGAAAACATCTTTGTCGAAGCAGCTTCTTCCGACTTTTACTCGTTTAGTACATACATAAATTATTCTCATTCTAAACTTAACCTTGGAGACTTCGCCTCAAAGCAATACGCATTTACTTAATTGATTTCTTTCCTGAAACTTTCACTTGAAAAGTTGATTTTTTAACCGAAAATTCGAGCCGAACCCATCAAATCTCTAGTTTCTCTTCCGAATTTTAAAGACAGCTCACTAAAGGTAATTTTCGTGATCTCATCGAAAGTCCACGCCGTTATTTCCATTGAAGTCACGATAACTTTATTTTGCGGTTTGCAATTAGCCGCATCGAATTAAGAATATGTTAATAATATAATCGATGAATTAATTTAACGTTTTTTTCACCCGATCCATCGGACTATATTAACAACAACAACGTTAAATATTACACTTGACTGGCGAATAGGAGACGAGAAGCAGAGGAAAAAGGAAGAAAAGAACAAACACCGGGCATGTTATGTATATGTGTGACGCTTCACTTGCTAGATAAGGTTATGTTTATGAGATAAAGTGGCAGGTAAAATGGCTGGTGGTCGAGGATAGTGACCCTAAAAGCACACCATAACAGAAATAGTTGGATCCGTTTGAAAAAATGCATTTTTATACAGCTAAAATTCACACATACAGAGTGCTTTCATAAACTCCTTATACAAGACTTTAAGAAGGATCTGTATTTTAATAGTAATCAATTAACATCTTATACAGTGCATTCGTGTAGTTTTTTACGCAAAGAAGACTGTAATATGGTTGAATTTAATAAGAGTAAAATCAGTATTCATCTCGAATTCCTTAATGAAAATAACTACTTATTAGAACGGTAGTCCGTTTACAATCGAACGGTTAACATCTCGCTAACAGGCAAAATAGGCTCGAAAATTATGAGGAACTCGTTCGATGGAAGCCGAGCCGGTACTAATCCGAGATTGAGAGGATGGTAAAAAAAATAACGCATCGAAGCATTCCGTAGATCCGTCAAGAACGATCACCGTCATCATCATCATCATCGTCATCGTTATTATCTTCTCCTAGCTCGGGATATGTGCTGGTCGCGGTCACTGCGATGGCCCCCGGCAAGGATTTTAAATCCCTAATTCGAATTCTTTTCTTGTTATTCCTCTGCTGTATCTGATAGAATTACATTGTCGAGGGACGAGCCGATTGCACTGGGTTTTAGTTCTTTTTTTAAACAAGTTTTAAGAATTTGTAATATAGATTTTGTTTTTATGCAAATCGTATGAATTGTATAGTATTTTGGAAATATTCGAGCCAAATCGGTTTCTATCGGTTCGGATTTATAACAATTTCTATAGAGTTGTTAAAGGGAGATTTTTGAAAAATTTTGTCATGAATTTTCGGAATTACTTATACAATTTTAATGATTTTAGATCGGTTTTTAATGATATTAGATGGCTTCTTCACGAGTTTTGTATTATTAAGTGCAAATGGTTGATTAGAATGCAAGTTCAACGGTAGAATTAGAGATTTTAGAGAAACCGATATATTTGCTTTAATTCAAATTTGTGGTTATACCTATACAAAAATATATTTATTTGGTACCTAATTGTAAGGCAATATTGCACGATCCTTTAATACAAATAAAAATTAATTGCCTTTTACTCAATCTATCTATGCTTTAGATAAAGCAATTTTGTACTAATTGTCAGTCACTTTTGTATTAGATTAGATAAGTGTATCGCTGGCAATAATTGAGACGACCTATATAATTTTAGAACGAGTGATAATGCCCGAGAGTTCAAAAAATACATAAATTTTTTTCGACCTGCTTTAAAACAAACTGGATTTACTTCCGTAAATAAGGCGAATTAAACATTTATCGCGCTTTGTGTTATTTAATTTGTTATTAATACATTAAATTCGTTATTTTTGGTGTCAATTAAGTCGAGCAAAAGGCGTGTATATTTAAATTTTCTAAACGATTTAGGCATTAAAACGAATTCCCAAAGTAATAAACTGCTCGACATTAATCGATGAGAAACATTTTATTGCTTCACTTGAATATCATTACTTAAAAATTTGGGCAGTTTTACTTGGAAGATTCGCTCGATGGATGTAAAATAAGCAGACCTCAGTCAACTGTGTTACACGATACACGATATCCTGTGAAAAATGTAGAAGATAACTCCAAAAATGTGTGGTTTGGATCACTTTTTATGACACGTTGCTTTTCTCACATGATTATTACATCCTTGTAAACTTCCTTGTAATCTGGAGAAGGGAAGGAACTGCGTGCAGGTAATCGAATTAATTGGGTAACAATCGATATAAAAAAGATCTCTTGTAAAAACAATACTGAATCATGAATGAAAAACAAACCCAATGAAGCAGTGTTAGTTGCGATAATAGCGATTCTACACACCTGCGATTGTACGGATATACAATTTGTTTAAGTAATTATTCAACAAGGTTAGGCCGAATTAGGCATCAGGTGAACAATAGGTTCGCTCATTTGCAGTTTTCTCTAGGTATTGAGATCACGAAAAATAATGGAATTTTCTAAATTAAAAAAAGTAAGAGCAAATGCACCGAAATAATACTCGGTGCTTTTAATTTATGGATAAAATACATTTATGTTGTGAAATGCGATAAAGAGACAAGTGCCCTTTAATATTCCCTCCTGGATACGCCCATGTGTAAGCTTATCAATTTCACTTCAGCAACTGTTGAAATTGTTACGATAAAAAAGTCAGAATGACTCATAAATGCGACCGCAAATGTTATTGTTTACCTTTTAATTTACGATTTCTTTAGTGTAAAGGAAATCCTATTCACAATTTTTAAATTCCAATAGAATTCAACTTGTAGGTAGGCAACACACTATACACTTCTATGCGCTGTGCTTACCGCATGCGTTCTGGGTTGCCTACACACTAGGTGACTATTTCTGCGTTTAGAAATACATAATAGGGATAGAATAAAATGAGAATAATAATTAAAATACAGAACGAATAATAAATAAATCGTAGAAGCGAGTATAAAAGATCCTCTTTGAATAACCGTTCATTATATTACACCTACACTTATACTTATTCAACAGCTTCTTTACCTTTACAATCATTTTCAATTTTCGACGACAAAACGAAGATTTTGAAGAGATTGTTTTTCAGCTCTGCGAACAAAACAATCCAGGCGGCGTATTGAGTTTCTAATCCTCGAGTGGGAACGATGTAAATCTGTATTATTGTTTGGAAATTGAAATAACAGGGGACTTCTACGAGCGCGTTTTTCATCTCGACTGACGAGCCCATTGTCTAGCATTTCAAAAAAGAGTCTTTTTAGATCTCGTTACGGATGAATAGAAATTTACACTATGCTTTGACAGGACCATACATCAGGATCGCTTCTGCAGAATTATTAATCCCGAGGTTGTCCACTAAAATAACACCAAAAATTGCAACAAAAATCGACTCTTACATACTTTTAAGGCACGTATTAAAAGTATACTGCACGAATGCGAAGTTTGCACTCTAGGAAAATAATAAATGAGTATGATAGAAGATAGAAGCGTGGAAAAAAAATTACTTAATTGGGGTAGAAGAACTAACCAAGAGTGAAGGTGGTCTATAGTATATGTCTTTATGACATGTCTATAGTATAGTAGAATGAACACTATTAGCAGAAGGACCGTGCAGAGAGTACTATATAGGGAAAGGAAGTAGTGAGGAAGAATAGAAGAGGAAGGCCCAGGGAAAGATGGTTAAAAAAAAGGTGGAGAAAGATCTGCAGAGTTTGGGAATAATTAACTGGAAAAGTAAAGCCAAAAACCAAAGAGCCAAACAAGTCCTGGGTCCACTAGATCTGTAGGGCTAAATATTGGGACACCCCGTACAATAATCTCCCATATCGAATTGTGAATTTTTTAAGGCTGCTCTTCTATATTTTGCATATTTTATCATTCGTTTTGCGACGACATTAAGTACAATTACCGATATTATATTGGCGCGCATACGTGTTTAAAATGGGCCGTAACTTGCATATAATCAATGTTCGCCGTATGCACTCATTCTGCATACAATGAGACGATCGAATCGCTTTAAGTCGAGTTTTGATTCCTGCGATTGTCGTCGCGAATTGTTATGTTAACAATGCGGGATTGTTCGTTACTTGAAATTCCGAAAAAAATGATTAATTGCACAAATTGAAAGGACAGGAACATGACAATTCACTGGAATTAGTTAACGTGCAATTAACTAATGGTTCGAGTTGTCTTTGGAAAATTAATGTAAGACAAATAGGTGTGCGTTTTAATTGCTTTTCATAGAAATGTTTTAAAATACATAATTTTCTACAGATAATAATCGATAATTACTTGGCGTTTTGAATGAAATAGCTTATATATTTTGGCGTTTTTGGATGCTAAAATTAATTTTCATATCTTAACTAATTGTAATTTCTGAAATGATCTTATCTATATTTTACAACATCACCTTGTTACTTCAGACTTGAAATCGTTTGATTGAATTTTTGAACCCTCTACATGGTAATTTTCGAGTTGTCTCGAAAATTACGGAGCGGTCCTCGTACGGCGTACGATTTATTAGAAAACGCCGTTCCCACCATATCAGTAGGAAACGCAAGAGTGCTCGTCCACCTGACTATCCTACTGTCAATTCACAATTCAGTTCGCTTTGGTGCAGCCGATGAACGTGCGTGTGGTACGTTCGTAAAAATCGAGAAAAGTGCGCGTTTTTTCGAAATTACCGCGATTATTTCGGAATTTGAAGTACCGCGAAATTTGGGTGGTTGTTTAGTGACTCTATCGGATTCTATAAGTGGAAAATCAAAAGCGAAACGTGTACAATTGAGGTTGGAATATTATTAATTATTAGATAAAATAATTAATTATTTTTGATGCATGAGTATTTGTTATTATTTGGTGTTATCATAAGCAATTTTCCGACGATTTCAGCATATTTCTTCCAATAGTATAACATTTAATGTAAATAACATTTAAAAATCTATAACGCAACGTGCTAAAAAATGCACCAATACATTGTGAATCCATTAAAAGATTTTAATGACTTAATAACCGTTGCTAATCTGCATTGAAAACAATGCGTCGCAATAATAAATAATAATGTAAAATTTGAGAAATTTATTGCGAACGGAACGAAAATTTCGAAACGTTCAGTTAAAGTACGGTTCGTCACATACCATACCTTACACAACCGGCTAACAATAAACAATTTATTTCGCAAAATACCAAAGCCTGGCATTTGCCACCTTTGCATATTAGTATGGGAGGAAACGTTAAAATTTGCATGATCAAATCGGTGTGACGAGATCAATAAAATTACATATTACAAGATGTTTGTACAAGAAATGGCACTGATCGGAATGATCCCTTACATTATTTACTATTAATCATTTGGTATTTTTGATAATCAAATACTATATTAATCAATTGTTATTTTCATTGGGGAATTTATTATATTTTTAATTGATTTTTATCGTTATCTAATCTACAGAATCATTTCTTTTTTCATCCTTGCTTTTCATAATGTTCACATAGAGTAAAAAAATATTAAACTCTCCGAGGTCCAAATCCTCGTTTGATTAATATTTAAAGAAACATCCAGCGGTAATCTGGATTCATGAATGCGTAACGAAAGAAAGGATTTTTAATTATTGGTTAATAACGTTGTTTCAATGCATTATTGCTATTACTGAAAGCGTTCAACCTGCTGGTTGGACACATTTGCATAAGTTTAACTGCTCACTGCCCCGCAATAGGTTCGTATAACAATATGAAATAAAAACAGTTATGTCTTCGTGAAAACCATATTGATGTTCGTACTTACCGAGTACATCCTAATTCATCATAATTTATCTACGGGCTATTACCCATCAATATTTAAATTTGTTCGCCATATAGAAGCTTGGGTCTTTTACAATATTTATTAACTACCAATATCGTCCTTGTAAAGTTACAAAATCAGAAATTATTTAGTTAATATGTTAACCAGTATAGTCTAGCAGACTCGAAAAGTACTTGATTAAGGTGTACTTAATTTTTTACTTATTAGGATTAATTAATTTATCTTTATAATCGTTTGTAAGTGTGTTCATGTATGTTTGGCTGAACCTGGGTCCTAGTTTTCGCACATTTAGGTATCAAATGGCGCACCGGATACACGCCGTAGTGGTCCCTTTTGTTATACCTACACGTAGTATTTAAAAAAGGTATCGGTTTCATCGACCTCGTATAAATTTTATCCCGTGTGATACTTAGCGTGCATGGCGTTTTCGAATAATGAATTTTATTAATATTTTTATGATGGTTTCGAGTCGTTATCTCAATTGTATGCAAGTGGTTTCTTTAAATTGGTTTTATTCAAGTGTGTAACGAAGACCTTTTGATAATATTTTGTGCATTTCTTTGTGTACAGTTCTAAATTTATGAAGTCTAGAAACTCTAGAGAGTTTTTCATATTTCCCATATTTTTTTATTATTACAAGTATATTTCAAATTTATCTTAATTATGATGGATGGGTTTTCCTTTTAAAACCTCGTGATACCGTAATTAAAGCGAGGTTTTTTCTGTTTCTACACGAGACCGAAACCATTGTTTATGTAAATTTTGCGGAGAATAATGGAAACGGGCGCTCGAAATTATTGCCCAATTAAAAATTAATTAAGTTATTGTGATACTTTTTAAGATTCAGAGAGAATTAATAAACACTCCACTAATTTACGATTGTACATAAGTATTTCACGTATAGAGTATAGAGTAGGTACTAATATTTGTTCAGTTGGAAGAATACATTCTTAGTAACTATTAATACCCTAAGCAAACAAAAACTTTCTATAACGACTTCTTCAGCAGGTGAATGAATTTGTTTCTTGTTCTGCAATCATTAATACGTTTAAAAGCAGGGTACTTTTGTACCGGATGGGCTATCTAACAGGAAACTAACCATAGAGTGATAATTTTTGTTCCCTTTAATGTTCATTTTAGAATCAAGTTATTTTCTATCTAAAAGAGATTATTTTTTTAACCAAAAGGACCAACCAAAGGAGTATTCTGTGCTTCCTTATTAACTATATTTATCACAGAAGAGCCAAAAATCAATGACAATTCAGCATTGAAAGTATACCCTATAGATCAATATAGTGCTTATTGTATTACCGGCACCAGCCATAATATAATAAAAGTATAACATTAAAAAAATCGACAATAATTCATTGATAAAGCGGCGATTACAAAAGCTAAAAGGTAAACTCAACGATATACGGGCAGATGTTTGTTTTTAAACCGTCGCGATTTTTTCGAATCTAAATTGATAACGATACTAATTATCTATAATTAACTATTTAACCCGTTAAAATATTCTACGTATATCTTACATGCCGCATTTGTCGCTATGTGTACTTACGAATAAAAACTTGATTTGAACAGTTTTAATTACGCTATTTGAAGGTGAAATTGTACGTCACCTGAGACAAGTAGAGTTTAGGTTTTTTCGCATTTTCTTGGAGTAATATCTCGAATTTGTTAACCAATTGTTTGTTAACCTCTTAGCGCGCCGTTTATCAGTGAATTGCTATGTGCAGAGAGGTGTAGCCGGAAGCCAAACACGACACGAATAACTGGGTTTTGCGTTTTTAGAGAGTCTCGTTTGAAATATTAAATATAGGAAGTTTGCTCTGAATGAATTTGCCTGATGCATTGTTGGTTTTTTTTAACCAGTTTATCTAATTCGAATATTTGTAAAAGCGAATGGTACATTTATAAATTATAACTTTCTCGCGAAATTGCAAATGGAATTGCTATTCTAAACCTTTTTCAGTAAGAGTAAATGAAGGCAGTTTGTATTGATAGCATTGATATAATTTAATCCCTTTTGAAATATATTATTAATTTATTATGTTGTTAAAACAGAAACTTGATGGAAATGCTAACTGTTTTTCCTTTTCTTAGAACTGCAAAGATTTGAGAAGAGATTTTTTTTCACGATAACAGTTGACTTTTTTACACGTTAGATTTTCCTGTTAGAAGCAAGATTCCAAATGACCATTAGATAGACAAAAATTATTTATGCAGAGTCCTTGTATGCTCATGGCATAACAGTACATCCACCTCCTTCGGTCGAACATTACGGGCTGTTCACAGAACGAAGAAATATCGCAATAAGTGGGAAGAAACTCTTATAAGTGACTAATTGGATAAAAGTTAACGTTTCGCCATTACAACAACGTTCCTGCGGATACCTCATAAGTTTAAATTAACCGGAGGAAAGGATATAGCGTTATTTGAATGTGATAGGTACGGTATTACCGGAAGATTAATTTTTAGAAATAATTATCGGATTAATAAGGCGTGAATTGGTAACGTCCTGCATGATCTACAGCGAAGGATAATAAAGAAAAATGGACGCGCGGCTGGAAAATATACAATTCACACGAGTTATTGTGTTCAATATTAATTAGCCATGAATAATTAATAGTTAATGCAAGTCAAGTTTAACCGTAAATGGTTAAGTTCTATTATTAAGCGCCTATAAGGAATGCTGAGCGTATATATACACCGACTCTATTAGGTATATAAGTAGATTCCTGATTTTTTTTCTAATTAAGGTATTTATTTCTCGTTTTAGATCTACCTATGTAAGCGGGAATATTGCAAAATGTATGCACGATTCGAATTCAATTGACTAAATGAAAAACAAAAAATATTTCTTTTTAATTAAATTATTACAGTATCTACAATATTCAATTTGATTATGTATAATAATTAATCATTCTTGGTAATTATCTTTTCAATTAGAATATGTTACAAGAAACCAAAGAAATAGGAAACGAATGGCTATCGAGCCGAAATCATTTACAATTTTTAATAGCCTACTACATAGAAATATTTGTAGTTTGTTGCAAATTCTATAAACATTATCGAGCACTTAACTCTACAAAATAATCTGCAATTATTGCTCGTGTAATATAGTGCAATTATTACCAACACACCCTATATGCGCGTTCGCGCTGCATAAATTTCAGCTTCCACGCATTAACATTCGCATCCGACTCTATCAGATCTTAATTGAAAGGAAAAACGATTGGGAAATCATTATAATTTTTAATCGCGCGAAAGAATGCAATGTTGCGAACCAGTCCGTGCAGGTGCAAAATCACCGAGCAACCATTCATTACGCTATAAGGTTGACTCTCCGGTGCACTCCACGTAACTACCTTCGCGCATGCGATAGAAACAAAAAAAATCGCGGAATATGCGAAAAAATCACGACGTCGTATTGCGAAAAAACGGGTAGTTTAATGGCATTTGCTGGAAATATTAATTAGTATGCTTGCTAATAAATATGTTTGTATTGAAGTAAAAATGTATCCTATACTCTATATCGGCGATTGCACTACGCAGTAATAAGTCCTTCTAATCAACTCAAAATGCACAAAGAGAGCTAAATAAATAATAGTATCTTGATTGATTTTGTACTTTATGCCCTACGGCATCTACAAGTAGGGTAAAAATAAATTCTACATATAAAACCGTTGAAAAACATTTTCCAAAATTAGGTACAATTATTGTTTATTTAACTAAAAACAGATAATTTTAACTCCCAAAATAATTTTCAATTTTAATGTCACTATATAGGGCTTTAAGATAATTTATAATTAATAAATTTCTTTAAAACAACGGTTTAATTTCTCTGAATTTTTGAACAATACAATAATTGAATTTCACGTGTCTGTGTGTTGCATACGATTGAATGTCGTTCATTGGAAATGAAACGTTTCGAACGTAAATTAACTCTATCGAGGCGTTGCCGCGAATAACTGCACACTAGATGATTTTCTGCATTCTCTTATCATTCTTCTCACATAATTAAACCCCTGCTGCGCCAGGACCGTACTTAACAATGTGAAATTTCATTTTTTTATGGTGATTTTTTGTTCTAATTACATATTGATGATGGATTCTTGCCTACAATACGGAACTTTTAAATGGTTTAGTTTTGTGGAATATGTTAATTTTTTTGGTACTCAATGGTATTTACGATACCATATCGGCTACTTCATGGTTACGTATAGTCGAAGTCAATAGACTGTTGCAAAACAAGATTGAAATTACACAAAATGTCTACGTTTCAGCGAAATTTGTGTCAAGTATATCAATATTATAAGTTGTTACGGTCGCCCCGAAACCATTCTTGCTTGCTGCACAAGCTCGATTATACTCTAATTTTCCAAATTAAAATTATTTGACACATGCTTGTCAAAAACATGAGATATTTATCTCTAACCGAATAAAAACGTTAGCTGAGAATAGCTGTCATTGGCTGAACGATCCCATTAGTATATTCTCATTAGTAATAAAATCTGATACCAACCTGAGTTATTTAATTAATTTCAATCATAAAATTCAATTCAATTTAAAACTAATTCGAATAGCTCGAGTCGGAAAAATAGCGAAGGATTTCAAGGTGTAGACAAGATTGCGACGGTTCATTTAACGTTCAACCTGAAATGCCATTATAAATTGCATACGTAGTGCCATTTTTGTGGTACTATCAAGTCCACAACTCCAACCTGTCCTACATAAATATACCGTGTATAATCAATTCCGTAAGAAAAGTAGCCATTTCGCTCACTGCGTACTGCATACCGCATACCGCGCAACAAAGCATTATATTCGCGGTTTTTCGCGAAATTTATGTTATAGAGGCTATTTGTATTCCAATTAGAGGCAGGTCTGGCTTACATATTCATTTAAATTCTCTTAATAATGCGGGGTTCCCTTAATAAAATAAATGTTATTGATTATTCGTAAATTATGTATAATTTAAATACTAGAATGAATTCATCAAAATATCATCAAAAAAACAATAAATAAATCCCATAGCAACGCAAGGGTAAATAGTCAGTGCTGGGTGAATAACCAACACTCTCAAATATTCTAAAGAATTTACTTTCAACCGTAAAGATAGCATAATAATTAGAATAATTGTCGTAGGCACTTCGAGAAATATTCAAAACCCATTTACATTTACGATAGCACACACACACTAATTACTTATTGTCATTAACGAAATACTTTTAGGTAATAAGTGCACAAGGTTGTTGCACTTCGTCTCGATTATTCAAAACAAACCGTGTAAAATAATTAATTATTGTAACGCAGTACATAAAGCAATTAAATTATTAAACAGGGTGGTCTAAGTTTAAGTAAAAAAATATTGTTTTTCCTTATGTTAATGATACAGTTCCATATTCAGCGCTCCTTTTTAAGGCTAATCAATCGTTTAGAATCCCGTTAACTTGTCAGTTTTACATTGTTGTTATAGGGTAACATGGTTTGCTTTAAAGAGACTCTTTAAGCGATTGACTATCGTTAAAAAGAAGCGCTGAACAAGGGCACAATCATATTCAGTTTAGTTCTTAATTCGGTTCAGGTTCACCCTGTATGTAAAAATGATGATCGATAATTGTTGCATTGCACTTTGGATATCACTATTATGCTGAAATCGTCGATTTTGCGAGGTATAACGTACCATTAACGTTTCAATGTTAGTAAGTGGCGTACCCTGTGAAGTTTTGGAGCGGTCGAAAACCAATCGAAAGTAATGTGAAATGTTCGATACATGTCAAACGATAAGCGCTACGCCGAAGTGTAATGAAGTGGCCGAGAAATTAGTGTCTTTGTTCGGATGGAGGCAGACGTACAATGTGGAAAAACTGCAGCGAAACGTACCGGGTAGAGCGACTTCCAGGATTTCGATTACCAGACCTTCGCCTACCAGAAACAGTTCCGTTAGCAGCAAGGTAAGGGATAGTTAGCGATGGCATAGCAGTATCTGGTGCATTTTGGAAAGTCGCGTTGGATTTTCTCACCATTAAAGCTGTACATGCATTTACAAAACGCCAGAAATTGGTTAATTACGCTAGAGAAAAAAGATGTATTCCTTTGTTTCAAATGAAAAACTCGATTCATATAGGTACACAATTGAAATAATTATAGTATGTGAATGTATGGAGATATTCGCTTCTATAAAGTATGAGCGAAGAAGGAGAGTTGAGCCATCATAGTCCTCGGAAATGTTAACAGTTTCCCTTAGTATTTTGTTTGTTTTTAGTAGGTACTCAAATTTTGCTAATTTTTGACCATTGAATATTCGGGTTATTTTCTTTGCTTGAACATTTATACATCGTTTAAACCAAATTAATTGAATTGTTTTAACCGCACGGAAAAACCGCTGAAACGAATTGAATGACATTAGAAAATCCTAACCTTTTTTGCACTTGAAAAAGAAGCAGTAAAGTTACAAATCTAGGTTTATGGAACGCATCGATTAGTGGTACGTATCTGGTATCGAAAGAAGCGAGTACTTATGGAAAAAATATCAGATAGACCACTAAAATAGTCCTTATGTATGTATGTACGTCTTTTAAGGTAAAATTATCCTCGGGAAATAAATTTTTATTGAAGACAGAGATTGTGTAAATAATCAAGTGTTATACGAACTTATACACAGGAAGTTTCTAATGACGTTTTTTTTTTTGTTACAACTTGTCGGATATAGGTAATCATTGAAATATGATAGTAAACTTGATATATTCAACATCTACAACTAAATAGTTCAGTTACAAATATTATTAATTATTATATTATTATTCTACGAGTTTTTGCGAATATTTTATACTTTTTTGTCGTTTTGATTACACTTTATAATTCTTATCTAAATGGCGAAACAATAAAAATTGATCGTGAAAAATATTTTCTCGCGTAAAGATAAGAATCGTCGTATAGCAATAAATTAGTTAAACATTCCGTTTGAGTAATAAATAGAGCTGATTTTTCCCGCATTTTCCCTCCCAGGGAGGTAATTAGCGCTGCGATAAATAACGACCGTAGGCAGCAAAAATAAACGAAACCGTTTCGCTACCATGTAAAACTGAAACGCACAGTATATTCTACCAGCTAAAGGTAAACCAGTTAATAATGACTTTTTCATAGTCTACGTTAAACTTGATTTTATCATAGGCTAAGCGCGAGGCTTTTTATTTGTTGCATACCAACTTGCACAAGTACTTGTTTATAGATACAATTTTTTTAATAACCACTTTATAACTCATTTTTGTTAATTGAGAATTTTATAATAGAAATCGTTTGTAACATGCACTGTGCATTTATTTTTATTATTATTATAAGTTTCGATTATAACAAGCATTTATTAGGAGTATTTTAAACTTATTTTTTCTGAGCGGTACCCTGCTTTGTACAATAAGATTTCTCTTAAGAATAAACTATAACGTGGTATTCAGAACGATTTAAATCCCGTGAAGAGTGGAGATATAATTTGGATAATGGCGTTTCGTTATTATTGCCCTTTGTCACGGAAATTCCAAATTAAAGGATCCCTTTTTGTTCTGTTGAGGTAGGTTTAGGTTCCTATTTTATTTTTCATTTCGAGATTAATGGTTTTAGTTTATTTCTTTTTTCATTTACTTACACGAATTATCTCAACTGTATCTTCTGCTTTACAGGGCGATATAAATAAGACTTTTTTTGAGAAGTTGGCAATGCTATAATATACATTTATTGTCAACTTCTCAAATAATTACCCAATTATTAGTACAACCATAAGTATACTTTTTATTATCATTAGATGTTTACAAAGGTATTTTTACCGCGAGACACCTTGTATATCACTTGATTCTCACCTTTGTTCGGTCATACGAAAACAATAGGGTATTATCGGAAGCCGTCACGTAAGATTTAAGAAACACATGTAAGGGTGAATAGTAAATAGTATCCGCTCTCATTCACCAGACCGAAACAGACGTTTTTTTTATTTTTATTTATAGTAATTTCCGAGATAAATTAACAAGTTTGCGTGAATTTCGCAGGTAAATCTATACCTTTCAAACACAAAATTTACTGTCTAATTAGGAATGAAGTCGGTTTTTAACAATGTCAGTGTTAATAAATTGTTAAGTTGGTATCTTTTTCCTGGTCAACACTTTTGGAAATTGTCAAAGATATTGTACATCAATTTAATCAGACTTTGTCTACTTGCTTTTGCAATAATTTGAAAAAAAAAGACGACAAAATTAAGAAACTGTTTAAATTAGCGGAAACAATCGACTGAATTGTCCTTGAATACCATTCGTTATTAACGAATCTCCCGGTAGTTTCTAAATCGACAATGTACAGAGTGACTCTTCGAAGTTTCAAAACGAAAATAGTACAAAACAAGTAATGCACCTCATTTTCTAATTCTTTATGATAATAAAACTTTCTCTATTATAATTTGTTATGCAAATAAAGGCGCTTATGTGGAATTTGAAAATCACGTCAACGACGAATTTTTACAACTTTTACTATTAGGTAATTGTCAATTTTTTTTTACAAGAATGCGACATTGAATAAATCAGATCGTGAAATTTTTATCGAGTCTTTGAATCTGCATTTCAAATTCGAATTCTAACGAACTGCAAACTAGCGACTCCCTATTGAGAAATTTTTATTGTTTTGTACTTTTCTAGAACAAATTCTTAGTAAAAATTAATTATTTTCTAATCTAGTAATTAGGTCAAATTATTATACAATTTACCGCAAGTTGTATACAAGGAAAATATCTTTTAAACACTTCTGGGATTAGTTATAAAAAATAACCTTGTATGGTTATTTTTCATATTTTTTACTTCACCGGGCTTATGCGTCATTAAAAAAAAAGATCCTTTCCGCAGGTTTCAAAGAATCAATCTCAGAAGCATGTTTTTATAACTATGATGCATTTGATGCACCCCAAAAAGGGACGAATGAATGCGAAGGTCTCCCCAGGTAGAAATATTTAAGTCTTTCATTTTAATGGGAATTCCTCGAGTTCTTGGAAAACAGATGATGCACCGGCTTTTGGAAGCCCACATCCACCATCCACCTGCTTGAAATTTATTTTCCAGCGTTGCATTTGTAGAAAACAGAATATTAAATTCGTATTAAAGGCAGTTACATAAATTTCGTCCGGTTGTATTGCCAATGTAATTCACAATATACCGAGTATTTTCGTTCGGAGCCGAGACATGTCAGTCCTTAGGTATCTGTTTACCTGTTGAGGTACAAATTGTTGGCTCGGAATTTTTATAAATCAACATTTACTCGAATTGTGTCGTGACGCTTGGTTTGGTCAAGTTATGAACAAATTCGACAATTGTTCGGAGGGTTTGAGAGATAATATTTGCAAATTTTGGAAAATAATCAAATTCGAATGCCAAGAGCGGTTTATGCATGTAAGTTTCTCTATCAAAAATTTAATAAGATTAAGTAAATAGAATGTATCTAGTAAATATGTTTTGAGCACACATGTATCTAGTAACGAAACACTCTATATGTAACATTCTTAATACAACCTTTTAGATATTTTCAACATTAATTTCAGCATTTGTTTGAGTGTAATAGGCTGTAAAATGTAGCAAATCGCTTCCTGCAACAATTGCTACAGTTTACGACTTTTGGAAAGGTTTTTCAGCGGCACGTACGAATTTTTCTAAAAATTTTACAATCCAATTAACCGATTCGTGCAAAGTATAAACAAACTTGTTCGGTTCAGCGTTACGGGCAGGTAAATATACCTGTCGAATTTAAACGGAGAAAGTCACGTATGAGTCTGGCAAACTACGATTTTGCGGAAACTTTTGCTATTTACTCAAAAATAAATCGACAGACACTATTTGAGGAACGGTCGAATCGAATGTGCGACGTAATATAATAAAAATTCTAATCTCGAATACAGGAAAAACAATTTAGTTTGAATGTAAATGCAAGGCACGTTTGATTGTAACGTCCTGTACATTTTTAAACGAAGCACAGTAGTATAGAAATTATCGCATCAGTACCTATCTCAAACTGAATGATTTTGAGTAAAGCGAATGTTGTGGAACAAATTGTTTAAAATATAAAACTCTATGTAATTGAGGAAAAGTTCAAAAATATTTAGATACCTTCGGGTAAACAGTAAAATTGTTTGGATGCAAAAGAAGAAAAAAGCACCAGAGAAATCTGTTTTCGTATTTCTCAAAAATTCATTCAAAACAATATCAATGATTAATTAATAATTAAAACAGTCACTGACTAATTATGCCATTCATCATTCATTTATTTAAATAATAAGAAGCAATTTGCGAATTTAACAATATCTAATAGATAGCGCAATGCGAATAACAGATATATTTCGATCGAAGTATGTTTGTAAAAATTTTGTCAATACTGAAAAGCTCGACTTGAAACTATGTAATAGCAAATTTTATAAAAAATAATTTCTAACATTAAATTTCTCGAACGGAATTTAAATTCCTTTATTCTCTTGCCAGCTGATCAATTATTCCTCATCCTCTTCAATTTTGACAAAGTATGAACTTATCAAACTAACGAAGATAAAATAATAAACTTATATACCAATTTGATAAATATTAGGATTATTTTTTTACGAAAAAAAAATTGACTTTAGCCGAGTTTTGGCCATTCTCCAGCTTCATTTATCTAGTGGGAATCTCATGGAGTAAAAGTTAAATCGGCGTTGTCCAATTCCATAGAGAACAAAACCAAAACGACGAATTAAGGTTACAGTGAAAGTAATCGCGTATACGAGCTGCAAAAAAATTTATAATACCAACCAGACGTGCTTTAGGTGTGTATATTTATGTACGTATTTATTTATAATGAATAATGGCCATGCAGAGACCTCCAGAGCTTTCTTTTCAAGGTCTTTAACCCCATTGGCGGCGAACAATAAACAGCCGGCCGCGAATGTTGCTAATTTGTTTATTGATATTATCGACCGGTGTAATTTCCAGTCGAATAGCTGGACAAAATAACGCAGTTTTATTTACTAAAGTTGCATTTCATCGTACATCATTTGGGAGAAAAATGTCCTCAAATTTACAGAGAGAAAAACTATACGCCTTCCTATAAGTTAACAATTAATAGGAGAAAACCGGCGTGTTTGTAGACAAAGGCAATTTCTTAATTACTTTACAACCGCGTAGAGTAGACGATAATCGGCTTTTTAAACAATTACCGGCTACCTTTCGTTTCCTTTCGTTTCTCACACAATGTCAATAATGAAAGTGACCAAATTTCACTTTGCATTACGGGCTCATTGTAGTAGGAAATGCGTCGATTTTTCGCCATTAATTATGGTATTTAATGATGGTTCGACCAATTGCTGGTTGCACCGGTAATATTCGATTTAAAAACTGTAATAATCGTTTTTAATAGAGAAATCATTAAATGGAGTAGTTTGCTGTAAGTGGTAAAAAAATCTGTAGAAATTAATCTGATAAATGACCCACTAATTAGCTAACTAACTATCGATATTTTTGTAGAAAGTTCTAACCTAATTAGTATCATTAAACATACTTTACATTAAAGAAAACGAATGAAGTAGAGAAAAATGTGGTTATTTCACATATTTATGTAATAAATTTTTGTTATCTCTAATACCATTGAATTAATGTTAATAATGATTTATACGTATTATACTTGAAACGACTGAAGAAAAATTATGTAACTAAACCAAATCCGATTAAAATATAACAAAACTATCCCGTGTGACTCCGTAAATCATATGACGAAAATGAGCAAACATTAAATATTTAATAAGGAATGTACATAATGCAAATTTATTATTCCATAAAATCTTATCTTATATTTGTTTATCGTGTGTCACTTTTACAGAAACCACCAACATTTCGGGAAAAATTTTGCAACGATTATATCTAGGCGAATTTTTTTCTGCTCTACCACACATGTCCTTGTGTTGAAAACGCTTAAGCATCTTCTAGATTTCAAATGAAATACGAAATACTAATTGTAATAGCGTGAACAGGATAATGTTTTATGCTATTTGCACATCTCGTTGTGCAACTAATTGTCACCATAATAAACATTTATTTAACATGAGCAAATTGGTACTTTTAAATTGTAGCCCAAAAATTTATCCGCATTACCTGCATTGTTCGAAAAAATAGATTTTTTTATACGAGTAGCCCTCTGTAATCTATGTAGCTAAATTTGTTAAAAATGTCATCTGATTTAGTGTTTATTAGCTACTTAAGTTTCTTAAGTAGCTCTCTATAATTTGTTAAAAAAAGTCTTCTGATTTCGGTGTTTTCTATTGTACTTAAAGAGTTTCTTTTATCGTAGGGCGCAGATTCGTGGGTGTCGGTACACAATTTACAATCGCAAGGAGGCGGCATTCTAGATCCCGACGATAAACTCAACGACGTAGCGGACGATCGGGAACAGATCCTAGCCAGTTTCGAAGACGGCGAAGGCGCCCATCTACATGGAGGCGGCGACGGCGCCAGCGGCAGTTCGGTGGGCACCGGTAGTCCGGACATATTTCACGTAAGTCCACGTAAAAGAATACGTTATTAAAATAATAGCGGTTCTAGCCGAATCTATTCCACACCATTCATCATTCCTTATCTCAATTTCGTTTCGAAAACGTCCCACATACGCACCAACATTAATAATAATTGCTACCATCATCATTACAATACCTGTATACGCGTATAGATACCATTCCGAACCCGTAATTTTCTTCTATTTAAAATCGTTGTTATACAGGACGGTGAACATAAATACGGACCGAACTATCCCCGAACGGACATCGAGGTGACAGGCGAACAAATAGCCACGGGAATACCGGTGTTGCAAGTGCGCAGAGGCAGCGAACCCAGTCTGAACCAGCTGCCCACGGGACCGCCCGCTCCAGCCGATCACCCCAAGCGATGGAGCGCCGCCCCGCTCATTCTGGAGCCACCCAGCTCGGGCTACGCCAGCCCGGATTGGATGGACGACTCCCGCGAGGAGGAAGAGGAGCCGGGTTTCAAGCGGATCGCCCGAGACGGGAGCAACAGATTGTCCATGCAGTTTTTGGGCGTCGACAGCGCCGGGTATGCTCTTTCATAACATCTTCGTTAACGTTTCGAGTTATACAATTGGTTTGTAGTTATCGTTGGGCCGAAGCGGCGGAGAGAGCGGCCGCAACGCGGAACCACCTGACCGTCTCGCATCCGAGGGAAGGGCTGCGGAAGGAGCCGCTGGGGCAGGCGAACGTTTCGACGGCGCCGATTTCGCCGGCGGTCGACGGGGAGGAAATTATTGTGATAAGAAACGAGCCGGGTCCGCTCGGCATCCACGTCATACCCGATTACGATACGCTGGGTAGAGAGAAGGGGCTGTTGGTGAAAGGTATAGAGCCCGGCGGAAGGATCGACAGGGACGGTCGGTTGGCCATTTACGATAGAGTGGTGGAAATCAACGGTGAAAATTTGATCAACATGCCCTTCCAAAGGTACGTTTGTTTATTGTTTACATGTATAAACGTGTATTATATGAATAAGTTCGTTTATAGGGTACAAGAATTGTTCAAGCTCTCTCTAACCGCTTCCGAATTAAGACTGAAAGTAATTAAAACTTCTGGTTTGGAGGGTCTGCGAAAACCGCCCCCACCGATTTATCCCACCTACTCCGAAGACAAGGAGAACGTAAATATGGTGGAATGTGAACAAAAACGTAAGTATCAATAATAAACACTCGACAATTAACTAGCATTTGACCGGTTCACGAACTAACCAATACATTTAATGCGTGCACTGGTAATAGGAGTTGGAAATCTAATAATAAAACTTCGATGAAGGACTGTTTTCAGAGAGTACAAACGCCAAAGTGGCCACCGTGTCGCCGACGAAAAAGGTTCCAGTGGTTTCGAAGAATCTCAAGGGCCTCCTGACGGCGAACACCAGGAAAATCGGACGGAAGATAGAGATCGAATTGGTGAAAGGAAAGAGCGGACTCGGCTTCAGCATTACCACTAGGGATAATCCCGCTGGCGGAAAATGTCCTATTTACATTAAAAACATCAACGCTATGGTAAATAAACGTTCATTAAATATAGTCCTTCGAAAGTCAATTGATTATGAAGTAATTGTTAAAATTTCACTACGAAGTTCATAGTTTAATTCGGTGTATATTGAATTGGCTTTCGTAAAACCATAATTAAAGAAAGTTTGTATTAAAATTAATGATTGCAGGGTCCGGCGATTGACGATGGTAGATTGAAAATCGGCGATAGACTTTTAGAAGTGAACAATCTCGAAATGACCGGCAAAACACAGAGCGAAGCGGTGGCGTTGCTTAAAAGTTTACCTCTAGGTAGTAAAGTAAAAATAGTCGTATCTAGGCAAGAAGACGTCCTCGACAATACTCTACCCCGAATAATTGTAAGTGAACTCGAAAATATTCCCTACGAGTGTAGACAATTTGAACAGATTACTCGATTAGAACAACAATTCCGAATCATATTAGTAGAGCTTGGAAAATATGCACTAAAAACCTTCGAAATAATCGTTTTTGCTTGATGAAAAAATCAGAAACAACCAGATATTATAAAACTTTTAAAAGAAAAAGATAGGATATATTATACACATACAATGCCAACTATTGGACTATAAATATTACTTATTAGAGCATTAGAAGAATGGGATAGAATCATTTAGTACTGTCTAGAACAATTTAGAACGCTCCAGAATCATTTGAAACTGTTTAGAACGATCCAGAAGCACTTAAAACTGTTTAGAATCATTTAGAACTGTCTAGAACCATTTATAACGCTCCAGAGCCGTTCAGAACAATCCAGAATGATGTAGAATGCTCCAGAATCATTTAAAACTGTCTAAAACTATTTAGAATGCTCCAGAACCGTTCAGAATACTATATTTAAGAGTCCTCAGAAAGATGCATTAGGCGTTACTTTTAGTTATCCGAATTTGCAAGTAATTGTAGCAAAGTAATTGCGCAAAATATATTGATAAATGCAAAATTTTATTTCGCCTATGCATTTTCAATTTTTGGAGGATATATGCAAGTATGCACTTTACACGCATTCTGCATATTTTCCAGGCTCTACATATTAGTACTTAGATTATTCACTCGTGTGTGTAAATCCACAACATATTGTAAACATGTAGCTTTAGGTGTGTTGGCTTCAACTGTAATAGTCCATTTTAAAATTCAATTAATAGACAAATAATATCTATTATTTGTTACATATTATTACACATGTTGCATATTTAGCTACATTCGATGTAATGTATTCGTATCGCAAATTTTGCTCGTCCAATTAGGCTTCATAGCATCCGTAGCGTTTGTCATTCACGTTAGTGTTGTTTCTCGTGCAGGACGTTAATTTGAAAGAAGTAAAAGAGGAGGAAACGAACGACGACGTACCACCGACGATACCTCCTCTGCCGCAGAGTCACCTCCAGGCGTTGCAAAACCGAACGCCGGAAAAGAATTCTGTGGCCAAAATTATATCCCAGTTTCAAGACGCTGTCAACGGCAATGTAAATATTAATTATTTTTTGATTAGACACGTTCTATTTACCAACTAACGTTTTCTGTAGAATTAGAATTCTTTCCAACTAACAATTTGGTGGCGTAATTTTGTTTGATCAGTGTTTTCCTGCTTGCTTGCATCTACATCACCATTGTTATATCAAACCCATTACCTATTCATCCTCCTTCATTTAACCTCACAGATGCTACGATACTAATCCTACAGTAAGTACTAACACCAACTAATTTAATCACGAAATTACAGCCTCCCGAACAAATCGACGAAGCGATGGTGTTCCCGTGGAAGCACCGCGAAATCCTCACCTTCAACATACCGGTGCACGATTCGGAGAAGGCCGGCTTGGGCATCAGCGTCAAAGGCAAAACCAGCGGCGCCAAGGACCTGGGCATCTTCATCAAAGGGATCATGTACGGCGGGGCGGCGTCGCGCGACAACCGCCTCCAGACCAACGATCAACTGTTGAACGTAAACGGCATCAGTTTGCTGCAGCAAAGCAACAGCGACGCCATGGAGACGTTGAAGAACGCCATACCGCATACGGAGGGGCCCGTGCCGGGACACATTACCCTCACGGTAGCGAGGCGAGCCGAATCGCCCAACAACAGCAGCAGGAAGAATTCCACGGATAATCTGTTAGGTACATCTCACGGCTCCTTTTGCACTTGGTAGAGTTATATTAATCGATTTTTATGTAGGTAATAGCGCTTCCGATTCCCATGAAAAGACTGATTCCGTGAATAATTCCGGCACGAGCGGAGATTCCGCCAATACGGTGATCTTCAATCCACGCGGCGGCATCAGTACATCGTCCCATAACAGCTCGGGAAGTATTCCATCTCAAGGTAGCGCGGATTCCGGTAATAAACCGCTGGTCAACGGTCAAAATCAACTGAGTCCCATGCATACTTGGAATCCAGTACTCGAGAGGTTGACGGGAAATAATAAATTCTCTCAACAACTCAGAAACGAAAGTTATTACAAGGTAAACGCATTATTCCACACTCGAGTTAGCACAACTTATTAAACCGTTAATGATATTTTAGGCTACTCACGACACTTGGACGAGTAGCATGCTTGGGAATAACTCTTACGGTAACCTATCCGGCGCCACTGTAAACATCGCCACGGCCGAGCCCATTCTAATCGAAGACGAGTACGGGTCTAGAGTAATAACGCATCCTAATCAACAGTAAGCGATCTCTTTAACTCCACGAGCCGCATAAAACTTATCCATTCTTCCAGAATAAACGTTCACGCGACGAACAAAATGCAGTCGAATCATCCGGAAAGCCGATCCGATCGAGAACCGGACGGCAAAGCCAGCCTGTCCGGCTCCAACGGCGACAAAAGCACCGATACCTCTTCGCAGACGACGATACAATGCACCGACGCCACCTACGCCAGCCAGTTGTCCCTGGAAAACCCGCAAGGGTTCAGCAGAGATGCCTTCGGAAGGCAAAGCATGTCGGAGAAAAGACACGCCACGCTGGACGCCAAGAGCACGGACACTTACCAAAGGTCCAAGAAATTGAGAGAGGAAAGGAAAATGCAGGAAAAAAGTGAGTGTTTCATTTCGCTATCCTAGTTGTTTGGTTAATACAAAATAAGAGTATATGTGTACGGATAAAGCTGGATAAACCTAGATTTACCAGGGTAAAGTGCGAAATATCCAAGAAACTAGGGTAAGGCAGGTTTTTTAGGTTTCTTATATAACCTACCATACCCAAATTTCGCACTTTACCCGGGTAAACCTAGGTTTAGACGTTTATCTAACTTTACCCGTAACATATGCAAAATGTGCTCTTGTTTTGTGTTATAAATTTATGTAATTAACAAAGCTAGTGTCGAGTATATGTGCTAATTATTTGTGTTTTCATTTCATTCAACAGCTGGTTTAGTTCGAGTAGGTTCTGTGGAATCTGTCATTAGTGTTAATCGATCATCTATCGAGCATCCTGAGCGTAAGCATCCCTTTCATTTAATCGGTATCATTAGTTTCATTTTCATAAAAATGTCGTTTATATGCATTTTTTCGAAAATTTCTTTATTATTTCTCTACTTCTTTATTACATATTACTTACCCTACTTCTTTAAGGCTTCAATAAAGAAATTTTCGAATTTGCGTTATTAAATGTTGTTGTTTTGCTTCGATTAATTGTTTTAACTGATTAATTAAAATGAAAATATAACTAATAAAATATTTTATTAGATGCCGATAAGTTAGGTCAATTGGGGCCTAGTCTAGGTATGAAGAAATCTTCTAGCTTGGAATCCTTGCAAACAATGGTGCAAGAAGTAAGTATAATTGAAAAATACATATCGAAGAAATGTTTAAAATCGTGCGTTAATCGTAGATTCAAATGCAAGAAGATCGCGATCCTGCTTACAGCTACAGAGGACCGTCCGGAGCTTTGAAAGTAATCAGAGGAAAAGGTTGCGAGGAGAGTTTCAGAGCGGCTGTTGTCGACCCGAATCACAGAAGCGAAATAGGTAAAAAATATCGTCTATTTAATATAATAGCGTATTACAGAAAAATTATACTTTTTAGGTGCTAAAAAACATTGGTTGCTAGAAGGTCCCTCGGAGAACGAACGAGAAATCGATGGATTCACTAATACCAGAGGGGCTCCCCGCCAGTCCTCCCTAAACGCCGCCATCGACATTAAAAACAGCAAATCCGCTAAAAAGAAACCCGGGATACTCAAAGGCATCGGATCAATGTTTAGGTAACTCTAATTGTATAACCCCTTGCAGTTCTGAAACGAACAAACTTTTTGTTATAGATTTGGAAAGCATAGAAAACTAGATTACCAAACACCGGAACCCGTCCAACACTACCACCATTCCAACGAATTCGACACCAACGCGAACCTACAAGAAAGCGACAGCAGAAACCAAAGCGCCCAAACGGAACGACAGCAAATGCCCAATCCCAACGCCCAAACGCACCAACAGCAGCAAACGCAAAACCCGCAATACCTCAACGGGTCCCATCACTCCCAAACGTCCCAATCGCACCACGCCCATCACTCGAACCAAGCGCCCAACGCGCCCAATCACAACCACCATCCGATGCAGAACGGCGCGTCCCATTCGCAGAGCAGATCGTCTCCCACGGCCGCGAATCACGCCAATCACGGCGCCGTGCAGGCCCAAAGGGAGCACGCCAGAAGGGAGCAGCTGTACCCGAGGCACGGATATTTGCACCGGCACGCCGAGCAAGTCCAGGTAATTAATGCAAGTTGAACGTCGATCGTGTTGAGCTCGTTGCTCAATGTACCGTTTCGTTTAGGTCATTCCCGAAAATTCCGTTATACCTCCCATCAAGTATCGACAGAATTCCTCCGAGCAGAGACGTCACGATAGGGAGTTGCATAAACAGAGGATGACGCAAAGGCATACTTATTACCAATCCGACGATAGAGATGCTTATGATTCGAGGCAACAGGTGAAATATTCTTGTATTTGGAGCTTGCGATTGTTATGTATTTTGCGTTTTTTCAGAGAATTGATCCGTCCAATCCCTATGTAGAGTACGGAAGACCGGGCAGTAGATCCGGAATAATAGATTCCGTTCCCTTCACGCATTACGTGAACTACAACGAACTTCAAACCCACATTAGGTACGAAATTAACAACGCAAAACTTCATTTAGACAAATGATGCAAACCGCACAGCAAACATTTTCCGATATTTTTATGTCAAATAAACTGTTTTTTAACCGAATGTATTGTTTGCCTGAATGATTTAACTTGTTTAGAACACACCTATTATTCTCATGTGCACATTTTATTTGTAACTAACTCACTGATTAGGATGATTTATTGACGACGCATGGAACAAACAACATTTGAACTACTATTGTAAATTAACAGACATCCCTAAGAAAGCATTTTTTTGTGTTCCTCCGCCCTTCGACGTTGTGTTTAATCTATCCTCGATAACATACTGTGTGTCTAATTGTAAAATAAATGTTTTGTCTTCGTCAGCCGAAATAAAGACCCTCTATCTGATAGTCAGATAGTTCAGATGCGTCTTCAGGTGCAACAGCAAAGGTTAAAGGTGGAGGAAGAAAGGTATGCACCTCAATGATATCGTTTTTTTTTTATTTTGTATTGTGTTTGTTTTTGGTTTTTTATTTGTATTTAACATTTGCACGCTTTCTGTGTGGGCTACATTAAAAGCAAATAAATACACTTATTAGTATACAGGATGTGTCACTAATACGGTCAAGTTACTTCGATTAGGCTATTATTGTGAACTGTGTGTTAAATTAAAGTGTATTTATTTGAGGCAGGCTTTAGCATGATTTAATTTTTTATGTACATTATTGAATAAAGTTCGTACGTTTTAAAATTACAATGACGTCACGAGCCAGCTTGTTGCAGCGTTGCCGGGTTGTAATTGAAATCCTTTATATGACAGTTATTAATTTTTAAGGATATGCAATCCTTTAATGTTATAAATATTATAATAAACACACACACAAATTATTCAGAACTGTCTAGTATCATTTAGAATGCTCCAGAATCATGTTGAATTGTCTAGAATTATTTAGAATGCTCCAGAATTATTTAGAACAGTCTTGAATAATTTAGAACGCCCCGAAATCATTTAGAACTTACTAGAATCATTTAGAACGCTCCAGAATCATTTAGAACCGTCTATAAGCATTTAGAAGGCTTCAGAATAATTCTGAACTGTCTAAAATCGTTTAGAACGCTTCAGAAAAAGACAAAAATTACTGGGAAAGTAATAAAAACAACAAATTGTATTCAAAACTGCGTGGAAATTACTAAAAATCACGCCATTGTCATTTCAAAACGTACGAAAAACTTTATCATGTATTTGTTAGAAAATTTACGTTTGGTTCGTAAAAAAAAACCATCCTTAGGATATACGAAGCATTGGCAATCAATAAACGTAACATAAACTAGGCTACAAACTAGGTCGCTTCGAACACTCGACAACCGCCGGCATTTCTACAAATATCCCGTTTCCTTTTCCAGCCGGAAGCAGCACCAGTACCACTCGCAGCGCCAGACGAGAACCGACAATCAACTGCGACCCGTGTCGAATTACTACGAATACGAGAGCATCCAGTCGATCCTGAACGGCGGCCGGTCGCGGCCAAACGGGCACCCGGCCCAATACGGCGGGGCGCACCAACCGGACGCGAATTCCAATTCGTTGCCGAGGAACCAAGCGGCGCAGGTGAGGCACCCGTCGAATAGGGGCAGGGGCCCGTTCGTGACTCAGGTGACTATAGGCGATCATCAGAAAAGCGGGACGAAGGTGTGAGTTGAAGTGTCGAAGGAGCGACCGGGATTTTTCACGTCGATGGCGAAAGTGGCATACAGTAGGATGCCATTCGAGTGAAAGCACTAAATGGGGATTTTTTTACTCCAACCGGTTAGGAAATAGTTGGTAGAATTGACAATAAATAATTTATCTCGATCGATTTTTTTAGTGTTTTTGCTCGAATGGTTCTTATTGTATGTGATTACTATAGTGTTAATTTGATTTTTTTTTATTAGAAAACTAAGTACTTAACTAAATTTTCAAAATTTTTAACTCCATTTAATATCGATTTTAATTTTAATATTGACAATCTTATTTATAAATTTTAATTTTGTGATTGACCTATCCAATTTAGTGATTGCGACAAATTACATTCTAATTATAGTTTATTTTATTTTTAATAATCAATCGTATTTATTAATTTTAATTACGGGATATAGTTTATCCAATTCTTACTACTTATTAGTGATTGTGATATATATTTTATACAATGAAATTTTAATGTTTGTCGTCACTTCGAAATTATACAAATAATGAAGTAATAATTTTCTTAATTTCTTATTGAAGATAAATAATGATTAATATTGTACATTCCATTTTGTATTATTTCAAAGGCATCTTACTTAAGAAATATTTTACTAAATGCATATTTTAAACTTTGTATAGATATCTTAAATGAACAATTATTGTACAACTACTTTAATTACCCACGAATAGAGTTTATGGAAAATGACTTTAGTAATTAGTGTATTCGACTGTGGCTGGTAAATGTTTATGTGATTACAATTCATTTTTAAATGTGCAATAAAAATTCTCTATAAAAAAATTAAGGAAAGTAAAAGTTTTTATTTAAATAATATTGCATTAACAGTCATTTGTCCATAAACAAGAGTATGAATTTGTTTCCATTCCACACGATATGTTTTGCATAATGTGCTCATATTTTTTAATGTCTTCTCCAGCAAATTGACCGCCTGTTAGAGCTATACGCAATTACCAATAGGTACTGTTATAGGTGCCTATTTATCCGGTAGATAAATTTATCTGGCGATTGATCCGCTGGCCTTAATAAATTTAGGCTATTGCCATCATTTATTTGATTTTATTTTGTAAATAGATTATATTTTATATTGTAAATAAATATATGTTTTTTAAGGTATTTATTTTCTTTTCTCTATCACCATACATGTATTTCTCCTTAGTTTTATAAAATAATAATTCCCGTAAGTTGAGAAAATTGGCAATGTAATGAATAATGAATCTGACATGTCAATAGTAATAAAAAATAATAATTTATAGTAAAAGTATGTGATAAATTAATAAGTAATACTTGTTGATTAAACGACAAAAAATTCAAGTACTATATTGAAAAAAGAGACAATTTTTAAGATACAGAAAAATTTATCTACTAGATAATTCTTTGTCCAATCCAAATCTACATATTTGTTTATTCACACAGACAGCACAAAAAATATTTCGGCATCTGTATAGAGCAGATTTAAAAAAATAAAGCAGCATTCAAATCAAACTATAGGACATTATTGAGATAAAATACTTCTAAAGTTATCGAAATTATCACAAAAAACAAATGATTATTTTCATTGCTTTTAACATCGACATACCTTTATAATTACAATAATTGTTTCCTCCAGTGGAATATCTAAATTGATTTAGCAAATATTCAGAATTAGCCATTACATACATATGTATATCCATGCATTTTTTTATTAAATGTAGATAAATCCCATGTTGTCATGTATTAAACATTTACTAGATTGTTTGAATTAATATAAGTGTTATTGATTAATATGTAAATTAAATATGTAGATGGGCTTTCTAAACATTGTGCACAACCGAAAGGGGGTAATTCTTTGCTCATAAAAGTTCATATAAACAAAGGTCCGCAAACGCTTCGTTACCGATATACAGGAAACGTTTTTCTGTACAAACGATTTATTTTACAATACACAAACCCTAAATAATTATTAAACTATGTTATAACAATTGTTGAAAGTGACTCCCTCCTACCCAAATTATACCCTATATCCTATAATAAATTTGAGCTAAATATTTCAAAAACTGCAGGAGCTCTATAAAAAAATTTTAGTCAGAAAATAAGCCGAGGAACACACTGTATTTTTTACATGAGTCAAAGAGGAAAAAATATTTAGATTATAAACATTTAGGACTTTTTTAAAGTATCATCTGGTAATATTTGAGAAATCTACTTAAAAAACCAATAGTCCAATAATCATCCCATGTTAAGTGTCAATAAGTTTTTAGATCAAAACAAGTTAATCCATCATTGGCGAATTTTTAAGCACAATCAAACAAAAAAAAACGCAAAACTTAAAGCGATAAAATAAGAATGCCGTCCTATCTCAACGTCATACACATACCAAATCATTCGCCTATAAAAGCACCAATTCAAAGCAATGCCTCAGCATTCACAGTCACTCAAACTCTTCGCGGCGGCGTGTTATGTCAGCATAGTTAACTATATTTCAAAAATGGATTTCTCGTTCAATTCGCACAAAATCCAACAGCTCATTTTGCTGATGATCCTGCTGGCGCAAAAGTGGAAAGGTGCGATTTCCTACGACGTGAAATACTCATTAGAAACCAGACGCTTAGAGGTACCGGTGGATCACTTCAGCTACCTCGACAGACAACTAACGTTCAACATCAGGTACTTGATCAGCGCCAAGTACCACGTCAAAGACGGTCCGGTGTTCGTTTACACGGGCGGCGTCGGGGATATCATGAAAATCGCCCAAAACACCGGCTTTCTCTTCGACATTGCGCCGGCTTTCAACGCTCTCATCGTCTTCATCGAACACCGCTATTACGGACAGAGTTTACCGTTCGGCAACAATTCCTTCGCCAGTCCGGAGCACATGAGGTAAGTAGAATTTGGGCGATATTTATGCGCTACAAGCGTTCACGTTTCGCAGATATCTAACGACGAAGCAGGCCCTATCAGACTACGTGTGGGTGGTGAACTCTTTGAGAAAGGAATTCTTCGAGAGCTCCGTCAGCAGGGACTTTCTTCCGATTATCGCTTTCGGCGGGTCTTACGGAGGGATGTTGTCGGCGTGGTTGCGCATCAAATATCCCAATGTAGTGATAGGGGCTATATCGTCTTCGGCTCCCATATTCTACTTCCAGGGGCTGTCCGATTGCAGCGGTTTCTACGAAAAGGTCACGTATGTCTTCGAGAAAATCGGCCACGACCAGTGCATTAAAACCATCAAATTAGGGTGGGATGTCATCATTAATTTGACGAAAACTAAATTAGGTAAAAACCACAAATTATAATTTTTTTTTAGTCCCCATACTACACCAATTTGCAGGTATGGATTTCATTTCATCGACGTGGAGATTATGCAGCAGATTGAGGAGTTTAGAAGATGTAGAAATGCTGTTGGATTGGTTAAAAAACATCTACATAAACATGGTGTTATCGAATTACCACTACCCATCGGACCTATTTACACCGTTGCCAGCGTTTCCAGTTAAAATTTTCTGCGACAAACTAACCACAGGTTACTTCAACGACACCAAAGGTTTGATCGAGCAATTCAGCGAAGCCTTGCAGATTTACACGAACTACACGGGTACAACGGTGTGTAACAACATCAATTACACGATGGACAAATACGATGAAATTGCATTCAACTATCAATTATGCACCGAATTGATAATGCCCAAATGCTCTACCACCGAAGATATGTTTATTACCAAACCATGGGATTACGAGAAGTACTCGCTGGACTGCTTGAAGAAATACGGAGTGAAAAACTTCCAACCGGACGCCCAGCTTATCGAATACGGTGGGAAATATTTAAAAGCCTATTCGAACATAGTCTTCACGACTGGAAATTTGGACCCGTACTCTTGTTGCGGCGTTTCCTCGAATTTATCCAACACGATATATCATTACAATATGCCGGACTCTCCCCATCTAGTCGACTTAAGAAATTCGGACATTGCCGATAATAATTACATCTCCACTACCAGAGCATCGATTATAAATGCCATAAAGCAATTTTTAAATATGGTTTAAATTTGTTAGTTGTATTATTATTTGTAAATTTGATGTTGATATAGGAGAACTATTGTTTCAAATGATGTTATAACGAATTGCTTAACTAATTGGTATTAAAGATTTGCTATTTTTTATATTATTCTTTTTGCTATTGAGTACACAAATGTTCAAGAAAAAAGAAACAACTTACCTCTGAACTTTTACATTTCCAAATTCACTTTGACTTGCAGAGATAAATATAAAATAATCACATTTCGGTCACACGCGCTTTAAATCCGTAAAAAATTATTAATAATTAAATAAATAACAAAATAATTTTTTCAAAATTTTTTAAATGAACTCTCATTAACGTCAACGTCACTCACAAAACGAACATTTTCATGAACTAACAGTAGTGCCAACCTAAAATTATGTTATAAAAAAATAGGCATTTAGTTACAGAAAGTAGGCAACACATTATACTATTAAATAATTTTAATTCTCAATTCAATCCATTCCGGTTATACACAAGCGAAAATTACATACTACGAAGGCTACTAGAGATCAGGCCATTATTCTACGTATCGCCCAACCGCAGTCGCAGTTCTTCTCGAATGTAACCCTGTCCGGAATGTAGTCCCCGGCCTCGGTGTGGAGGAATTCGTATTTATGAGGAATTAATGCGTACCCAACACTAAAATCAATCTCCAATTGAGCATTTATATCTTACAGGTCCTGCAATGTTCCTTTATCCTGCGCAATTATCCTACGCATTGTACATAATGCATTTTTCTTTTAAGTAACTACTCGTCACATTATACGATGAACAGTGTCATCAAATGCCTTGTTGATTAAATATTAAACATTAAATATGTTATTAACAAGCTTACTAATGATCGGGCATCTTGAGTTCGGTTTTACCGCATCTGTATTTGATCACCGTCCGGTCGTTTTGCTTCTTCAGCGCCTCCCAATCGACCAATTGGCCCGATTTGCAAATTTCATATCTTACTTTGCCCGCCAGCTTCTCTTTGTCGTGGTAGAGCTCGGTGATACCGCTGCACAATCTCTTCACTTTGCAGTCGATTCTTATCTGAAACCCACAGAAACGCGAAAAAATGTAGCAATCTGTTGTTGCCGATTAGCTGGTCCTACCTGGCGAAGGAAAAACGTCCTGTATTTGAAGTAAGCGAGGTAGAAGAGCATGGTGCATTTTCGAGTTTCTTTCTGGAAATTTTAAAAATATTATTTTCATAGCATTGAGTGAATAAAATACATGCTTACGAAATGTTGGAATGTTGTACTGTACGAGCTGATCGTTATTATGTACATGTTATTCCTGAATTCCCTTAATGGCATCATTCTGTTGCCTATATCTCCACATCTGAAAAGGGCGCAAACATTGTAAAATATTGGGAATATGAGATGATTCTTTTTCATGAGGATGTAAGTACCTTGAAACAGTGGCCAAAGAGAACACCTGCGTTTGACATCTAGTTAGACCTGCGTCTTCTGCAGCCTTAATCCACTCCTTGTAGAGTATGTAGGGAGTGGTGTGATGAGGTCTCAAATCCACCCTAGCAAGACGCGAAGTCTCTTCAGGCGGATCACCCCACTCATCGGTATCCTTGTTCTCGTCACAATCGCAGGGTATCCTTGGATTAGGCATTTTGACCGATTTCCACTAGGTTTAGGTCTATAAGTTTCTCCACTTGCTGTATAGCTGACAATTCGATGAATTTCTTTCGTTTGGGATCGAATTTTTGTTACTTATTTTACGAGCGAAAAGGTTAATGCAGTGTTTTAGTTAGTTTGTTTGTATTTGTATTATTTTTAAGGGTATTTTTTGTACAATTAATTTTGAACCGAACGATGAAGCGATGTTGGACTGAAGTTATTGATTGACGTATTGCAAAAACTTGTAAAAATGATACAGAGGGATTTATATTTGAACGGCTAAAATAAATTGTATTGGAATCTAGTCAGATTAAACCATTGAACAGGGCTTCAGATTACTAGACAAGTTTCAAGAGTTCCATAAGATTTTGGAAAGTTCTGGTAGGAGGGAAATCTAGAGAGTTCTATAATCTGTATAGTTCTATATATGTAGTCTATGGGAGACTTGGGGAGTTTTGCAGAGACCTGAAGAGTTGGGGACTAATAGAATGTCTTGGGGATACCTAGTGAGTTCGAGACAACTCTAGATAGTTCGAGATAGACAGATAGGCATACTCTTTGAGGATCTGAGGAGTTTTGGAGATATCTGAAAAGCTGTGGGGAGAAATGTAATGTCCTGTAGAGACCTGGTGAGTTCTAGAGAGATGTAAAGAGTTCTGGAGAGATCCGAAGAGCTCTCTGAAGAGCTGGAAAGTTCCCAGATAAAATCCCTTCTTGCAGTTGGGCTGGCTCTTTGTCCTCAGGTTTTTGTTTCAGTTCACTCGGCTCGACATAAAATACATTCATGTCGCGTCCAGCCGATCACCGTGTCATCCACAACAAAAACAAAAGCGACCCAGTGAACCCTACCCTACTTTTTTACCCTACCCAGTGAACCGGTCGCGGCGGTTTAGAAAACGGTGTCGTGAGTACGACTAAATATCATTTCTTGTACCATTCCTTCGGCGAACGTTCGCCGGCCGATCGGCGTGTTAAACGGTTGTAGTACCGAAAAAAATCGAGTACCCATATACGTTAAAAACCGTTCGTTTCGAAACGGCTTTCCGCGGCGAGTCGGTTGGTTTACGCATTTCGGTGATTTTTTAGTGTAGGTACTTGCGATTGTTATCTTCAATGAGTACTGATTTAAGGTAAGAGAGTTTTCTGTTGTTTTGTTGTGGTGCCAAAAAGTTTATGTATTTAGGTCGTATGTTAAATAGCAGTATTTTTGGATTTTTTAAGTTTGGTTTTAATCTGATGTACGGTACATTTTGGTACTACTTAGTAGATACATATTTCCAAAAAGAAGTTCAATTTATTATTAGGTAACGAAAAGAATGAATCAAATTTAAGATTCATACTTAACAAAATAGTACTGGAGATGTTGAATTTTATTATTTCCAACTTCGGAATAAAAAAGCACCAACATAACAAGGATATAAGAACTTCATCTCTTTAAATTACAACTGTATAATTCGAGATAAATTTTGCATTAACCACGATTCGAGCATTAAATGCAACAATAAGGTAAAGAAACAAGCACTTAAATGCTTAAAACTTTACAAAACGAGCGGGACTTTTGACCTTTTTGTCGAGATAAAGCGGAGAAAGTCAGAACAAAAGCAAACAGAATCGACTAATTTTGCCAAGTCTAGATAGATGTATGTTAGTCGAAGGCGCACCCATTGCACCTCCAATATCAAAAACAGGTGCAATACCTCATTAATTGCCGCCCGATTGGGGGTTGGGCGGTTACCGAAGGAATTCGGCAAGGTTAATTAAACGGAGAAAATTCAGTAACTGGTGTTGTGAACATGTCGAAACTTAACAAGAAATTAGCATGTGAACGGTGTATTTGTATAGCTAATTTTCTACATTTTTTTACTACGATACGGGAATGAGGAAATTGGATGATTTATTTTATAGAATAATTTTTCTCACGGGGCTAGAGGTGAAATCTGTGTGCATAAATCTCACTTTTAACTTCATAATAATCATGTACATTATTTTATCTACGATTATGGAAAGCGTTCTGTATTTTTTATCTATACCTACCTATTGCGGTTATTTCACAAAATTATACCAAAGCAATGTTAGTAATACAATGTTAGTAATGTTAGTAATGTTAGTAATGTTAGTACAATGTTAGTAAATGCATACAATACGTTAATTGCTTGCATTAAAACAGCAATTCCAAAATGCTTAAGGAGATTGGATTTATCGTTTATTCTTATCTTATTTTCACCGTTGTTAATGCACTTTTTTATATCGAGTAATTACGGCACAATAATGAAAACAAACCTATTACAGCCAGTGAAAGTGGCGATTTTTGCGGCAAATCAATTTTAGATCTACAACAAAGCGACAACCAATAATTAATGTTCTATCTGCAGAAAGTACGTTACCCTTTCGAATCGGATAACAGATGTTGTTTCTTTTGATTTACGATGAAATCTATAATTTAATGTTCCACTGCTATGATAATAATTGCAATCGCTGCTTTCTTAAATATATAGTTTTCAGTGCAGAGCGCAATTTTTTGCGCTATATTAGAAGAGTAAATCAACATTAAATCTGTCGTATTAGATTTTTAGCGCCAGTTCAACTTTGGAATTCGCGAAATGGTTAAAAAAATTATTTAAATATTCGGACGTTACGGCATCAATAATTATTAATGCTCGAATGATTACTAATTAATTTGAACCGTTCGATAACTTTTTTGTAATAACACTAATCATGCACATTGACCTCTAATTAAATATCCTTAAACTACTGGTGTATTATAGGTTTTTAAAGGTCATTAACAGCCAATTAATATGTAGTTACAAATACAAATACATTACATTGACACTAAATTCGAACAATACCAAACAGACCGTTATTTTGTGGAATCTATTAAGTATTAAGTATCAAATGAAAGAAAGGAGTGGCTAAAACTAAAGTAGAGCGAGTAAAAACAGTATGTCCCAATTTGATATTTTTGTACGCAACCCTGTATAAAATATCCTAGTAAATCACAATATTTCAAAGTTGATTGATTGTTGTGGAACAGTTGGTTATCGCGGTATATTCACTTAACGGAATTTTATGAAGCCAATACTTCCAAAGCGACCAAAAATTACTGTTATTACGTTATACTGATGAGAAATAAGAAATATTACCTATTAAGGAGGAGTATGCAAAGGAGAATTGATCAATAAAACAGATAAATATTTATAGATTTATTACCTAAGAGAAACTGTTAATAAACATACAAGGTATAGAGTAATTTTTAATAATAAAATGTATATATGTGCAGTGAGTTCCCGTTAATCTAGCAATTATGTTTTAATAATAGAAATCAGTAAATGTATATTCTGTGGTAGGAATATTGCAAATATCGCAGTAATTTTTTTCTTAAACATTTACTGCAATTTTTTACAGATACAATAAGTATTAGGTACAAATTAAATTACATCAATTGACACCCGAATATTGTAGCAAGTACACATTTCAACATAAATATGATGCTTTCAAAAAATCAATTAAACATTTCAACAATTCAGCGTACAAATTACATAAGGTAAATCATCAAAAAAATTACTGTAATAACGATTACTCATCGATCGATCGAGTACAAACAAAATGTAACCCGGAATCCGGAATCCGGCGAGACGGCCCGTTCTTTCGCGGGCGTGCAGCCAAGCTCGATCAGTCGTGAAACGGTAGCGATTTAAATGCAACTGGAGCATTAAATCCCGATGCTGCTGCGGTTATAGATCGAAAACGCGAGAAGCGCAATTTCGCCTGCTTCTTTTGCTTTTAGCAGAGAACAAAAAGAAAAGAACACAACAGAAGAGAAGTGGAACAAATCATTTTCTGTACCGTTAGATGGAATTAATGGGTCGCGTCTTCGAGAGCTCCGCCGTACAGGCCAGAAAGTATACGCATACAGGGCGATTCAACATGAACTATTCCAAAAATTATTGTTTTTTTAAGAATTATTAGGCCTTCAAACTTTTATTAAAATCCCATTTTAATAAAAATAGACGATTGGGCTTCATAATTTTGTAACTTAACATTACCACGAACTGCCTAGATGCCCAGATTTATTTTTAACCAAACCCGTATCTATCAGTTAAATTTATCTTTGCATTATTAAACCCACACATAAAACCTGGTGGTTGATTATTCCATTTTTTTATTAGAAAACATCGCAGAGATATAGCAAATCCATTCGTTTAAAACAACAGTTCTTGACTTAAAGTAGAGGAAAAAAGCAAAAAACAAACGTATTTATTTATTTCGTATAACAGTTTCCATGGAAAATCGCGTTGTGTAGGTCGCACAAACCCATTAACACTATTTAGTGTTGATTACCCGTCGAATGGTCGCTCATAAACCTAGATAATCGCGAGGAGGTGATAATTCAGGTAACATGCCGGCCGGAGAATAATCAAGTTTATTGCCAAGTTTATTCAATTTAATTTATTTTTAATTTTCCTCTTTTCGAACATATTTTTTATGTATTTTTTTATATTCCAAATTCAAGTAATTATTATTTAGTAAAGATGGAACTTTGGGGTGATATTTTTCGTGTTTTTTTTGTAGTAGGTTAATTACTCATTAGAAATTCCATCGAAAATGCTCTCCTGTCCTTTACCTTCACTTCACGACAAAAAAAAACACCAATTGCATTGCAATAACGGATGCATAACTTTCATTATCATTAATAAACGCATTTCAAATACAAATTACCGTCGCATTAGCGACCCTACTATGCGATCAATTTAAATACAGAATTAATGAAAATCGCGATTTCTTGTTATAGGTGAAAGTCTCCAACTGCATCCGAAGAGAAACCGCGCGATGATCTCCTCGGCTCCGACGACAATTAAACGCTTCTTCAATCAACGGTAACGGCGTCGAAGAGGATGGACGTTTCGGCGACAGTTTAATTTTCAACGCCCGCTCATTCGGGAATTGTTCCCCTGATAGGGATTCGATAACGCGAATTCTCGTGGTTTGTTTGTGGACGGTGATCGAATAGTGAATGTTTGATGGAGTGTTAGGAGAATGACGGCCTCGATGGAGAACAGGGGGCGTAGAAAAAGTTCTTGGGATTCCAAGGTAAGGTTATTTTTTTTCTATATTATTGGTACAATTAAATATAATAGTACAGCTGCATTTTCAATACAAACAGATAACGAAATACTATTGAGGAGTTTGCTCCAATGTACAGCTTTTCCAAAGTCAATTGAATAAAATATGAAAGCTATACTTCTATTGAAAAGCTCTAGTTGTACGTATTTTATATACCTATTTATTGTATATTAACAATATTATTAACAATTTCAAAAACTTATTATCCATTGAAATTCATAGTAGATTTTAATTCGATTTAACTTTTCTGACCATATTAAATTAACTTTGGATACACAATATCTTTGTTATATAAAACGAGACAATTCGATCACGAGTTTCTTTCATAAGCACAGTAGTAGGTATTACATTGCTCCTATTATAAAAAATATAGTCTCCACCGTGGCGTGAAACTGCAACAAGTAGGTACAAAAAATCCGAGTAATAATATAACGTAGGATTGCATTTCTATGAAACGTAAACTTCATCCACTTGGCATTTACGTTTACGGTTTCCTTGCCATTTCTCGTGGCATTTAAGACGGATTGGTATCTAATAACATCACGTCTCGTTTCGACGCGTTGGGAAAGCCAATCGTACCGTGCAAAATTCTATTCAAAAGCGTAAATAATATCCCAATCATTTTTTTTGATATCGGGAAAAAGCGCGTGTGTCTGTGGCGAAATTTGCGTACGGTGAAAGCGTTCTAATACAAAAACTCCAACACAGAATTACCCCATTTTAATTGTACCGAAATTTTATAAAACTATCCGCTTGTTTCTTCTGCATGAATCCTATTGCCGTTCCTTAATTCCTCCCATGCAGCTCGTCGAAGGATCTTCATTCAATAGTCCGTAGGACGCTATTGTAATTTTCTTCGCGTTTTTCGAAACATTTATTAACGACAATTACTAATCGTTACTTTATTTGGCCAAGTCCGCTCGGTCTCCTACCTGAATTTTGAAACCACCGAAGGCCTATTTGCAAATGTGCAATTTAATCGCTGAACACTCAGTTTTAATGCCGAATACCTATTGTAAATATGAACACTAACCAGGTGAGTCAAATGGCGTCAAAACATTTTTTATTTATTTCTAATAAGCTATTTAAATCACGGTAATAATTCTATCGAAATAATGACTACATTTCTGTTAAAATATACAGGGTGTTAATTAATTGAGTGCCGATACTTCAAGATATGAATATTTGGATGATTTTAAGAAGAAAAGTTTACTTTAATATATGTCCTCAACCTCTTAGTTTTCGAACTACAGGATGTTAAAATTTCGGAAAAAATACATCAATTAATTATTTAAGTTATTTTTTTTAAAGTTTTAACACCCTGTAGCTCGAAAATTAAAAGGTTAAGGACTATATTAGAAAGGAGGACTATATTAAGGAGGATATAACGATTTGATAATAAGGATGAAAGATAAGGATTAATATAAACTTTTCTTCCAATCAATCAAATATTCACATCCTGAAGTATCGGCACTCTATTAATCAACACCCTGTATATCGTTAAAGAACCATTGAAAAGCATGAATGGAATAATAATAATCCACACAAAACCGCCTAAATTATAAGGCGGTTTTAAATCTAGGGCAGTAAAAATATCTGAATTGATTGATTAAATCTATTGCAGACGTCCGTGAGTTCGATAGGATCGGTCGGGACGAGACAATACAGGCGATCTCCCAGTTCGATCCTCTCATCGGACTCCGACATCAGGTTCACCAGGAAAAAATTGACCTCTCAGTACAAATGCGGCTGTTTCATCATAGCGATATTTCTACTGTTCCTGCTACTCGCAGCCGCAGGAGTGTACGTGGGATGTGAGTAAACTAAATCTATTGTTTTCTTACATTTTAAATGCATTAAATTAAGAGTGGATAAACGTTGTAAAGCTCGTCGAGATGGTTCGTGACATCAAATCGTCCTGCTTGTGAAATAGAAAGCAACATAATCCGAAAGGAGCGTTCGGATTCGAGTGCAAGGACTAAACTATAAAGTGCACCTAGCAATCTGAATAAATGCCATTCCTATTAAACAATTAAAACGCGCCTAAAGGCGATGATGTTTCTTCGTTAATTTTGGAATAATTTTTGGTTTATGTAGACACGTTTTTCCTGCCGAAGGCTCCCGAAGAGCAGGTTTTCCGGGCGACTTTCCGGGTGACGGAGGGCGATGTGTTCTCACCGGAACTGGCCGATCCGGGCACCAGCATGTTCAAAAGCAGATCTCGCGACTACAGAGAAAGACTGAATTTACTGTTTAGAAGAAGCACCGTGCGACACGGGTACCTCGGCTCCGAGGTACTAGCTCTCGATGGGTAAGTTAATACATTCCAAAACACCCTGTATACTCTCCAAAACTCAGCTTGATAATTTGAGTTACCATACAGAAGTCTCGTTTTTCTCTCCGGTTATAGTACAAGAACTCGATTATAATTTCAGCACCGAAGACAAAGACCTGATCGTGCACTTCAACATCCACATCGACCCGTACTACTTGGACATCACCGCCAAGAACCTGGAGGAGATCCTGGCCAAGGAGATAGTCGTGCGCGAGTCGCTCTACTTCAAGAACCTCACCATCGACTCGGCGAGTTTGGAGGTGAAGCCGGACTCGGAGTTGCCGCGAATGGCCGCCGCGACGACGACGCCCGTCACGGAGGCCGTCACCGAGACGCCGCACCCGCCGCGGAGGTGCTTCCCGCTGGAGTTGGAGTACTGCCAGCGGCTGGGCTACAACGTGACCACGTACCCCAATCTGTTCAAGCACTGGAGCGTGCGGGATGTGAGGAACGATGTGATTTCGTTCCGGGAATTGGTGAGTACTGGAGCGAATTATTGCAGTAAAAAAATTAAATGTAATACATAAATAGGATTTTAATCTACTCTCTCGTTGATACGGACGTTTGAGTTATTCGTTCCGAAAAATTCTATTAAGTTTTTTAGTTCTGTAAGCTTTGATTGCGATGTAATTAACTGAATCAAATTATATTAACAATGCCTATTATACTATGAGAAGTTTTTTTTTATTTTAATGTATTTATCGAGTAAAATTTTGACGATTGTCCTACTTTCTTTTAAATTACCGTTGAAAAAAAATATCTGCCAAAAATTACTAGATAGGTATAGGTATTAAAAGTTCGTTAGGAATTAAATTAAACCACTACTAAACACACAAAAATAATATATTATACCTGTGTAATTTGGGTATATTCACAGATATTTTTGTCTATTATTTACAGTAATTTATCTTTAATTCACTAATGAATTCTTCTCCTCACACGGTTACTTTTTTTAAAGATTTAACAGTAATTCTTTAACTCGATTCACATCACGTTTAAACACTTTTTCAGACTTTACCCTCGCCTTAAATTACTTTAATAACAGTGATACGAATTATTAAATTACAAGTTACTTTAAACTATCATTACCTTTGAAATTATTGTATTAAAGGTCGACGCGGAATGCTACAGACACGCTTACGATTTTATATGCCGACTGTTGCAACCGTCCTGCAGGAAGGGCGCCGCCGAGGACGAGATGATCCTGCCCTGCAGGAGTTTCTGCAGGGACTTCATGATCGGCTGCGGCGGCCGCTTGCAGGGGAAAATCAAGGAGTACCTGGATTGCTCCAAGTTTCCCGAATACGGACAAGGAGAGTGCCTCACCAAACCAGGTAAATATAATACAATGACTTGAAAGGGAGTTGGCACGTGGATTGCCCTCTTTGCTGCAGGTTGCGTTGAAGAATTGCAATCCAAAGCGCTGTCTCCGCGTGTTTGCGATGGCGTTATAGATTGCCAGGACGTGTCTGACGAAAGGTCCTGCAGCTACTGTCCCAAGAGCCATCTGCATTGCGGTATTGGTAGGGTGTGTATACCTAGAATGAAGAGATGCGACGGTCACATCGATTGCCCGGACGGTAGCGACGAGAAACGGTGTTGTAAGTTCTTAAAAATTACTTTAATTCCTTCATTTAACCATGGTGAAATGATTTTGGAAAGATTATACGCCTCCGATTGTTGGTTTAAAATTCAATAGGGATACTGCTGAGAGAATTTGTATCTGGTAGTGCTACTAATAATACAGTCGAATGGAAGCGTAAATGTAACAGTAAAATGTAAATCGATTCCTAATTGGTATTCTTCCATCCGATACGCGCCGTATCGGAGAATCTGGGTTATTGGATAATAAATCGACGGTTTGTGAGCATCTAATAAGATTTTTTCGATTTTTCGATTAAGAAGTTTTTATCGAAATTGGTTGTTTCGAAATTGCGCAATCCCCATAATTTTGACGAGGCATTTTAAATCTCTATTACCGCACCAGAAGTGAAAGGCTTCGGATCGTTTTTAACTCCCGCAATTTCGATTTTTATCTTACATAAACATCGGGAGCATATGTTACTCCTAAGCGTTTATTAAGTTATTCAGATGTAACAGTATTTTCTAACGTAAACTAGATTTCCTATTTAGGTAAATCGATACTTTCCCTGTGCAATAATAACGAGTTCATAATCTTGCAGTTGTTCATGATGCAGCAATTTTTCTCTTACGACATAAGAGGCAATTTTATCAATTTTTTAGAAAAATTAGGGGTATTTAAAGTTTAGGCATTTATCAAGCAATAGCTAGGTATAATCAAAAGCGTAAGTATCCCAGCAGTATTTTCGACACACCTATTATTATATACCCATTAACAACTTCCGGATTTAGATAAAAATACGATCCTTTCAGACAAACCTTAATTTTACACAAACAAACCAACAATCTGATTCTATTGTTTTTTCGAGAGTATTGTTGTCTCGAGATAAAATCTTTACCTAATAATATTACACGCAGGATTGAAGTAAATCGATGTCTTGCAGCTTTACAATGTTTCTTAATTTTGAATTAAGACTATTGTATTTACTAATTTACGCTAATTAGACACGTTAAATTCCTGTACAGTTTTCTGAATTTTAATTGAGTTAACTCTTCTCCTTGCAATCCTGCATTTTTGCTGCTTTTTATAGTTTTATATTAGACATGAAATTTGTATTTGCAGTAAGCCTGGCGCCGGATTTGGCATCATCCAGGAAAACCGAGACAGCTACCCCGCATCCCTCCCTTTACTCAGCCGAGGGTTTCGTGACTTTCAACGAGAAAGGGGAGATAGGTAAACTTTGCACGGAAAACATCAACAGGAGTCTACCCTTAAATCAATCAAATACCGTGCTGCACGCGGCTGCTGCATCTCTGTGCAAAACTCTCAGTTATGAGTAAGTATAAAATTATCTCTAAGATTGTACAGGTCTTATTAAAGTCATCCAGAGGTGTCTATGGCTATCTAGGTCTCTTCAGATTTTAGACATATCTAATCTGCAGATGTTTTTTGATGTTCTAGTCAATCAACATTTCTCTATATGGATGTCCAGGTCTTTTTAGATTCTTCTAGATTGTCCTAAGATTTTGTAGATTTCTTTAATTTCCTCCAGACTTCTATAAGACTCTTCAGGTGTCTTCTTGACCTATCTAAGATTATACAAGCATCTTCAAGCTTTAAAAATCTATTCTTCTGGTCTTCAAGTCAATTCGGATATCCAGGTTTCTTCAGATAACCCCTAGATCTTTCTAAGATTATATGCAAGTCATGTTCCTCCAGATTTCTTTAAGGCAATCCAGGTCTCTTCAGATTTTTCAGGTCTAGTTAGACCATTCTTGGTATATGAAAATCTTTCCTGTAATCCTTCCTCACTCATCAGAAGTTTCTTCATATCCTTCTAGGACAATCCAAGTTATTCTTCTGATCTTTCGAAATTTCTTTAGACCTCTTTAGCTATCCAAGTGTCATAAGGTTTTCTATATTTCAACAAATCTAAAGTAATTTTAGGGGATAACGCGTAACTATTATTCCAGAAAAGTAGCATCTGTAAACGTAGTTACGGACACCGAAGACAACGTCTCCTACGTCAGGATGCGAAACCCCACCGCCTCGGAGATCAGCTTCGTCCGGGCCAAGTGCCACACGAAGCAAGTCCTGAAGGTCCAATGCGCGGATTTGCGTGAGTACCGAACTCGAACCGTTACAAGATCGCCCATTTCATCGAGCTTATTCCCGTAGAGTGCGGCGTGCAGGCGACCCACGGCCCCGCCGGCCTGAAGTCGCTGTCGAAGATGGCCTCGCACGGCGACTGGCCCTGGCACGCGGTGCTGCTCAAAGACGACGTCCACACGTGCGACGGCGCGCTGGTGTCGGGCGACTGGGTGGCGACGACCAGCTCCTGCTTCCAGGGCCAGCCGAAGGCCGAGTGGCGCGCGAAATTCGGCGCCACCCGGCTGCTGAGCTCGACGCCGTGGGAGCAGGAGCGGCGGATCGTCGGCATGGTGAAGTCGCCGGTCGAAGGGAGCAGCGTGGCTCTGGTGAAACTGGACCAGCCGGTGAGCTTCAACGATTTCGTGCGGCCGGTTTGCCTGCCGAAGGAGAGCATGGGGTTGCCGGTGGAGCGCGTGCAGTGCAATACGCTCGGCTGGGCCAGGAACAGGGAGCAGTTGCAGCGGGTTCAAGTGAAGTTGGTCGATAAGGAGAAGTGCGAGAATATCAGTATAACTACCGTGAATGGTATGTGCACTGAGCCGATTTATGGACAGAACGATTGTAATGTAAGTGAAAATCGTTTTGGTAATATTCCTGTAAATAATTTGGTTGATTTAAAGGAAGAAGAATTCGCCGGTAGTCCGATGGTTTGTCAGTATTCCGATAATGAAAAATGGTTTCTAACCGGCGTTACGAATTGGAGGATAGCTTGCGCCAAAAACGGCTTGGAAAGGCCGAGATTGTTCGATAAAATTTCTTCCAATGTCAAATGGATAAAGGAGACTATCGCTTCGGAAACTTGATGATTAATTAGATGTTATTGGCACCGTTCGTGATGGTAACAATGAGTTCAAGAAAAACAGATTTTTTTCTTGGTCAACGTGGTTTTTATACAACTCATGAGAAAATACGGATTACTCAAACACCCTGTGTTCAAACTCGACTGTGGTGTGCCATTTGTTATAGTTTCTTCACTCATTTTACACCTACAATTTCTAACACTATTGTGTATTTATTTTATTGTTCACGCGCATTCACCAAATAATTTTAAAATGTACACAAATAATAATCTTGCGACTTATTTACGACGAATTATTGAAGATACGACGACACATATTTAATATTTCATTGTACAGTTATATTTAAAAGCGAAAGTCCACATTAGCTTATTAGCATTTCCTTTCAGCTATATGTATTTATTTGTTCATCATGCAACGTTTTTAATGAATTTCTTGGTAATTAAACGGCCTAGTCACACGACTAAATTTATCGTTACCAGTAATAATGTATAATAAAACTTCCATGTATGTAATTGTAATAAATATTTGTTAAAAATTCCTGCAATAAATAAATTATGTATTGTTTTGTTATAAAAAAAATGTTCGATTTATTATTACTTTAATATTTACAGCCTTCATAAAAATAATAAATATTTTCAAATAATTATCCAAGATAAAACGATAATAAATAACATAAAAATATCAACTAACAAATCGACATAAAATTAGCTAATTACTGGGTTAAAATAGAAAACTTTAAACAAGCCATTCTCTAAAAAGCAATAGAAAATGTAAAAAATATCTCTTGAGGCATCTAATCGGGATTAGCAAACACCACACTTTTCTTCGTAACACCAAAGGTACTCCTCCTTTTAGCCAATATACTCTGATGCTTATTAAGGAGAGGCGACATTTTTTCGACTTTAACAGACGACGTGCGAACCACTTTATTCGTCACCGTGTTGCCGGTGTAGTTGTTGTGCAAGTTGTTCCAGTTCACCGAGTTGTTCTTCAGTTGCTGGGTGAGCGAGTAGTCGAATTGCTGGGAATTCCTGACGGGCGTCGCCGGCGGCACGTCCGAGTTCCTCAGAACCGCGGACTTGGTGACGGCGTTCTGCTCCAGCCGGATCTGCCGCTGGAACTCCCTCGCGTCCTCTTTGTAAATGCCCGAGTTGTCTTCGAGGAGGTTCGTCAGATAGAGTGCTTGCTTGAGGTAGAGCCTCGAGTGGTTCTCCGAGCCGTCGAATCTCGTTATCTCCTTGGCTATTTCGATAAAGAATTTGATGTATTGGCAGAGGATCACGTTCCTTTTCAGCATGCTCAGTTCCTTCTCGAACGACCACTGCAGAATAAAACAGATAATTTTGAAGATTTGTTTTAATATGCTGGTATTTTTACCTCTAAATCAATGGAATCGATAGATTTTGTATCTTCTTCTTTTTGTTTATTCAATTTTTTGTTCCTCATTTCCAACGCTTTTTTCCTCTTCGCTACTTCGTTCAAGTGCTCCCATTGCATCTCGGGGTCTCTGTATACTCTTCTTATATTAGGTGGCCCGGTAATTGTGTTGGGATTTATTTGTTTAAGATTATTATTATTAGTTTCAGTCATATTCCTAAAAGTACCTAATTAAAATACCCCATCACTCTAGAAAAACCATTACAGCACCAAAATCTTTGGAACATACTAAATAATCGTTGCATTTCCATACCTATAGAATTCCTTAAATTCGAAGGGCGTGTAAAACTTCCCGCTGGTGTACCTGATACACCGCAAGGCGCTGATGAAGTACACCACCGGATTCTGCAGCACGTCGTTGAATATCCTGTGAGCGAAATGCAGGTACTTCATCGGTATGTTTTTAAAGTGATTCTTCTCTTTGATGAAGAAATCCGGCAGGAGGCTTTTCGACAACCGCTGGCACAAATTCTCGATGACTTTGACGATCTTCGCGCCCTGCCGATGCTCCGGCCAATCGCGGTAATTCGACTCGCACTCCCAGTACATGTGGCACCTGATGTGCTCCACCAGCAACCCGTGTTGTTGCGTCTTTGGATGAATGAAAACCCTAAGAAATTATTAATTAATGCGAAAGGTGGGAAAATAGGGACTAAAACCATCCGAGGAACTCACCAAAGCAATATACCTATTGTACACCTGGAGCTTATTTTTGGACAGCAATAATATCATACTTACTTATGAATGATCAACAGGAACAAGAAACACCTAATTTGCACGTGCGACATCCTGGCCTCCAGGTATCTCTCTGCCTTGGGGAAGGCTATCTCCCATTCAATAGCCGTATCGGAGTAATGTCCCTTTTTCATCCAATACCCTTTCGGCACCACCACGCACTCCAACGCGCACATCTCCTTGATCATCTGATCGGTGGGCCACTTGTACCATTTGCCGGCCTTTTTATCGGTGATGGTCGGCCTGTCTTCTCTCCAAATGAACTCGTAGGTCTGCTCGGTGGGCCATGGTATCGCGACGCACGGAATCACCTTACGAAAATAATTATACAGGAGTTCACGCGAAGTGCGACGGTGGAATTTACCTCGCAATGGAGGGGTTGATCGTCGGCGTCGGTCAAATTGCAGAAGATCTTGCCCGGTATGGTCCTGGCTAGGTCGATTTCGTCTCGCGTGAATCCCAGCAGTCGGCCGAGCGAGTTCGGGAACATGTTGCTCTTGAAGTGATTCATGAAACCTTTGGCGTCTATGTAGGTGATGTAGTCGAATAGGTCGTCTTCGGTGAGGTCATAATCATCGCCCTCCGAATTCTTTTCCTGTAGAATTGGATTATTTATTTTCCTAAATCGCAGAGTAGCGAGATAATCGCTGCACCTTACCTGGATAATTTCTTGGATTAGGTAATCGGGTTTCTTGATTTTCTTCGCAGTGAAGCAAGTGGGCGGGAGGGATTCTTTGGATTCCGGGCCGGTGGTGCCTTCCAAAGCTTTGGGCGTGCGCGCTTCCGTGATTAAAGCGTAATCATATTCGCTTTCCGGGTTCTGCAACCCGCTCGGTCCGGGTTCGTATATGTTCGATGTTATCACATTATTCACAGTTTGGTTGGCGTGGTTTTGGCGCAATCTCACGAAACCTAGAAGAAAAACTATTAATTGGGATTCAAAGATGAGTATGTTCGTCCAGGGAATATCACCACAAGACTAACCTGGACCTGCACCAGGCTCTAGCAATCACTGATTAATCAGTAGATGACAGCTCAAAGTCTATGGAATGTTGTGAATACAGTGTCTCTTGATGAAATACTTACCCTTTCTTCCGGATTCTTCGATAGTAACTTGCACGGCGGGTTTGTCGATGGACGTGTATTGAACGTTCTCGTCATTGTCGCTAATTACTTCGATGTTGTAGTTGATTATGAACATTCGCTTGGTTATTAACGGTTCCATAACGTATTTCTTGGGGCCGTGAATCGGCCTGTATCTTAAATTATCGTTAACAGTTTCCAGGAAATAATCCGGGAAAATGCAACCCATGTTCAGTTTTTCTAAAAGAGTCGAGTTCGTGTCTTTTTCTTGTTTGTTAATGGTCGAAACGGCGTGTTCTCTGTCCCTGGAATTATAATAATTTTATTTTAAAAAATATTAATTCTATTCGTGTTAGATTTTGTTGTTTATTAAATAGAGGAAATATTAAAAGAAGGTAATTTTGATGTTTGTAGGAATAAATATAACATCAAATAAAATGTTTAAATATGTTTAGACATATTTGAGTGTTTTAACAATTATGATAATTGCGATTGATTTCGTAATCTCAAAAAAAAACAAATATTTGTTGTATCTATTTCAATATTCTTACTTTGACATTTTTTTGTGGAGTACGGGATATCAATAATTTTATCGTTGGTTTTAAAGTGGTTTAAAGTGTATCACAGATATTTTTAATATGTATTGTTTGAAATGAATAATGTCTACACTTTTAGAAAATTATTAATACGATTATTAATTAATACGACTCAATTAATTCGAGTTGCAATTAACGCACTATTCAATTTTACTAACAACTTAAAATTTAAATGTTTTATGCACTGTTCAAATACACCCTTAGCAACCTTCAATTTAAAGTTCTGTCAATTTATTTTACCACATTAATTAATACTTACTTTCGATAATTTTCGAAAAACTGAGTAGTCATGAGCAAATTGTCCAACAGAAACGTTTGAGGGCTTCCGTTGAATTCGAATTTTAGTTCATCCACGATCATTTTGTCCTCTTTACTCGCGGAAGCCACTTGAGTATCCGATAAAGTAGTCCCGATAATAGAGTCCCTCGGACACGAGGGATCTACATTTTCCTCCTTCGAGCAGCACCCACCCATTTTTACCCGACTTTGAGCGAGGGAATACTTTCACATTATACTCGATTATTGTTCGAAATTTTTTATGAGATTAAGATTTTCGTCTAATGTTAACTCCACAATGAGTGAAATAGATACCTAATCGGATATAGGCGGAGATAAGATAAACGATATGAATCTTGGTTTGATTGAAAGTTTTATCTATAATTTCGACTTATTGGTAGTAAGTTGTAATTAGACAGTTTAAGTTATTAATGATCTTAAGTACACTTTATACTCTAATTAAAGAGATTTTAATATTGCATGTTATCTCTTTGGTGCTAATTTTTTTGGGTTACGAAAAATTGGAGTTACGAACTAGATTGAATTTAAGTTGATATTATTCATGAAAAAAAATGTGGTAATTTTTGTATTATTAGTGCTACTTTTTATGTTTTTTACTACAATGCTCTTGATTCTCAGATTTCCTTTAATTTATTTGCCATTTTAGCAGCCCTTTATTATGTTGTTTCATTACTCTAGCCACTGTTGTTTTAATAACCTTTCTTTGTTTAACCCATGGAGATGACCATATATTGCTGTCTGAAGTGAAGGAAGGTCTATGGGTGCAACAAAGACAACTTTGATTATAGTCTCATATAAAAAAAAAGAGTGATACTGTGGAATTGCAACTTTCTTATTCTAACCACTGTTGTTTTAATAATCTTTCTTTGTTCAAATCATAGAATTGACCATGATATTGCAAACAATTTTGCATTTATTCGTACCTATATGCTATTTTTGTTTGGTCAGTTTTTAGTGAGACATTCTCGACATTTAAATAATCTATAGGTAATTATTATTAATAAATAATGTTAATTTTAATAATAATAACTACTCATATTATTTATTATTTTTTAGTATATCTACGAAAGTGTCGTTTTTAAATGTACTATAGTATTACAATACATTTTTTATAAAAATAAAGCAACAATAGCCGGAGCTAATATAGCCCAAGAAGTTAACGAATTCCATCCGATCGCGGAGTTGCACAGCTCTAAGTCGCATATGGAACAGCTCAACAGTTTCATTTGGGTTGAATTCGCTAAAGTTTCGACTAAGCCGCAGGGAGTTGTGCCGATGTAATTTTTGGCCATGCATCTGCGTTGTGTAGTTATTTTACCGGAAGTAGAAGCTGAATAAAAATGATTTTCATTAAACACTTTCTTATCTATGTTATTATACATGATCGTTGACAAAAATAGGCGATAGATAGATGCCTTTGGACTTTGAAACCTCACTTTTGAGCCTGATTAATAGGCAACCCAGTATACTCAAAGCTTACAATCGGATTAGAAGCGGAGGAGACAAATCTAATGATAAAAATTTAATGAGAGTATTCATAAAAATATTAGTACCTAAACATTTGTAAAATATATCAATCTTTTGACTTTGAGATTTTAATACTTACATTCCATGATGAATTTGCCGCAAACGTAACCGGAACTCTTGTTGCTCAAAATCAGGAAGCTTGTGTCCAATAAAAAGCTGTGATTAGTCTTGTTGCCGCCTTTCTGGTAGACTCCTGTCTCGCAATGTTGGATGGAGGCATCGGAAGGATCAAAAGGATCATTGCAGTTATCCTTGCAGCTGAAGCAGCTGGTCACTCCCAGTGAAACTGAAGGAGAAGATGAAACTGGAATCAGTAGAGTTGTAGAAATTTAATATTTGTTCGGGATCGTCTGTTTACCGAAATTGTACAGAAATATCGTACAAAATATGAATTTACAGTAATAATTATTCATCTTTCGTTGGTTGTTGTCGATAGTTATATAAAACACGTCTACAGATAATGTTGCTATTGAGTTTAAATGTGGGATGTTCTTGTTATGATTAATGTTATCACTTTGGTGCTCTTAAGTCAATTTATATCTCCGAATTTGTAAACTTTGTTGTTTTATTTATGTTTTAAATTATGAAAATAAAAACAAACTTCTTACTATACATATACAGAGTGACAAAAAAGTACCCGGAAAATTTTTTGATTCTCGTTCAAAATATGCTCCCTTTGAAGCATACACATAGTCGGACGTCTTTTCCAATTATAGAAACATTTTTAGATGCCCATTTAGCTCCTTCGCGAATTTTCTTTGATGACATTTATAGAAAATGTCGCACAAGGCTATCTCTGGTGAGTAAGGCGGCTGGTCGATAGTACTTCACTCGAACCAGCATCTGCATCGAACAACGGTTTAACGGGAGATGCTGAGGTCATGTGCAACTTATCTGATACTAGCATGATGATTTTCGAACTCAATTTCCTTCATTTTCTCGCCGTTATCATTGGTTGAAGTGGTCGAGAACCGTTCGGAACGAGGCAAGTCTTTAGCGATCTCCCGACAGTCTTTAAGTTTTGTACCATTCATAAATATGGGTTTTCGATAAAACAGTCGCTAATTTTTTGCATCCTCATTAAGAACAGTGTTTCTACCTACATGCAGAAACTTGAAATAGTTAAAATTATTAAGAGCAGGTAATTTAATTTAATCAGAAATTCCGGATACTTTTTTTTTGTCACAGTGTATGCCTACTCAGGCAATAAATTTCAAATGAAACCCGTCAACACTAATCAACTAGAACCATGACAGTTCAATCAAAAGTATAGTAAAAAGATCAGTAATCTAATAATAATTCATCAGTAATTCAACTAATCAAAAAAACCATGATCAAATTAAACCCGAAATGTTTGATGGGAAGCCTTTGCATATCGGTAGTCCTATTTACCGTCCACTCGACAGCGTACTTTCTGTACTGCTCCAACGAATGTTCCAAGCCCTTCGTATGCAAATCCATCAACCTAAATTTCAGCATTCAATCGTTGTTCCTGCTGATCTGCCTGCCGACGATCGGCGTTTACTTCCACAAAATCACGCCGAACGAGAAGGAAACCGCGTTCATCATAACCTCCTTGTACTGCATGCTGTTGAACGGCTTGTGGAGCATCGCCTTCGTCATTGGATTCATCCAAATCGGCAATAATATCGTGCACATTTGCGCATTTCTGTACATCAGCGTCAGCTTGTACTTCTTGCTGTCGTTCTGCGGCCTCATGCTTTGGGTGTACTTGAGGAGGAGGATTTATTTAAAAGAAACTAACGAGTATTTCAAACTGAAGGAGAACGAAATATATACCATTAATTTGTGCGATATTTAAGCGCCTGTTCACGTTCCATATGTAGTTTAATATTAATTATTTGTTAATGTTAAGGCTGGTGTATTCTTCCAAGTAAATAACAATGTACTGTTAGTATTACTAGCTTTGAATATACAGGCAAAACTTGTACTTGTAGAAATTTCATTCAAATAAAACACATTACCCAAACTACATTAATTTATTCTAGTATTACTATTTCATTTTCTTGCGTAAGTTCTCTTGAGCTTGTTTTATTTGATTTTGGAAGTTCGAGGCGACGTCCCTCATCAAAGCTCTGAATTGCTCGGGCGTCAGTCTTCCCTGCAGTTTCTGTTCTTCTATGAAATTTTTGCCGCTGTACATTAACCTAACTACTAGTTGGGCTGCTCGGCGCATCGGATACGATTCGCTGAGCCTCTGTACCAGTTGCTCGTTGTTGGCTAGTATTCTGATTATAAAGCGTAGGACCATGTTAAGGTTTTTGAATTTCGAAGGGATACATGTAACGGTACTTCTGTACGAGTTCTTGCTTGAGCCTCAATTGGGTTTTCAACGCTTCCAGGTGATTGAGTTGTTGTTCTTTACTGAAATCTATGCCCGGTAGCATGCGAATCTGAAAGTGTACGAATAATGTTAACCTTCAAAGGTCGTGTGATTATTTATTCCCTGTTGGTGCATACCTCAGTCCTGGCTTGATCTAAACGCTTCTGTAGCTCTAATACTTTTTGAGAACAGTCCTGGGAATCCCTCGTTTTCGCTGTATTATCGTGGTGGTTGTCCTTTTCGACACTGAAACATTTTTGTTATTTCGACGTCAGTGTGTGTTTATTTTTAGTATTATAACCTTACCTTTTAATAATATCGTAGATTACAGGCAATATTTCAATGTTGAGGTCTTCTACGTTCAATATTTTATTATTATTTTCCGTATTTGATTCCTCAGTGTCCATTTTACAATTCTAAAACATCCTTTTGATTATTAAAAAAATATGTTTACAGAAGAAATATTGAGGTTGACATTTGTAAGGCCTCTTACTCTTCGTGCAAACATACAAAAAATTAATGACGTGACATATGTCATAAGTCACGTGTCAGTAAACTGAACTTCAAGTGTCACACTGACGTTCCCTTTGTCAAAATAATAATAAATTTTCAGAAATTTCAAATATGCCACAATAAATCTGTTTTTATTCCGTTTGATTATTAAATTACGATAAAATGGGTGCTCTTTTAACAACGAGACAGAACGATGGTGTCGAAGAAGTCGACATAGCCTCGAATCATTCTTACAAGTATCCACCCAGATCTGGTTAGTTACCACCATTATACCAATCTAATTAGAGGTTTATTTTTTACTATTATTTTCAGGCAATTATTTCGGAAGCCACTTCATAATGGGCGGAGAACGTTTCGACACGCCACAACCGGAGTCCTACCTATTCGGTGAAAACTCCGATTTGAACTTCCTCGGAAGTAGACCAACGCCAGTAAGTACTCACAAAAGTACTATAACAATCGCAATGCAAGTATCATTCGTATGATTCCAGTTTCCCTACCCTCCACCGCAACCCAACGAACCCACAAAGACATTAAAATGCCTAGTAAACATACGAAAAGAATCGTTGAGATTCGTAAGAACCAGCAACGATTACAGCAAATTAAGCAACGTCGACAAAGGCGAATACAGAGATGTCGAATTGGGCACCAACACATCCTTCAACATCGAGTTCACCTTCGATTGTGACGTTCGATGCGCCATCACCGTTTATTACTTCTGCACGGAAGAATTTACTACCACCGGTGTGGCGTAAGTGCAACTTTCAAAGAGAAAACCGTACAATGTTTATTGCGTTTAATACGGCAGGTACATTCCGAGACACCCTTCGCTCACGTCCGAAACATTCCACTACAGCCGCGGCTCCAACCAGCAATTCTGCCAGCCGGCGCACGCCTTCAATCCGGCGCGATACAACGAGGACGAGCTCCTCTACGACGTCGACCGAGAACTCATCCCCATCGCCATACATTGCGTCACCGAAGAGGGCCCCGAGGAGATGCGCCAATCCCACACCACCATCGCCATAGTCGAGAAAATCACCGACGGGACCTACCTGTTGAAGGCCCTAAAGCAGAAGCTGTTCGTCGACGGGCTCTGTTATTTGCTGCAAGAAATCTACGGGATCGAAAACAAAAATAACGATAAGGTATGGGTTAGTTCATCGGTCTTTATTCATCCAGGACTTTTACAAAGTAGGCATATAGTTTGAGGAAATGTTGCAAGTACTCATTCCACTTCATAAAGCTCCTTCAATGAGGATTATTTTAAGTTCAACACTGAAACTTGCTATCAATAGATATGTACAATTGTAAGTGACAAAACATGCTGGAAGAGCTTTGTGCAATATCAAGTTTACACACTCAGTTCAATTGACAAAGTACAAGGCTCCAGGAAGGTTACATGTTTCAGAATAACTATACCATCATCAGACCTACCTACCTACTACAGATTTAATTCCAGACAATTAAAATATTGTTACAGGCGAGTGGAGACGACGATACCGACGATAACGGTTCCGAATGCGTAATTTGCATGTGCGACGTAAGGGACACGCTGATACTGCCCTGTCGCCATTTGTGCCTCTGCAATTCGTGCGCGGACGCGCTGAGATACCAGACCAACTACTGTCCGATTTGCCGGGCTCCGTTTAGAGCTCTGCTGCAAGTTAGAGCGTTGCAGAAGAGTCCCACGTCGAATCTCGCCGCCATCAGCCCGCCGGACGTAAGTCTCGAAGAATTGTCATTAACCCCAATGCGAAAATCGAGTCGAGAGCGGCGTACGAAGGAAATCTGTATTTGAAAATTTACCACAGCTCTTGTCTATATGTAGCATTACGTGTAAAAGTAGCGTTTAGATTTATAATTTGGTGTGTTTGTGTAGGGCAGTTGCGATAACATTCCGCCGGGATATGAGGCAGTTTCTCTGATAGAAGCTTTAAACGGCCCTTGCATACCTCGTCAACCGCCGTCGGCGGCTATGCCGGATTTGGTGGAGACGCCCGAGAACGAGCACGCCATACAAGCGGCTCAGATTTTGAATAGGTGATTGACGGTCCTTTGTTTGATTACCTATAGATTAAAATTATATCGATTGGAATGGTGTTTTGTAGACAATGCGACCGCAGCACTCCGACGAAAAAGAGAGGAGGCGGTTTGGAGCCGCCGCACAGTCCGGATTACAGTCGCGACATTAACATGTTGACTACAAGGCGAATAGAAGACGAAGATAGCAACAAGGACGGTAAATTGCCTTTGTTGGAGAAGGAAATTGACCGAAGACGAAAGCGAGACGATGTCAGATTGATTAACGAGAAGAACGAAAAGGAAGCTGTAAGTAAGGTGCGAGTGTGAAGGTGAAGATAAATTCAGTTGATGTATTTTGTAGAATGTTGACGAAGACAGTGAAACTGAAAAGTTGTCGCCACTTTTGCAAAAAATCGATAGGTCTACTTCCAAAACCAACAATTTAGCCTTGAACATGGAGGACGTTGTCGATCCGATCGATGATCAATATACTGACGATCAAGAGGACCACCAGGAACTACCCGAAAAATGCAAAACTTACGGTATGTTTCAAAAAAGCCATCCTATTTGTAGATCCTTCTCTACGTTTTTTCCCATTTCCATTTAGCAAAACAAATCTGCAAATGATGAGCTCGCGCAGCGAGGAAGACCTTACTTAGGTGGTCTAAAGTCGTCAGGTTATCTTTATTATACGAAACAAACTTTAACTTGACAGGTTTTAAATTGTTGTTATGGAGTAACTAGGGACTTTAAGAGTCACTAAACTTAAACGGAAGCGCTGAATATGGGCCAATATCTAAGAAGTGTTCATGTCGAGCTCGCTCAGCAGTCGACGCAGGGCGGTTTTACATCATAGAACTCCTTCGTGATTCGTTTATTAAAGGTACAATCGAATTTGTTAGGTGAGAGAGGCGACGAATCGGACTACTACACGCCGGACGAGCCGATCCCGTCGGCGCCGCTCTACGAAGGGACAAACGTCAGCTCGGTGGAGAGTACGCCCCAACGCTTGCCGGGTACGCCGTTGTCGCACGCGAGCGTTCGCAGCAGCGGCGACAGCTACACGAGCGGGTCCAGTACTCGCCATTTGTTGGCCATCGCTGGTACTGGGTTGGTTCAAGAGAAGTCCGTCAATGTGTGAAGGTATTTTTCTCGGTAGGTTCGTAAGTAAAATGCACTAAATGGGGCCGAAGGGTTTTTTTTATCACTTCCGTGTAGAGAATAGTTGGTAGAACAATTAATAGTCATTCTTATGATGTATTATTCCCAGCTTAAAAATGTCTTTTTAGTGTGTTTTACTTAGATTGTTTTATTGTATCATACACAGTTTGTTCTGATTGGTTAATCTCTCGTATACTATTTTAATTTTGTGCATTGTTTTCCGTCCCATATTTTATTATTTATCTCAAATGATCGAATCGCAAATAGAATATTTTAATTAATAAGTTTAATGGCATTGCTTGAACATTTTAGATTTTTAATATTAGGGCAACACAAGTTATCAAATTATTTGTAACTCTCGAAAATTGAGAATCTGTTACAAATTAATTATAAATCAAGTTCTGCCATTAGTATGAGCATTTCCATTACAGTTATTTGATTATTAAATTTAATATTAATTTTATATACTCCAGCTTTTACAATATATACAGTGTGTCCGCGTAAATAATACATCACCTGTGTATTCATTAAAAATAATGTATGTAGAAATAATCTTTTGTGATAGATTGAAATTATAATATAACTTATAAAGTGGCCGTTTTTGAAAAAGAAAACATGGAAAAAGGGTAGAATATAGTTAATATTAAGTTGTAAATAATTTTATCGAGCTCAATACTTTACATTACCTGTAACTACAAGAGAATTATTTAACTTCTTGTTAGGTGCCAATTTTTAATTCTTTTTTAATTTCAAAACAGTGCAATGCTTGTTCAATGCTGGTTAAGACTGACTGTTAATCACATTTTTTATCGGTATGATTAATTGCTAATTAATTGTTTGATCTAGTTACAGTTAGTGTACGTGTTTTTTTATTAATTTGTATAATTTGATGGAATCTATAGGTATTTTGGTTAGTTAATTTTATACTGTAAAAAATAAATTTACGAAGAATTGTAGGTGTTATTCAAATGGATTAAACATTTTTTCTCTACCGAGTTTAGGCTATACGAAATTGTTTCGGATAATCCAACGGATATTCGGATAATTCATAAACATGATAATCCACCAAAGCTAAACCCCGCTTAAATTAATTTATATATACAGGGTGTCCCAATGAAAAGTAGCCCGTTTAATCAGCTTATGACTTTTCGATAACTTAACTTTTATTATATTTTCAAAGTAGATATCTACTTTTAGATATGAGCTGATTAAATAGGCTTCTTTTCATTGGGACATCCTGTATATTATCCAATTTCTCATTCAAGAAAACTCTTTACCTGAATAAGAAATTTGATAACCCAAAACGACTTCATCCTATTCCCAATTTGTATTATTACGTCTCGACCAACGTCTATCGGTGTGTTAAAAATAAAAATCACTTTTTTGTTTATACAAATTTTATATTAAAAAATTAGCACAAGTTACAACAGCTTTTTTTGGTACACCCAGAAGGAAAAAAAAAACAAAATTACATACGAAATTATGAAACTCTTTGGTAAAACGTTTTTCATTTTTGATATTAATCGAACAAAACGCGACACTGAAATTAATGCACTAGTCGATTATCGAATATAAATTTCCATTTTGTCGATATATTTTTTTAATTAAAAATGGTTGCACTATATTTTTTAAAAATACATTTTTTATTTTTGTCTATAAAAAATTACAATAATTAATACTTAAAAAGCATACTAAAATTTATAAAAACCTATGTACAAAAAAATTATAAAAGCTATACAAAAATTTACGATAAAGCAACCAATAATCGCGTTTCAAATTTACGTCTACATTTTTTACGCAAAATATATTTCAAAAAAATTAAAATTGTATACATATTTTTTTTGATCTTAAAAAATATTTGTCGTTTATATATTTTCGCTATTTTAAAATATAAATTAAGTCTATAAGAATATTTTTAAAATTCAAACTATTTATATGATATATATTTTTTGTAATCCTTCTTCCTAACGCTCGCAGGCGGTCGAATTAACCTTTAGTTAAAAAAATCCAATAAAAAATACAATTATTAGTAAATAAACCAACACGTACCTAGAGATTTTTACTGCCTCGATCCCCTTGCAGCCTCTTCCAGAGCCCTCACTTTAAGTTCTCGTTCTCTTTGTTGCCTAAAATATGAAAACTACAATTATACAGGACCACCCCATCCTTTAATTCTCTATACACAAGCCATTTTACACACTACAGTTTAACAAACATTGCCTGAAAAACACGTTTCAGCATTTAATACTTTTCCCAAATATTTAACGTACATTTTACTTATGCTTCCTTTTAATTAGAAAATTAATCTAAACCACTTACCTTAAGTACTCTTCGTGCTGAGCCACTATCGAAGGATGAGGAGGAAACCGGTCTCTTTCTAGCATCATCTGCCTCTGCAACTGCTCGTGTGCAGCCGCCTAAACAAATCAATTTATTCATCACGCTACACCACCAAATCCATTTTATATACTTACAGTGTGCGCCAATTGATCAGCATAAGGCCTCCCCAGCAAATCCGGATGGTGCAAACCCAACGGTCCGTCTCTGCTCGGCATCAGACCCGGTCGAGGATAACCTGGAGCCCCAGAAGCTTTAAATATGGCAGATACGTCAGTAAAATTACGTAGGCGAAACAAATTTTTTATAAAAAAAAACACAACGCTTACCAGGCAAGGGAAAACCCGCCGCCGCCGCGGCCGCCTCCTGTTGCGCCTGTTGCTGCTGCGGATGCAGATGCAGGTGCGTGTGGGCGTGGGTGTGCGCGTGCGTGTGCGCGTGATACTCCGGAGATATGCCGGCCATTTGCAAACGTACCTTCAATAGGGAGAAAGAAAAACAAAAAGAACAAAGTAATAGAATTTGCGTCGATTCGAACGATGGTCGATTGTAATAGAATTGTCTAATACACTATGAACCACTATTGCATGACGATAATTTAGTCCAGATGTAATTTTAAATAAAGTTGGTAGTATTTCTTACCATCGGATCGGTGGCGAGGGCGAGCCTTTCGGCGGCTTCGAGTTGCGCCTGATGGGCGGGATGATGCGGATGGCCGGGCGGCGGTCCGCCCGGACCGCCCGGTCCTCCCGGTGGCGGCGGGATGCCCAACCGTTCGAGCCGTTCCCTTTCCATTTGGGATAGAGGAGCGCCCGCCCCGCTGGGATATAAGGCGAAGTGATGCAGTGGCAAACCCGCAGGACCTGTAATTATTACATAATTGATTAAAACACTACATACGATCCCGGTCTCCAAAATCGCCCGTCCCAATAAATAGTTCCTTGTTAAACGCGCCCTACCACTTATTTTGAATGGCAGGGCTTTGAGAATGCGTTGTAAAGCTGGCAACGTTGCTTGCTATGGTCAGTCAAATTCGAAACTCGCGAGAAGCTGGTCGGATCATCCTTCTGTGACCATAGCAAGCAATACAAATGCACTCTCAAAGCGCTGGCATTCAAAAATAGGTGGTAGGGCAGGTTAAACAAGAAACTATTTATTTGGGTGGGCGATTTTGGAGAGCGGGATCGTACATACAACACTACACAACACTTACCTCCAGGTCCTGTTAAACCAGCAGCAGCGTATCTCCTTTGGATCTCCAGCCAGTGTGGATCCATCGGATTGGCCGGTCCTCTCATACCGCTTTTCATTATTTCCTCTTTCAACCTATCGTTCAATTCCCTTTCTCTGAGCTCCCTGATTTCACGTTCGCGTTTCTCTCGTTCCAAGTGCTCCAATTCCAATCTATATAACGAATCACGAATCAGAATAACGTTCTATATTCGAAACATCGCTCGTACGTACCTCTCTCTGGTACCCGGTCCGTACATGCTATTCAACTGGTACTGTATCATTGGGTCCATGACGGGATGAGAAGGCGGCAACAACGACCTCGGAATGTGACCTATAAACATTTTGTTAGCTAATTATTAGTAATAAAAAGAGATACGGTTTCGTTTGTCGCCTTACCGGGACTGAAACCGGCGTGGGGCCTCGCGTACTCGGACAGCTGTCGCAGCGCCGGCGTATCGTTGAATCCGGGCCGCGGGAACCGCTCGTACGGGCTGCTCACGTTCTCCAAGTGCCCCCTAGACGGCGGCTTCACGTCCGGTTTTTCGGGCGTCGTGATCTTCCTCTGTTGCGCCTGTTGGGCGCGCTCGCGTTCCTCGCGCTCCCGTTCGGCCTGTTTGCGCAACCGCTCCTCGCGTTTCCTCGCCAACTTCGAATCGGGCACCGGCTTGAACGTCAGATCGGTCCTCGTGCACGAATTGTAATCGCCTCGGTTCCAATGACGCAAGAATCTGCGCGAAAACAACGCAACTAATTCTATCTATTCTATAGTATCGCAGTACTACGTACATTGCACTTTGACTCCTGTGACACTCGGTATCCTCGATCCTCGGCTCGGGCGACGGGCCCCTCGGCGGCGCGACGGGGCTCTGCTGGCCCTCCTCCTCGGGCGTGACGGGTTCCGGATCGGGTTCCACTTTGATCACCTCGTCGGCGATGAGTTTGGGCGGCGCGTTCATCGGCGACGAGGGCGGATGCATGCCGGCGGCGGCCTGGGCGGCGTGCGCCCGCAGCACGTCCAACGACGACGAGTGATGGCCCATGTTGGGCGGCTGGATCATGAGGTGGTGGGCGTTGGGCGCCTGCGGCGTCGGCGGCTTGTGCATGCCGTGGCGCAGCAGTTGCGCGCCCGGCGACAGCCGATCGTGGTGCGTGTGGGTGTGATGGTGCGTGTGCTGGTGGCTGCTCGCCGAGCCCGACGACGAGTGGTTCAGGCTCGATGAGGACGTCGTCTGGAAATTGGGGAATTCGTCGAGAAATCCGTGAAGTATATACAGAGTGATCCGTATAGTAATGGCATAACGTGAAGGGGAAGATGCTCGGCCTTAAAATATTACGATCTAACCCAACCCCAAGATACAGAGTAGCAAAGTTGAAAGGTAAAAAATGATTTTTCGCGGCAGTTTGAAAGATTTTGGATGTACGAACGTGAAACTGTAGAGATATGTGTTTTAAGATATGGAAAATCATCGTATGATATCCGTTTTGGGGATATTTTTTACAAGGCGCCCCGTGAGCTATGCTGTTGATGTAAATGTACGTCTAACTTTTTTATTCTTAAAGATAACGTCCTTTTTATTAAAAAATATTGAAACAATAACATTTTTGTGAAAAATGAATCGCAATGAATCGCATTTTACGAACCACACTACAGATTTTTCTGCAGTTCATTAAATTCCTTTAAAAACAAGAAAAATCTTTTATTAAGTGAAATGAATTCCATAATTTTATTATTTTGGTCCTTTCATTATTTTTTTCGTTTTTATTTTCCGTAAAATTATCGAGTATAGAGGTATTGGACCTATTGAATATTTATTAGGTAAACTAAAATAATGATTTTGTTGTGTTATCAGTTTCAAAATGTAGAATCCATGTTTTTAAGTCTAGTTCTTAAGAAGTTATTTTTTTTAAATAAAACTTAATAATTTCATAATAATTGCTTTAGTTATGTAGTTGCTTCTGAAAATGCGATTATCTCGAAAACTAGCAACTTTTGAGGCTAACAACAAGTATACCTTTTTTTACAAAAATGATACAGTTTCAATATTTTTCAATAAAAACAATCGTTAGCTTAAGGGATAAAAAAGTTAGACGTAGAAAATATCTCAAACCTGATATCATACTGTAATTTCTCATGCATTAAAACACCTGTCTTCAAATTTTCATCATCATACGTCCAAAATCTATCAAACTGCTGCGACAAATAATTTTTTAGATTTCAATTTTGCTACTCTATCTTTTTTATTTTCAATATTTTACTAAAGCAAGTTGGCTCAGATCATAATATATTGAGGTCGAGAATCATCCATTTCAATTTGAGCCATTACTTACGCACCACCCTATAGAACGTTATAATATACCTGAGAAACTGGAGTATGCGGAGAACTACTCCTCACCGTCTTCTGATTAACCTTGTGCTGCACGCTCTGGCTGCTGCTCGTACTGGTACTGTGCGAGATGGTAATGCTGTGGCTGCTCCCGTAGTTGTGTTTGTCGACGGTGGCGTGCACCGAGCTGTTGTGCGACGTGCTCTGGTGATTGGTCAGCGTCATCTCGTGCGTCTGATGCCGCTCGCCGTTCTCGTCCGATTCCCTCGTCTCGCGCTTCGACGTGAGAGTGGAACTGGTGCTGTGCTGCGACGACATCAACGTGGCGCTGACGGTGTCGATGGACTTCGGCGCGCCGATCATCTCGTGCCGGCTGGTCGGCGGCGGCACCGGATGCGGTTGCGGCACCACCGGATACGGATAGGGATAGGAGAACGGGTAGCCGGAGTAGGGATGCGGACCGGGGAATTGCATTTGGAGGAACGACGGGTGGAAGTGCGGATGGTGCGGCGGCATCGAGCCGTACGGCGACGGGTGCGGTTGCGACGGGTGCGGCTGCGGCAGCGACGTCGGCGGCATCGAACTCGGCGATATCAAATTGATGGCCGAATGCGGCGAATTGGTACCTACGATTCGACGACGATTAACTTCGTAACGAACTGTACTCGAATCGAGTAGACTTACATTGTTGTCGTAGAGGAGGCGGCGTTTGTTGGCTGCTCGGCGTTGGAGTGTTAGTATTACTGCTGCTTTTGGGCGTCGAGCATTTTTCGACGTGCGGTTTCGGACTGGGACCCGTGCTCGACGATCGAATGTATTCCTGCTCTTTTTTGATGTTCTCCACGGCAGGACCGGAAGCGGGACGATCGTTCCTGTCTCTCTCCCTGTCCCTGTCCCTGTCCCTATCGCTATTCGACTGATTGTGCGATTGCGGCGGAACATATCCGGGTATCTGCAAAATATAACGATTTTATGAGAACAATTTCGACAAAGTGGGTTCGTTCCAGCAGCATGCTTTGTATTGTTACGAACATTATGAGCGTTCCATCAGCATGTTATTTGGTGTTCTGAGTAAATGTTTGCTGTTCCTGCAGAATTCGTTTTTTGTTTGGATCATGTTTGAGATCTTCAGAACTGTTCTCGTTTAAAGTGAGCCAATTCAGACATTTACCCATTCAGACATTTAGAACAATTCGAAAATAAGTATGGTTATATTAGTTTGTTGTTGGTCATAAATAATTGTTTAGTTATAATTTAGTTTTAAAATATGAAAAATATTGACTTATTTGGAGCTATGGGCGAAAGTAGTTATTAATAGTTATGATGAATTATCGGAAAACGATTTTGAAGAATTGTTGGAAGAAACGCAGAGGCCAAAAAAATAAAAATTATATCGAGGAAACCGTTCTTCAATATTCGAAAAATGAATTCAAAGAGAATTTCCGTATTACAGGATACCCAACAAATATTCGAGGTGTTCCAGCAAGAAATGTTCCAATCTTACAACGAACTTGTATACATCAGGGTATGCGCAATACAATACTGGTACAACCATAATTTGAACATGCTGCTGGAACAAACCTATTAACACATACCTTTACGTCCTTCAAACTTTGCAATGGATCCGTCATAGGACTGGGCAGGTGGCTTGGAGGCGCCACGAACCCTCCAGAGGTCGGCAAACTCGACGACAGATTCTGCGAAACGGGCGGCAAGGCCAGGCTTTGGGGCGGCTGAGCGGCGCCGCCGGCGCCCAAGGCGGTTTGCGTAAAACTGCTCAAACCGCTCAAATGATTGGGAGGCAACGGTTGGTTCTGGGTGCTGGGGACCTCCTGTACCTCCTGCTTGATTTTGAGGTTCTGCGGCTCGTTCTGGTGCGACGGCTGGTTCTTGTCGATGTTGCGCGGACTTTGCGGGTGGTTGAAGGGACTCAAGCCGGTCATGAAGCCGTAGTGGCTGATGGGCGGCGGCGGTTGGGTGCCGCCTATCGTCACCAAATTGCCCGACATTAGGCTGGGTAGCGGCGGTTGGCCTATGGAGGAGGAGGAAATTTGTACCAAGTCGGGTCTCTCGGGCCGGTCGACGCGCTCCGGTCTTTCCAATTTCTCCAAACGCTTCTCTTCGTCGTAAGTCGTTATGTTTTGCGCCATCGGTATGACTTGGGGGATGTTCAACGGGTTGTAGCTTTGCGGCTCGGATCTACTTTGACTAGTCAATTCCATCGGTTCCTCTCTGGGTTCCAATTTTATTACGGTGTTGTTAACGCTGCTTATTGCGGCGTTGGCGTCTTTAGGCGGCTGGTAACTGTACGGTTCCTGTTTGATTTCATTGTAAGGTTCCGGCGCTTCGGGTTCCTTCGCTTTCGGCGCCAGGTGATTGATCAACGGCGGATCTTTCATGCCGAAACTGACGGGTTCTTTGATTAGATTTTGCGGCATGAAAATGCTGTCTTTGTACGAGGATTCCTCCTTATTGTGTATAGATTCGTTGGAATTGTCCAATTCTTCTTTGATCGGATGGATTTTCGGTATGATTAATTCGGTTTTGAACGATTTCTCGGGTATTATCGGACAAGTTTCTTTAGGTTCTTCCTTCGATTCGCTTTCGGAATTCTCCGAATTTTCGAAGGCGCTCTGCGGATTGTACTTCATACCCATGATACTCTCCGAATTGAAATTCGCCGCCTCCATGTTAAATTTAACGTCTTTGCTGTCCAAAGCCGAGTCCAAGTTGCGTTTGATCAGATTCTTCCTTTCGTTTATGTCGTCCGGCAAGCGTATGGATACGTTTAGAGGCATGGGTTCGGAGACGTGGGATTTGGACGAATTCGAGGATATGCTCGAAGGCGACGGTGGTAAAGGTTTGATGTCCGGAGGCTCGACGATTTCTTGTTTCAACGGCTTGCATAGGGATTCCTGCGAAGAAGTTGCGGTGCTCGCCGATGATGTTGATGTTGTAGAAGCCTGTAAAATTGCAATTCTTTAAAATTGTTCTGTATGTGACACCTATAGGGTGTCGATTAATTGAGTGCCGATACTTTAGGATGTGAATATTTGGATGATTTTAAGAAGAAAAGTTTATATCAATATATGTCGTAAACCTCTTAGTTTTCGAGCTACCGGGTGTTACAATTTTAGAAACAAAAAATAACTTTGCTCATAAAAATCATAATTTTCTTATTGGTATAGCTAATTCACGTCATTTTCGTGGATTTGAATTCTTACTGGGATTGGTGATTTTGAACCTCTTTATTTACCAAAGGAATAACTTTTTTATGTTTTTAAAGTTGTAATACGTACAGAAGACGTTGAAGCTGATGAAACGCCGGCCGCGTTACAAGCAGGATTCGCCTCCGAACTGTCGTTATCGTTCTCCGTGTTTTCCACATCGTCGTTAACGGTCTCGGAATCGGTCGTGAGGCTGCACGGACTTTCGGCCCTGTCGCGTTTCTTCTTCAACAAACCGAGATCCCTCTCTTCGATGTCGTTCTCCTCGGATTTGTTGTCCTGCTGGCGCTTGCGGTTGTCCTTGTTCTTGTTCGGCGTCTCCTGCTTGTCGCTCTTCTTCTTCTTGCCGGGCGTGCCGTTGCCCTGCGACGACGTCGTCTTGTCGGCGCTCTGCGACGATTTTATCGGCGTCTTGGGCTCCGGCGTCTCGGTGCCGCCTCGCTTCGGTCGCACCCGGTTCGTCGTTTGTTCTTTGGCTTTGTTGCGGGTGCGCATGCGTTGCGGACTCGTATCGGGGGAATCTAAACCAAGCGAATTTTAGATAAAGTTTCGTTTACTTGGAATTAACAGTACCCGTGTTACCGCCGGCGGCGGGAGCTGTAAGAGGCGGTAGTTCGTTGGTTTTCTTGTAGTGTGCTCTGCAATCGAAGCATAACATTTGCCGGTCCTTACCGCCGTGTTGCCAATCTTTGGAATCTACGGAAAAAACGAGGATTTTAGTATAATTTTGTTGTTGTTGACCGGCTATGTAGAGGACGGTACTTGCACTGGATGGCTCGGTGAATGAAGGCCAGATGTTACAATAAAAAAGGGAGTCATTGGTTAACTAATAATGGTGGCACAAACAGTACAAAAATAATACTAAATTCAGTAATAGAGTATTAAATATGGAATGCAATTGAAATAGTAGTCTCGCTAAAGTTCGTACATTTTAAAATGACAATTACTTCATTTCTGGTAATTTCCGCGCAGTTCAAATTTTATCTAGAGCGGTTGAATTGCCAATGCGTTGTTTTTGTGAGACTTTCCCTGCGATTTTTGTCTTTTTCTAGAGCGTTCTAGGCAGTTCTAAATGGCGCTGAACAGTTCTAAATGGCGCTGAACAGTTCTAAATGTCCCTGAACAGTTCTAAATGGACCTGAACAGTTCTAAATTGTTATGGGACGTTCTAAATCGTTCTGGAGTAGCCCAAATGGTTCTAGACAGTTCTAAATAGTTATGGAGTGTTGTAAATTGTTCTCGACAGTTCTAAATGGTTCTAGACAGTTCTAAACGATTCTGAAACGTTCTAAAAGGTTTTGGAACGTTCTAAATGGTTCTAGACCTCTCTAAATTATTCTGGAGCGTTCCGAATGACTCCAGACAGTTCTAAATGATTCTGGAGGTTTTGCCTTTGTCCTGTTTTTTTTTTCAAGTTAACTAGTTGTTTTTGTATTTTTCATCTGTTTTAAATAGTTTTTCATGTCAGATGTACATGTTAGAAATGACACAACTTGATCTCTAAATAATCAGATTCAAAAGTTTTCTCAGAAATTTAACTATGATCTTTTTTAAGCGACAATTATACACTAAATTTTTTACTGGCACTGTTAAATATATTTCAGATTATAAAGGAATTTGATGAATAATTATAGTGAGCCCCTGAATACGTCCACCGTTCAGAAACGTGAAACAGGTACCCCTAATTTTCAATTTGTTCTCGTCATTTTAACAATTTTAGAAAATTCTCAGATTTTGTAAACTCTCTAAAAGTTCGTCAACACTGCCTACTTGTAACGTACTAAATTTTAGGTGACGTGTATTGATGTTTGTTTTGCACCAACTGTATCTCTGAATTGGTACTTACTGGTTGTGAAGCAATGCGAACATCGGTACTGAGCCTCGCGACTGTCGCTGTCGTCCTCGCTGTCGTTGTCATCTTCAGTGACCGAGCTGGTTTCGCCGGGCTCCTTGCCGGGTTGAGGCGAGGGACGGTTATTTTCCGTCTCAGCCGGTACGTTTCGACCTAAAATCGTGGCTTATGAAAATAAACGTGCATAGATTTAGAAACGGATACGACTATGTACAAAATAGTAAAGTGACTGCGGCATTTGCTTGTTAATGTGTTAATTTAGTCACACGTTTAATCGATCTTTGTTGTATGGTTAACGTTTTATTAGTACGTTAGTATTTACTGTTCTAAATATGTACTAATTCAAAAACAATACTATTCTACGTTAGGGGGGAACATGTACATGTAGGTTGGAGCAAAAATTTACAATTGCACCGCCCTAAGTAAAGGTGGTGGCCTAAAAAAATATTAAATTTTATCAAAACTCGTACGAAAATTAAGTGCTACATTTTACAGCACCTAATGTTTGATTAAAGAAGTGCATTAGGTTCGTTTTCGAACGTTCAAAGCTTCGCATTTGCGCCAAGTTATTAGAACGATTCGATACTATTAAAACTCTCTTTAACCAAACATTTGATACACATGCAGTTAAATCATTTTTTTTTTTTCATTAAATATAATTCCCATGCATTGCTTTTTTACAATTGGGGTATCTAAACTACAGCAATTACTTGTAAAATAAACTACCTACACTTACCCCTAGTATCGCTTTGTATGATAAGATATTCGTCTACAAAACTTAATTCAACTCTAATAATGTCAAATAAAAAATTTAGGTTTAAAACGACACTAGGTACATACGATCTACGAAAACTCCTCATTTGACTATCTCTCAAGAAAAACAAACCTTGTGGTTGTTGGTTTTAGGTGTCTAATTCAATAATTTCGTTCTTATTCGTGTATTTCCTTATTTTGTTTTTAAATCAGAAAACTTGCTGTGCTTCGATTGACGGAAATTTCAATCTTTTTAGGCCACCACTAACCACAAATCACAAACTCACCTGCGCTACTTGATGTATTACCTCCTCTACTGTTACGCGTATTCCTGATGCGACGCAGCGATCCCTGGCGTCGCCTCCTGTGAGGACGATTGTTATTCGCGCCCGGCGTTTTCTTCCACAAATAGTAGAACTCCACCAGCTCGTGCTGCGGCATAAACGACATGAAATTTAAACGCCTACATTTAACAAACCGATAACCTACAGTGTCCCTGTGCGGCAGCAAATCCTTCCTGATCCTGAAGAAATTCTTCCCGAACTGTCTCAAACCCTTAACGAAACGTTTCGTTTCTTCTTCGCTCCACTTCTTATCGATCCCTTTGGGCACCGGGCATTTTACGAGAGCCTGCAAGGCTTTGCCCGGATCGTATCCCGAATCGTGCAACTATAACAAAGCAAGCATTACATCCCACGCGGCCTTAGCTACGAGAGCAATTCAGCCACTCGATGATGTCCGTACCACGTCCAAGGCGTTGATGGTGGTGTCGTCCCTGGAGGCGGCGTTGGCGCCGTCCTCGGGGCACCCGCCGTCGCACATTCCCGCGAAGGCGGCCATCGATCTCGCGGCCCTCAGGTACATCAGAAGGTCGGCGTCTAAGGTCATCGCGGGCACCCATCGGAGCTCCTCTCTGATCTTGGTCTGTTCCGGATCGGGCGAGAGCTGTTCCGGTGGTACGCCCGGCCGGTATTCCGGAAGGCGAGCCTGGCGATGTGATCGTGAAGTATACGGATTAATTATCGGTTTGGTTACCACTATACTTTATTTATTAAATAGAAACGATATTTTAAAAAAAATATTATATTACTTTTATCTACTAAATTTCTCTAAAATTTACTGAAGTAAAATTCCAGAAAAAATACATTTAAATAAAGAAAAAGCCTAGATAAAATATGTATATGACTTTGCATAAGTATAATTTGAAATATTTTACAGATCAAACATTCAGTGATGTGATTATAAATGTCTCTTTATTCTTTAAATAAAGTATAGCAACATTAAATATATTTAGGTGTAAAAATTAGAGCAAGAGAAACGACTTTAATTTTAATGAAATGTTTGTGTACATTCCTGCAAATGTCTTGCTCTTGCTCAATGTGTAATTACACAAAGATGAACTAGTTCATTAAATAAAGTATTATATGTAATAAACTACTTCTAATTACAAAGAAACAGAAAAACACAGTAACTTTCTACTTTAGCCAATTATACAGCTTTTACATGCCAATTTTATATTAATATTTTGAAAATTGTTTAAAAACATGCTTGCTCCAGAATCTCCACCAATTGAAATAGTAAAAGAGCATATATAAGGGGTAATTTAAATATTTACCACAAGTATAAACTACTTATTCGAATAAATAGTGTTATTTACACTTAACATTAAATGGAAAAAATATTCAAAATGCTCTTATTAAATCATGCATTAAAAAAATTTGAACGGCACATTTTTTTGCTACAAAAAGAATCGATCAATTTCAAAACAGCTTTACTATTAGAATAATAATTAGTAACACGGAAATAATCCCGTGACGAATGGAATTATTACAAAAATGTGCTCGTCAATTTTCAGAAGGAGAAAAATGACTTTTAATGTTTCTAAATAGATAGAAAACGACTTCTACTTCCATTGAGATTTTCGGATGCAAAATAATAAATTTCGAACAATGTTACCGTGATTTTTTTCTTATTCAACGTACATAAATATCTTTTACCTGGCTGCTGGGACCCACCCTAATTTCTCCTTGAGTAGTAGCCATTACGTTTTTTTCCAATTAGAACGTTCAAAAGCCTATAAATAAACAGAAAAAATATTATATCAATATGCTGCAAACGTATTTAAACACATGTCTAAAGTACAAACGAGTTTCGTGTAATTAGCAATTACACATTGGAATTAATTCGAAGCAGTTTAATCATCTACTCAACATTTATTATTTTAACAATATAAATAGATTAAAGTTTCTAGTATTTATGCACCTGCTGAAATTGTGTTTGGGAATTAATATGCCAATATCGAGCTATTATATACACAGTTATTATTTAAATATATTGATTATTTAATCAGAAGTAATCAATAAAATAAGGAAGCACATTTATATAAATTTAGTAATCCATTAGTAATGATTATTAAAGTGATATGGGATAGTAAAATAACACATTACTCGATAAATTCATAAAGTGTACTTTACCGCTTTAGCATATAAATATAAAAGTTATTTTCCAATTCCCTCTACAACACTTTGTAAACATATAAAACCTCTGTTTATTTCAAAATATTTAATTTACGAGGCCGATAAAAGCAGAAACCGTAAATTCATAATATAAATAGGAAAGATTAAAAATTATTATCAAAATTGTGCTGCAATAAAAGAAACACTAACATTGATAACGCGTAAAATAGGATTACATAAAAAAAAGTATCTCGATGAACTCTCTTACTGGGAGGTTCGAAACGTTGGAAATTACCTTATTTCCCGAAGGCCATAAAATAAATCTAATTTTAAATTAAAAGTGTTTTTGCATTTAATTGCCCATCAAAAAAGCAGTAAAAACTTACGCTCGAAGCGTTAAAATCATTACGACAAAATTATCATCGATTTAATTTAATATTTAAAAAAGTTTCTGCGATCTACAACAATCGGACCTTGGTTGTATAAAGTGAAAAATAGGTTATTTCTATCGTATCAGCAAAATCAAAGAACAAGGAACATTATTGTCAAAATGATTAATAACACCCCCACCATGAAAATCTTAAATATAAATTTCAATCAATTAAACGACGAATTTAGCCAATTATCTGTCCGATTATCAATTTCCACAATGTTTGTAATCGTCTCATTATCGCTTATATTCGCACAATACCCATTACTATGGAAAAAATCAACGAAAACATCACTTACCTCTGCAAAACAATTACTACATAATTAACTTATTAAATTTACAGTTTTTCCACTAATTTAAACCCCCGATTTAAGCACTATGTCATTTAACTGCACTTTTAGGACCGGTACACTAAATTATACGTAATCCCTAAATTTTGTTAGCGAAATTTCGTAGAGAAAATTACCAAAAACAAGGTACAACTTTTATCGATCTTGATCAGCCATTTTCATTAGGCTTCCCGTATTTGTCATACACAGAACACCAATAAACAGACGTGGAACGACAGATGCTGTCAATGGTATTGGTGACAGATGTCATTCAACTCGAGATTGTTTTACTGTGTTTATTTGATAAAAATTAAGCGATAATACTGTATTAATCTTTTTATCTATTTACTTATTTATCTGTTAAATGGTTTATTAGATGTAGTTTAGTAAATATGATTTTATTTAGAATTATTTGATCGAAAATGGCAAGTAGTTTTGTAATAAACCCACTAGATGGCTTAGTAAGTATCAAATGCAGCTCCTAAATACCAAAATCGTTAGGCGATGTTGTCAGATGTTACTTAAATATTATAATACTCGCAAAAGGTAATACGGGGGGTGCGCAAATTGTTCTTTATAGATTTTGTGATCAGTTATTAATTTAATAGGTGTATAGTTAACGGTGATGATTTCCATTAGATGCTACTTATTTGTAATTTACTCGTAATGGACTCATGGACCTTGTTCTTGGTATTAGATATGCGAAGCAAATTCACTTAAAATATAAATTGATTGATGTGTTTTGATTAATAAAATTGCAAAAAATCAATCATTTAATAATAGGCAAACTAAGTGGACAGAAGAATGTTTACTATTCACATAAAAAAATATAATTTTATTTTTATAGTATTATTAAGTTCGAAAAATAATTAATAATCATTTATTAATGAAATTATAAATGATTTATTAATTAATCACATTTATTATTTAACATATTTTTTTAAAAACGAAAATTGAATGAAGATTTTCACCATTCGAGTACCCCAGGAATATATTTGTTGATAAGTTTCTCATAGTACGGCCACAATGCTTCGATATCAGGTACTTCGGTGCTCTTGGTGTAAAGATCGTATTGACTGAAAACAAATGCAGATTTAATAAAAATAGCATAATTTTCCAAAAATACCTACTTAAATTTGAGCACCCATTTCTTAGTTTCCTCATCTTCGGGCGCGTTTAAATGGCTGTAGTCGCCAGAAGAGTGCCATGGATAGAAACTGTGGTACCTTATCATCGCGAGCGCCTGAGGGGGCAAGGTGGTCTTGTTGTGCAGTAACACCCTGTATAAATATTCGTCGTGGCCCCAAGACATCAGCAAGTTCTTAATTCCGCAGTTAGGTTCGTACATCCCGTATTTCGTGCTAAAAAAACGAAAATGCACGTAATAAACCAAAAGGCCAAAGCACGAAATAATTACAGCCTAATTTCGTAATCTGCTTTACCCCCAAATTCCAGGTATAATTGCTCGAATCCGAATAGAGCTTTTAACATAACCTCAACAATTTTCCCATTTATAGAGATTTGCTTCCAGTAGGCCCGAGTCGCATATTTTATGCGTACGGACCGAAAGAGGGAGCAGAAGATCAAATTATCCAGATGTAATTACTTTAAGAGGGTCACAGGGCGAAAATAAGGCGAAATTATACATCAAAAGGGTTGGGATTTTCGTTAGAATAGAGATCGGAAATGTAACTACACGTTACTCAAACCACCAATCAATGTCAGCTTGATTTAGTATCTATAATTATTTAAATATTATACATATCAGTGTGACATTAAAATGTCAAAGATTATCTACACAATTAATGAGAGCATTAAAGATGTTTTGGGAAGGTATTTCCAGCTTTCTAAGTTTTTAGCAGTCTTCTTTAAACTTGTTTTTCAAGTTTTTCCAGACTTTATTATAGTCCTTTATGAGTCTGTTCTAGATCATCTTATGCATTGATTATACAAAATTCAAGTTTTTTAAGTCTTTCCAGACTTTCTTATAGTCCTTTATGAATCTCTTTAGGATCTTCTTATGCCTTGATTACAAGATTACAAACCGAGAACTTGAATAGGTCATCCAATAATTATTTTGTAACAGATTGTCATATAAATCTACTCTCTTAAGCCACTCCGGACCTTTCTATAGCCCTTTATAGGTCTGTTGTAGATCAAAACTTTAACTTAGATTTTAAGAAGCCGTCATCCAGTAGTAATTTTGTCACAGATGGCCAGGGCAATAAAGGATAAATAGAGGATAAAATACAAACTTACTTGTATTTAGGGTTATCACCGTCGATGTTGTTCTTGAACGACGTGCTCCTGTAGACGATATTTTTGCTCCACTCGCAGCCGACGACGAAGGTGTCGCCGACAATGGACCATTGGGGCTCGTCGAAGAAGGCCATCACTTTGCCGGCGTCGTGTATGAGCCCCGTGAGCTGGAACCAGTCATCGTCGGGGTAGTCCTTTCTGATTCTTTCGGCCGTTTGGAAAGCGTGCACGATATTGGGTATATCGACGTCTGGATCGCTCTCGTCGACGAGGTCGTTCAGTTTAATGAGGGCCTCTTTCATTGTCGCTTTTAGATGGTCGAATTTCAGCCATTGTTCCATTTTAGCTGAAAGGGGAGACGGATAAAAGTCGGTGATAAAGCCATTTACTAGTTGTTAGTTGACCATAAAATCTAACATTTGGTTTATTTTACAACGAAAAAAATTGGTTTTTTTACCGATTCGGAGCTGGAAGACTACAGTGGAAGCATAAAGTATCTATTGTTTGATTATACAAATATTAATTTTTGAAATCCTATATCGCCTCTGTATAAGATATTGGCTCTCAGAAGAAATTGTCATTAGAAATTAACAATTTTTATGAGAACAACTAATATTCAGATACAAAAAAATCAGATACTTTATTCTAAAAAACAAATATGTAAAAGAAAATGAATAGGCAAAACGTTTGGGCTCAGCCGGGATTTGAACCCGGGACCTCTCGCACCCAAAGCGAGAATCATACCCCTAGACCACTGAGCCTCACTACAAGGTGCATGTGAAAGTTACGTATTTGAACACATGCAATCAATACGAAATCCGTGTCATTATTTAAATAAATTAACTACGAAATCTTGCAACTACCAATAAATTAAAACAGTCCAATTTTTAAGGTAAGAATATTGAAATAAAATAAAAGAAACAAAAACCACTTAACCACAAAAATTTCTTATGCCCTATCCATTTGCACCCTATGATGACGACATTGCGGCGTTGCCACGTTACTATTGTTGTCACCTACATTAAAGATTTTGTAGAGCTCCAATAACATAATACAATAATTTACCTCTGACGAAATCGACGGTTTGATTGGTGTGCATTAATTCGTAGGTCCTTCTGACCCTCTCTTTGATGGGATCATTTTCGTCCACGGTATAATCTCTGAATTGTCCGACAGGCTTGGCCGCGAATTTCGGTTCCGGCCTCATTAATTCCGATGGATCGATGATATTTACGCGATCGGTTTCGATTTCGCCCTAAAAATTATTAGAACCATATTAATTTCCTCATATAGGTGCACATAAATGCAAAATTGTTTGCAATACGATCAAATCTATGAGTTGAAGAAAGAAAGATTATACATATAAAAAACAGTGGTTAGAATGAGAAAGTTGCAATCCCACTACATCACTTTCATTTTCCTTTATATGAGACTAATTGATTGCACTCAAATTGTAACCAATTTTGCATATACCTGATGTATAGATTCTATACCTATTCTATTAGGCTGCAGTGTTAAAAGTGAAACAGAAGAAATAGGAAAACTTATGTGTACTTACTAAGACGCGCATTTTCGGTTTGTTTTCCTTTTATCCCGAAAATAACACTAAACTAACCCAAAGATCGACGGTTCCCGTTTAAATAGAGTAGTTAGTTTTTATCAATGTAACTTATACGTAACGACCAGAGTCGACTCGTTAAGATTGTGTTAATATATAAAAGACTATCCTTGATGAGTAACTACAAGGTAATTATAATTGTTAACGAACAGTAGGTAATAAAATTAATAACAAATTTTAACAGGGCCTGCGGTTAATTCTTAACATATTTAACTAATTTTTATGTAATTGTAATGTTTAATTATTATTTGGTTAATATTTTACTTACTTACGTTACACACATGGTTTGCAAGATGACAAATTATTTGCCAACTAAAGAAACCATCAAAGGTTATAAAGGTTATAATGTATTAGTTTCTTATCAATAAATTATGAAAGGTTACGAGTTTATTTCTAACCTATGTCATAATTGGAAATTTGTTTTTATTTACATTGTTCGATTTTATATTTTATTTTCCCTTACGTAAAATTTGTGCGTATTAATTTCGTTATAAAAGAATTAACTCCTATAGTGCGTGCTTGGCCATTATTAAACCTCATTTGAGCCGTTTTTACCAGGTTTGTGAGTAAATTAATGAATTACTTGCCTATCGCCTCTTTGACCTTAATTAAATAGATTAGTTATATTTATTCGATAAAATCATCGCTAAAAGACGAGCGTATTTTTCCAGTTAAATAGTCATAAAATCGAAAAAACTCATTACATGATTCGATAAAAATTGTAATAGTTAGCTTTGTACTCCAGGAATTCCCTAAGTTATTTATTAATGTTTTTTAAATAGTCAAACAGATTAAATTGTAGCAAAAGTATAAGTATATTATGAAACTAAAATGAATTAAGAAGTTTAGAATCATTTCGTAAATGGCAGAATTGGATATTAAAGATTTCTCTAAAGCGAACTGAAAAACGAAGTTTTATCATAAATCGATTCGCGATTTACTTAGTTTTTAGATAAAATTCAAATTACTTCAAAACTTCCAGATGCGCAAAAAATTTTATACAGGAGAATTAAAAGTTTAAAGTTACCCATACCAACCGTCAATTTCCAACAAACTATCTACTATATAAAAGAATTTTTATAACAACCTACCAATAATTCGGAATCTAGCCATCTACCGTCTAAAATTACCTTATTTTCGAAATTAATTAATCGGATCGATTTTATTTTTTCGTACGCTGTAGACCGACGGCACAGGTTTCAATTAGAGGTTTCTATAATAACCTGAACGGCCCCCGGAGGACCGACAAGGCAGCGAATGTGTCATGCGATGGTTCCGCACAAAATGGGACCCGAAGGGCCCACTAAAACATGACAAGAACGGACCGGCGAATTATCGCCGGCAAACCATTCGAATGGAATTTGAATAAACGAAACACCATCGATTCCCCTTTGTAGGTACAAAATTCGAGACCGTTTGAATTGCTGTGATACAGGTATAATTTAGGTTGTACATTTGTAGAAAAATCGCGTTGGAATAATAATTTTTATGCACCTTTTTATATAATATTGCAGATAAATAAATTCACGTGCAATGGAATTCACGTGTTTTATACCATATTTTTACATCAGAAATTGCAACACAAATTTAACCAACTACCAGATAACCTTTGCAATATCAACATCACGCTATTTACATCAAAACAAGCGGGCGTTCATCCGATTTTTACGTCTCTACATTACTATACCTTCAACTTACTTCTTCAAACCTCACGTAAAGGTAAAAAGTTTTCGCAATGAAAAACTAATTCCCCGTCCCGCTAACGCGGTGACGTTCGGGTTGCGTTTCGCAATGTATTATGCAGAACGTGTGGGGTCTAAAAATTTAATTGGACCTCCTTTATTCGCGACCGTTTAATTGTTAAAGCGAATTCGGGATCGAATGACACCGTAAAGTATTCATCGGATCGGTTCCAAGTCGCATCAGTCGATCCCAGAGGCGTTTCTTCCATTATCTTTCAATTTCAATATCTTGCCAGAATTATCAGAGAATCGTTTAATGCCTCAATATTCCATAAATTGCCAACAATTACTTACTGATAAGTCTATTTTATAGGATTCCAACTCGGTACCGAATCGTATGAAAATAAAATCAGGTAAGTCCAGGGTAGGTCTACAGGCGAGATATTTAAGTCTTTCATTCGACTCTCAATCATTTGAAAAGACCTTGTTGGGTCTATTATATGGGTCCAGATGGGTCCAATATTGAACTATTGAACAAATATTTGATCTCTTCTTTGTCATTCATTCTATTCACAATCATTAGAAAAGACCTTGTTGAATCCATTATAAGTCTACTATTGGACCAATTAGGTCTCTCATGAACCTTTAATGGGTTCTCAATCATTTGAAAAGGCCCTTGTTGAGTACTTGTTCTACTACTGAACCAATTGGGTGTCTTATGAGTCTTTCATTCGATTCACCATCATTTGAAAAGACCTTAGTTGGTCTATTATAGGGCTACTATTAGACCAATTCATTCTGTCATAAGGTTTTTAATCAATTCTCAATCATTTGAAAAGACCTTAGTTTTTCTATTATAGGGCTACTATTGGAACAATTGGGTCTGTCAGAAGTCTTTTAATCAATAATCAATCATTTAAAAAGACCTATATTTGGTCTGTTACGGGTCTATGAGTATCTTAGTACTAGATCATAACAAAACATCCCAATGGAATCATCCAGTTTTGTAACAAATAATTAAACTTTAATTTAGTTTGTTCACTATTATTCAGCATAAAAATGCTCTTATGTATTCAATTTTAAACTCTGATCTTCATAGCAGATTTAATTCGTTTTTTATTTAATCTGTGTCTGTATTTCAGAGTCAAAAGGCCCATGGGTGCGCCTCTGTCGGCTTTTATCTTTAATGGATCTACATATTTTATTATCAGTAACAAAGTATACATTACGTTTTCGCAATTCCCGCGTTACCCGATATTCCCAATCCATCAAAATCGCTCGGAAAAACTTACCGGCGATTACCCGCCCCCCCCGGAGTTTTCTCGCTAATTAGTCGGAACGGGAAATTCCGCTGGTTATCCGGGAAACTTTAGAATGTTTAAATGTTGGCGTTGTAAAAAAATGCCTTTATATAATAAAACAGCATCCCTCGAGAATGACAGGCGTATTAATGGAGAAGAGGAGGCGAATCGTTGAAATATTGGAAATTTTTATGTACCCTAAGGGGTACAAAAATGTTTAATCTGGTAATGACGTCATGAGATAGTAGATAGAGTAGATTCAAGCTAAAAGTGCGGTGACGTCAAAAATTGTATAACTTATCGAAGAGTATATAGAGAAATATAGACTTATATAGAGAAATAGATAATGAATAATTCCCGTGGAGAATTAGTGCTCATTCAAGTGTCGGTTAAATAAGGTGAAAATGGCGTTCGTTTGGTAAGGAAAACACCGAATGAACATATGAAAACGGAACACGCCAGACCGTGATTTTCCTCGTTAAACGCATTAATATTTCAAGCCATCGATCTAACGACAACGTTCAATACGCCGTACACAAAATACTCCTGTATATTCCGATGGCAAATGTTTGTCTTTCTTGTTTTGTTTCGAGCTAAAAGAAAAGTTTACGACAACATCGACTGTCAACTGTTTACCTAGGAAATCTTGTTTGCTTTCGACGTAGCAAAATAAAAAAAACAAACTGGAAAATATAGTTAAATGCCGGTAAATTGAATGCTTATAATAAAAATATTGGAAACTAAGATTGCGGTTAAAATGCTCCTATCCTGAGGATGAAGGATATTCATATACCTACAGGATGATTCTAAGAAGTAGTTTTTTATTGAAACAATTTGGTCTCTTAAAAGTTTTTCATTTGATTCACAAACATTTGAAAAGACCTTGTTGGATCTGTTTTAGATCCTACTATTGGACCAATTGAGTCTCTCATGAATCTTTTAATCGATTCTAAATCAATTGAAAAGACCTTGTTGGGTCCTTGGTCTACTATTAAACTAATTGGGTCTCTCTAATTGGGTTATGAGTCTTTCATTCGATTAACAATCATTTGAAAATACCTTGTTGGTTCTATTATAGGGCTACTATTACACCAATTAATCTCATGTCTTTTAATCGATTTTCAATTATTTGAAAAGACCTTGTTTGGTCTATTACCTATAGAAAAAAAAGTTAAATGCCGGTAAATTGAATGTTTATAATAAAAATATTGGAAACTAAGTTTGCGGTTAAAATGTTCCTTCTTGAGGATGAAGTATATTTTAAAAATGTTAGTATTCGAGGTAGCAGATTTTATAACTCACCCTGTATAAAGTTTCTGAATAAATTCCTCCCATTTAACTTATTCGTACCGAACAATCCGAAATGCGTTTTATCTTCGGCGAAACATCTGCCTATGACTTTTAACTAATTAAATATGGCGCCAAAGAAAGACCTTTCCCCACATCCGCGAATAACAACATTCTGTTAGTAACATTCTGGAAACATTACACAAAGAACAAAGCCAAAGCTGCGATGGGATCCTAAAGGTAGCTTTGTGTTATTTCTTTAAGGCCCGCGGGGGCGGCGAGCGGCTTTCGAAAGCATCTTGAAATCAAAAATTAATTAAATAACATTTGTTTTGCGTTCAAAAGAAACAAAACGAAATCGCCGATGTACATTTTCCACGGCGAGACGGGCTTAGTGGAAAATTGAAATTTCTTCTAGACGAGTTGATTTGCGATAGTTAGAATTTTTATTTACCGGCAGCGAGTTTCATCGGAATTTCGACCGAAATCCCGCCCGACTTCAATTTATTCGCACCATTCAAGATCAACTCAATATAGCCGGCAATAAATAATGCTTGTAAGACACTTACATAATATTAAATTGAAATGAAGACCATTGAAATTGACCCTTGAGGTCCCTTCTCGAGCGCCTCTTCCTCTTCCGAATTACACTTTGCCACGTGACTGCAGGACCATCGCAGTGCAGGAGGTGCATTCCATTTTACCCTCAAATATATCCATAACAAATTTATAAAAGAAATTGTACTTACCAAAAAAAGTATTACAGTACTACAGTAACTTAAACTTGATACATACCTATAATAAAGAAATTGTTTTATTAAGTAGATTATTAAATTTCGAATTTTTAAATGATAAATAAAGCTCAGTAACGGTAATTAATTTAAGCAATATAATAATACAACAAAATGTGACTGTTAATTTTTCAACGTAACGCCACTGATTCGAATACAATTAAAGGTCCTTTTATTCAATGACGTATCTCCGATTGTGAGAATCTTGACAATAGCATGTTAATAAAACAGTTTGAGGGCGGCTCTTACACCGTAATAAACTCGGGAGTAAAATATAAGGGTAATTTTCATTTTCAAAGACCTGTAATTATTGAAAGTATTATTGCGCAGGGAATAAAACATTGCCCTCCGGTTTTTCTTGTCTTATTAGTAAAATTAACTTTGATCGTTTAACTTAAACATCATTAGTATGACAGAATTGACGAGGAAATCTAGACAATTAGGATACCAGTGAAGAGTTAATTAAAGCCTTTGTACTCTATTAGAATACAATGCTATTTTTGTTAGATTCTTCTTGTTAGGGCATTTTCTTCCTACAATATTTCTATTATGTTTCCTTCTAGTTTATTGATCTATTTCAATTACTTCACTACAATTATTTTCCCTTTGGTTATGCTTCATAATATGATACTTTTATCCACTACTTTCTTTTTCGCATATTAAATTACTTATTCATAATATTTCTCTCCTTTCCACTAATTTGATATACTCAAAATGAATGAGAAAACCATCGCTTGTCTCTACTTCCTACAACATTTTAGTAAATCCACCGTCTATAAACAGGAAAAAGTTAACTAGCGAAACGTCTGCTCGAGTTACTTGTTGCTTTTAATCGAATTTCGGCGGCGTTACCGAAACGCCGTAGGCCCTTAATTAAAATCGATACGGCATTCTGGCAAGTATGTCTTTATCGAATATTCAAGGTCAGAACTATAAGCTTCCCCTTAGGTAAATTTGCGTATCTCTCTAATAGACTCGTACCGCAGGTCTTGTATTCTCTCTTGTTGCCATCCCGCAGGGTTTCAGGTTGCTACATCAGAAATGCCGAATTGTAAACTACCGATTACGCGAGGATAAATAATGTATGCAAGATTAAATCAATTGTCCAATTTGAACCAATCGATCATTTACCAGTACGAAGTCCAATAAGGTCAGGTCCAAAACCACCAAGAAATATTCTTCCACACCTATCGTATTACAGTTAGTCTTAGACTAAATAAAGTAAGTAAAACGAGCTAGTACTTGACAGACGCTGTCATTTGTACTTTAGTTCAACTTCCGAAAATGCAGAAGATATTTACGATACTCTGCGTGGTATTGGTGATATCCAGCAGAGCTTGGGCCAGTCGACGATGCTACAGTTGCTTAGCAGAGCAAGGCAGCGATGGCTGCAACGATCCAGTGGACATCCGCAACATGGATGTGGAAAGGTGTACCTCCGAAGACGTTTACTGCATCAAAACCAGTTTGTATTCTTCCTTTCCATCGAGGTACTCCATTCAATTCGGTTTACATTTACAGCGTTCAAAACGTTTGATGAGGAAAACCACGGGGACGGCAAGGAGATGGTCATGAGAGGATGCGGATCGCCCGAAAATTGCTTCAATCCCACCAACAAGATCATGAAGACGATGAAGGCCAAAATGGCGGGCATCACGCTGCGCAAGAAAAACATCAAAGATTTCAATTGCAATGTGTGCTCGGTGAACCTGTGCAATCGCGCCAGTTCCATCGGGTTATCTGCTGGGCTAATCGGCGCTTCCTTGTTGCTTGTAAACCTCTTAAAGTAATCTTTTATAGTAAATCTGATTCCAACAAGACTAATTTAACAACGCTTATTCACAAGAGTTTTTTCTTTAGAGCTATCCAATGATTGAAAGATCAGGAAGATTGGTGTTAGTTAAGAAATCCTTCACTGAGAGATCCTTTCACTCATTCACTGATAGTGATGGAAATAACTCACATAAATAATTTTGTTGGATATACCTACCTATGTTTTTCATCTATTTTATCTTCAATTGTGAATTGGATAATACCAAAATGCTCCCGGCAACAATCATAAGTTTCGGGTTGATTTTCCGAGCTGAATAATGTTTCCATCGTTTTTCATCAAAATGTTTTCCCGTCTCGTTCGATTTTCACCGGTCGCCGTTTAAAAATTCAAATGTTAACGGCCTTCCATTATTGATGAATACCGGGCGATGTTTTAATTTCCGTAGTCGTCGAAAACTGAAAAAATAAAATTAATGGCCAATTTTATCGATTGCTCGTTTATTATTTAAAAGGAAAAGATAACCGATCGCGACGCGATTGCCTCGATGGGCGGTTTACTGATGGACGGGTGAAACAAGAAATTCGTCAATGATTTTTTATTGATTTGTAGAAGGAAAATCTGTATCTACTTAGAAGAGTATGGAGTAAAATAATGTTTCCAAAAAGTTGAGGGGATGATACTGAAAGATGTTTGTAACTAAACTAAATGTAGAAGGAGAGATGGGATGGACTGAAGATGTCCAGAAACTATTCTGTTGTAAGTTAAAATTACAGGAACTGTATAAGCAGGCAAATTATGCAGGACTAATGAGTACATATCAAACATACAGATTTCAAAATTGAACCATAATGAAGGATATAAAAACCTGAAGAGTCACTATTTAAGGTGACAAAAACCAAAAAAAAAATATGTCTGGAATCCAGTCCTGCGACTCGACATGGAGGGTAACAATAAAATGGTAATGGCCAGCTAATGACAGAGTGATGCAATATTAAATATCGCATGTCTCCCGTCACTAAATGAAAAGTACAATCGTTAGATTAGAACTCACGATGTCCAATTTCTATGGGACCTTGACACGACACTCCGAACCTCTTTCGTCCATCTTTTTTCGTCCACTGTTATTGTTTCCTCCGTTTCATTGCTCTCCTCTCGAAATTAAAGCAGGAATATTCGTCCTGCCATCTCATCAACGGCACGGAATGCATAAATAAACAGGTGATGATGATTCGTCGTTGCGTTCTAACGAAGACGAAACGCGCCTGTACATGGCGGGATATAGGGATTTCGGTAGCAATTTCAATCGATTATCCTGACGCGGATAAAGGATAAAGTGTAAAGAGGAAATTGGGTATCGCTTACAGATAAACTATTTACAAACAATATCAATGTCACAAAAGGTGGATACACTCTCGTCCCCCTGTCGTTACCTACATATCGGATTCTATGTAATACGTTTATACAGTATGAAACAGGTGTTGTTTGAAACACTAGACGAGCATTTTGTAGTCGAGCAATAATAACGTGAGCAATTATTAATAGTTAATTTAGCTTTAAAGGAGGAAAACTCGCATTTAAAGTACTCCATCAGTCAGCCCCTAATAAGAGCTTCAGCTGTATTTTTGAAACTTTTAAAGCCTCCTGGGGCATTGCTGTAAGTAATAAGGAAATTAGCAGGAAAAGGGGTGTAGTATAAATTAGCGAAATGCGATTAAAGCAGGAAGGAAAGAAGAAAAATGTACGTCTGGATATCCACGGGGATCGCCTTGTATGCAAAACGATTTCGGAATAGGACGCAACTAGGACGGCGAAAGCACAAACAGGGCGGATAAATATTGTTTCAGTGTGTTTCGGGGTACGTTTCCAATGTTTCAGGGATCAATTTTCAATTAACTGGAATCGGCCAAATATGTCTGTCGATGGGGGTTTAGACATTTCTAACGGATGGCGGTGCTTTCGACTGTTCGGAATTCGCTCTGTGATATGTGAATAAATAACACTTTGTATTCGGTATACACAAAGCGAGCCCTCTTAATTCGGCGATCGATAAAAACGAGCGCTATCGTATGTTGTATAGGGAGCGAAATCGATCTCAAGTACTTGGTGTTAGCAAGTAAAAAAAGCAACGTGGCAACGTCGCGTATATCAACTTGAAACGTCATCACTAGAGTAATAGGGACCTACTGTATGTGAGTATTAAAGTATTAACATAATTTCAATTTATCATCATGTTTTATACGATTAAGAGACATAAGGGTAGGTCATTGAAATAAAAAAGGGTTAATTCGATTAAATTAAAATTTAATAGTATTATTTACAAAAAAATTTACAATTTTAGTCGGTTAACGGAACAAAAGTATTGTCTTCTTGTTGTTAGTATATTTGTTTGACTGATGACACGTCAGTTAAATGTTTGGACTTCGATTTGGGTATAAACTTTTTCTTCGAATGGACTAAAAGAGAGACAAAAAAATACCATTAGGTGATAACTAATTTACGATTTTGCTTTAATTAGTAACCTGTTTCGAGTTGGACAGGTCCGTCCGGCTTCATCAATTTTCCACCATTTTCCGGCAAAACGTCGATTCCATAACTTACTTTATACACAGGAAGGGGAATCACAGTGGAGGAAACCGGTATCATATCTGCAAATTACACAGAAAATAGGATTTTGCAAACATTACATTATACAGTTTGACACATGTCTGATGCATTATTTGTTAGTTTTATTGTTAACCAAATAACACCAACAGTCGAGGCAATCGAAGTAGCGCCATTCTGACAATAACAACTTTTGACGTAAGTCAAAATAACGTTTCGCTATTTTGACGTACTCTTCTAAATTATTATCGAAGTACTATCTGTTAACTAGACGTTAAATATTAAAACGCGCAAATATCCCTACATGTAAGCGCGAGTAGCGATAATTTCGCCGGACTCCATTAAGGTCATAAAGCCAGAAATTTTATAAAGTTCTATTAATTACTGCCGTGCAAATACCGGATTTTAATGAAAAGCAAACTCGACTGCGACTCGAAATTTAACCGGACGTAAACAGAAGCAGGACGAAGACCGGCATTTAATATTAAAGCCGGTTCAAGTCCAAGTCGCTTTGAACAGAATTTGTAAAAATTAAATTATTGTTAATTCGGAATACCAGTGTCTTGTTAATTCACCCGGTATATTATTCATTCTAAAAGACGCATTTTGAAAAATTTGAAACAGATTAGTACTTAATAAATACTAAACTGTTCCTTATTTGAACGAATTTTTAAACTTTTAAAATTATTATTATCAAGCCTACATAGAGATATTAATATTATCACACACAAACCACCTTTAAGAGCACAATTGATCAACTCAACCTTGGCCTACCTGGCTCCAGCAGTTTGTTCTCCTTCATCCTGTACATGGTAGGGCGACTCTCCACCAAGATGGCACAAAGGCACGACACTAGGATGAATCGAAGCATTTTTTCGAGCAGTTTTCGATAATTAAACCTCGCCAAATAAGAGACTTCATTAAAATAAAAGCGAGAATTGTAGCTAAAAAATTCAAAAACCAATTTGCGAGAATAACGCAGCGGGTCAAGCAAATACTCGCCGAAGTTAGTCGGACGAAGGTTGAATTTTAATTTAAATTTTTGAACGATGTTGCGTAGGAAAGATAATAAAACAGGTGGGTAATGGATCAATAAATTCGTAATGGTAATTTAATGCAGTTTAATACATTTATTTGTTGATTGGAAATTGGAATCTATCCTAATAATAGCAAATTATCAAATTATTCAAGAATCATCAGCGTGTACATGAATTCCGAGTACATAAAAAAAATCATGAAAATCTCTTATTAATCATCAAAACGCTTTCAAAAATCCAGAGACACTCGTAAAGAATCTGAAAAAAAACTTATCCACAGTATCTGTTTGACCGACTGGATTTCGACGCAAGTGAAAGTAAACCAAGAAGGCGTGGGATTACTCCGGCTCTGTAGCGTTTCTTTTCTGTCTTCGTGTCCGAGACAAAGACGGAGTATTTGTTTAAACAATCGACAGGTGATGCACGGGAGCACCTGCTTCGAGAATCGACAGCGCGAAGACAGAAAACTGAAAATAAAAACTGACGATTGTGTGGGTTTTGTGACAAAATTGTTGAATCATTAGCTCAGCTAGGGAATTTGTCATACCGAATTTAGCATTGAAAAATTAAGGATTGTATAGTAGGTTTAAGATAATTCGTCGGTGACGACACAACTGGTAAACTTGAATGGACTGTATGGATATTTAGACTGATCTACAATTGTTTTCTAATAAATAACATACTCTTACTACTCTTTCCACTAGTTTACTTTTGTGCAAACTGTAATTTCAGAATGATTTTGATATTGTGCTGGTTGCCTTGGTATTGTACCTACCTGCACTTATTTTTTTAACTATTTTAAGGTTCTGTTGTAGCAGCTGATTGAATCAGTTCATCTCAGTAGTGCTCTACGAATTTTGCAATAGACAAAAATAATGCACAAAGAGTTTGTCTCATATTTTGAGTTTCGAACTGAATTTCTTGGGCCGAATCGATGCAAAATGCTTAAAGTGACTTTGTTTTATCGAAAGTCCAAGTTTACGAATAGTACAAAACTTTTAAAGACAGTCTGGAGAATGCTAAAGCCTAGTTCCGCACGGTCTTCGACATCTTCAACCAATGATAACGGCGAGAAAAAGAAGAAAATTGAGTTCAAAAATCATTATACTAGTATTAGAGAAGTAGCATGTGACCTCAACATCTCCCGTTAAAAACAGGTTTGATTTTGCTCAACCAATCAGACATGCTGCGCATTGAGATTCAAGAAAAATTGAAGACGATTAGGAACTTTGCGTTTTACTCCAATTTTCCGGGTACTTTTTTGTCATTCTGTATGTATAGTAAGAAGTTTGCTTTTATTGCTAAAATTTAAATCATAATTAAAACAACAAAGTTTGCAAATTCGGTGATATAAAATGACTAAAGAGCACCAAATTGATAACATTAATCATAACAAGAACATCCCACATCTCACATCCCACTAACTCAATAGCAACAATATTTGTAGACGTGTTTTAACTATCGACAACAACCAACGAAAGATGAATAATTATTACTGTAAATTCATATTTTATACGATATTTCTGTACAATTTCGGTAAACAGACGATCCCGAACAAATATTGAATTTCTACAACTCTACCAATTACAGTTTCACCTTCACCTTCAGTTTCACTGGGAGTGACCAGTTGCTTCAGCTGCAAGGATAACTGCAATGATCCTTTCGATACCTCCGATGCATCCATCCAAAATTGCGAGACAGGAATATACCAGAAAGGCAGCAACAAGACTAATCACAACTTTTTATTGGATAAAGCCTTCCTGGTTATGGGCAATAAGAGTTCCGGTTACGTTTGCGGCAAATTCATCATGGAATGTAAGTATTAAAATCACCAAGTCCACAAATGATTGACATTTTTTTACTAAGGTTTAGATTGGTACTATTATTTTTTCATGAGTAATTCCATTAAATTTGTCTCCTCCGCTCCTAATACGATTGTAAGCTTGGAGTATACTGGGTTGCCTATTAATCAGGCTCAAAAGTTCAGGCTCTAAAGTCCAATATCGTTTATCTATCGTCTATTTTTGCCAACGATAGTTTTATAATAATATAGATAAGGGAGTGTTTAATGAAAATCTTTTTTATTCAGTTAATACCTCCGGCATTATAACTACACAACGAAGATGCATGGACAAAAATTACTTCAGCAAAACACCCTGTGGCATAGTCGAAATTGTAGCAAGTTCATCCCACATGAAACTGTTGAGCTGTTCCATATGCGACTCAGAGCTGTGCAACTCCGCGATCGGATGGAATTCGTTAACTTCTTGGGTTATATTAGCTCAGGCTACTGTTGTTTTATTTTTATAGAAAATGTATTGTAATGCTATAGTACATTTAAAAACGAATGGTGATATTTTGTATACGTAAATTATGTGAAACTTAGCTTAGGTTGAACAAAGAAAGATTTCTAAAATGACAGTTGTCAGAGTGAAAAGTTGCAATTAATCATAGACCTATTAACTTATTTACTTAATAGGTCTATGCAATTAATGCAACTTGCATTCTTTTTCATTCATAACCGTCTAATGGAAGTTGTCTTTATCGCACCCATAGCCTACAATAACCTACATTGCAATCAAAAAAGCAACCTGTATATTGCCTATAAGTTTGCAGTTATCTGTAAATGGCACTGCGGTAAAAGTAAGTACTAAATTCGTTTTAATAAATACGCTTCGGAAAAATTTTAATTCGCAGAAATACTACTTAATTCCCTTTGGCGTTACACGAAAAATAAAAGCGTTTCTCTTCGGTCTTTTGTCGACTATTTTTTCTCCTCCCGGTCGCTTTGTTTACCGGCTCAGAAGTAATTTTTCAGAGTGAAAAACCCGGCGCAAAATTTTTAATAACCGAATCCGTTAGCCTATAAAATTATCCCAAGTTTCCATTTCAACTTTGTGCATCAGACTTAACAATACCAAATGCCAAAAACTGAGAGAAACGACATTGATACGTTTACGTTGGCAAACGTTTTTTAAATACTAATCCTGTTTACCTCTTCGTGTTTCCATGCAAACATTCATTAAAATTCTTTGTAATGTTTTACAACAACAAGGTATAAAGAGAAACGTGTTTGAATCAATCGAACGTGCCTTTGATAGCAATATAATTAGGTACTTGTGTTTTAATTGTGGGTCATTAAAATCCGATGTTTACGTATATCCTCAGATTGATATTATTTCTTGATGTAAACGTCGTGTCTTTTAAAGATACAGCAAAAGACTTGTGAATAAGAATATAAAATATTTACACACAAACAGTGGAATTGTGCTTCGTCCTTATAGCCAACGTAAAATTAAGTGCAAAAAAGTAAAAATATTGTAATCGTGTATTTATCAAGGATGTAAATTTGGTTCATTAATATTTTAAATTAAATGTGACTTTTAAAATCGGGTACGTAATGATTTTAAATACGTTGGTACAAAACAAATGTCAATGCACGTCACTACTGTCGTCATACTTGCCTAGCATTGCGCCCAACCTTTAAAAATAAATACTCAAAATAGATTAACCTTAATACCTGCGGAATTTAATTTAATAATATCAAGGGACGATAGAATATGTTAAAAAGCATATTTAAATCATCCACTGACTGTCAAGTTGCATAGTTGCTGTTGTCATCCGATCGGTACTTTTAATTTTCAATTTCTTCTTCTTTTTTCTAGTTTATAAAAGCCTTAACTAGTAAAGGCTATTCAGCCGAATATTCAAGAAATAAGAATTTTTTGTGTTGTTATCTTTTCATGTTAGAAACACATCTTTACATGTTAGAAATGACACAATTTGAGCTCTAAATAATTCAGATTCGGAAGTTTTCTCAGAAATTTCATTATATACACTTTTTAGGGACAATTGTACAATAAATTTTTTACTCGCAGTGTTGAATGTATTTCAGATGATAAAGGAATTTGATAATTATTAATAGTTAATAAGCCCTTGAATACGTGGGATGTTTAGAAACGTTAAACAGGTACCCCTAAGTTCTTGTCATTTTGACATTTGACAATTTTAGAAAATTCTTAGATTTTGTCTCTACAAAAGTTCGGCAACACTGCCTACTTGTGACGTAGTAAATCATAGGTGACGTGCATTGATATTTATTTTGCCTCAACTGTATGAATATTTCTACATATAATTTTCAAAAAAATGAAAATATTGTTAAAAATTAGCAAAAAATATCGCAGTAAATAGGCAATGTAGATAATAATTTTAAATAGTAGCAAATATAAGAGGAATAATTTAGAAGCTAAACCTCATGTATACCATTATATTTTTATCTATTTTAGTTAGGGCCTCGCCTTGTAAATTCCTTCTGTTTTATTGAGGCAATTATGATTATAATGGGTAAAATTAATTCTATAATTGGAATAATAATATGTAAAATTTTTGTTAAACACTGTATTTTCAAGGCAATCAACATCGAAATATAAAGATCCATGACCTAAAGATAGGTGGTATAAAGAATATTAAGTTATAAATAAAACAGTAATGAAACTACCTAAAGGGCTACTAGAATATTAAAGGAAACTAAAAGAATTCTGAGAATCAAGAGAATAGTAATAATAATAGCACTAATAATACAAAAATTACCAAAGTATTTTTCATGAATCATGTATACTATCAACTTAAATTCAATGAAGTTCATAACTCCAATTTTTGCACATATTTCACTATAAAACAGGTAAAAACCAGCGAATTGCGTGGGCGATCTTTTGCGGTCGAGATGATTAAACATCTCTCGGCCTTTTGACGTAAAACCTAGCGCGGAAACTTCCTCGAGAAGCATTAAAAAAATCGGAAATTCGTTTCGGATGTAAGCACATACGAAGAGCAGAATTTGAGGAACATTCCCAGCGGTGGTGGGGCCGTACGAGTACTACGTTATTGGAAACCACTGTTTTATCGTCGTGACGTACTCGCTATATCCGCGCGATTTCCTTTACTCGCGGTCGCACTGAAGCGATATTTTTTCGAATAAATATCCATAATGCAAGGCTGATGTTTACATTTTTAAGATGTCGCCGGCAGCGAGGAGGTGCATGTGGAACGTGTGTGCAGCCATCGTCATGTTAGATTCCGGTAAGCTTCTAAATTTATCGAAAGATTTAGCCCATTATCAAGTACCTATCGACATTTATGCGTTCGTGTAAATTTATCGCTGATTGCACTAATTGATTTGATTAGTGAACAAAACTGTTTTAAACATTTCGTAACGTTTTGTAAACATGCACAGGTATGAGTGAATAAAGATAACAATACTTGTTGAAATTGTTATCAGCTAAAATTAGCACACAAAAATCATAACGATTATTTTTTAAAATAACTACAATTTTCTTTTTTAAAAATAAATGGATAAAATGAAATAAACTAATAGTTTAACGAAATGAACAATTTTTTTGTTTTAATAGGGAATCTCTTATGCTTCTTTTTACAAAAATAGATGTAAATCTGCCAGTTAACAAGTGAAAGATTATTTTGATTTAAATTTTTTTACAGGGTGTTCCTAAACATCGTGCACATGCGAAAGAGGGTAAATCTTTAGCTTTCATGAAATAAGCCAAAAAATTACCCCCGGATGTGCACGATGCTTAAGAACACCCTGTACATACCTGAAAATAATTGGCCTACTTTCATATTTTTAAGTACCACAGATAATAATTTCCTTGAAATATAAGGTGAATAAAGTAATCAAAACAAGCCATCGCCTTAAAAAAACGTCTGGCGCTGAATTAGCATAAATATCTTTTATTTTAATAAGTAAATGACAAATTTGTTTTCAGTTTACTGTTTACAATGTTTCGAATGCACGTTGTCGCAGGAAGGCTGTGAGGACCCGACCAAGTACAATATTCCCACTGTGGACTGCAAAAAATCACTTTTCACAATTGTACCCGATAATGTGCAAGCTCGCATGAGAGGTACCCAAGGTGATGACGATTTCGAATGCCTTACTACCATAGAGAGTAAGTAATTAGTTGATTGAAAAGGGATTATTTTATAATGTAGAATTGCAGTAAATCAATGATCAAAGTCGTATCAAAACCATGCCATAACACAAATTAACTAAATTAAAAAAATCGAGTGTATTGACCTATTCATTTTCGGTTTTTGAATCGAAGTAATCAAGATAATCGTCGGACGGATGTGTAAAACTCAACGATTCAACGATTTTTTGCGGTAAACGGTTTTTGCGGCCGATTATATCGGCTGCTTTTGGTCTAATTTTCATATTATATGTATATTAATGGAGATAACATGCTAAGGACTGTTTACACGAGAAAAACACCTTGAATCCTTACTAAAAAAATATTTTCAACTGTCATACGTCTAGAATCATATGTCATGTGTCACATGTCTCATGTCAAGTGTCTCATGTTTTATCAATTCAAATATTCCAGTGCTTTTCATTGTTCAATTTTTAACTTCAATTTCAAGAAGAACGTTGATTTGTAAACTTTAAGTTTTATTTATAATTTTTTTTTTCAGAAAATTCCACTCACCGTTTCTACACGAGGCGGTGCGCCCTGAGGAGGGAACAAATCCTTTGCGAATTGCGCTCGAGGAATAATTATGATTTAGAATTCGAGAAATGCTCGTTGTGCGATAAAGACTACTGCAACTCTTCGAGTGAACGTAGAATTAATGTTGTTTTTATTTATTTATTGTCAGTATTAACCGTCGTAAAATTCGTTGTAAGAATAAATTATTAATATATGGTGTACCTATCTTTTTTTGAGTACCAGTATTTTAAGCGATAGACTCAAAGGATTATTATAAGCATGTTGGTTTAGGATCATATGTATGTATTAATCATTTCGTCTCTGTCGGATCGAGTAGGATCAATTCTAAATACATCTGAGAAAAAGTTAGCTAAAACTTGTAATATAGTAGGTAATGCATTAAAACTTAATTAACTATACAGGTTGTATCTTAATATCACCGAAAAAATTTAAGGGGTGATTCTGTGATGAAAATTAAGGCGGGACCTGGTATAAATTAAAAAAAAAATGTATTTTTTTTGTTGAAGTTTTTGAGAAATAAAAATAAAAAATAAAAAATAGAAATAGAAATAGAAATAGAAATAAAAAAGTTAATAAATGTATTGGGTGGGCTTTTCAGACATATTTTTGTTAAATAAAAATTTTTATCTAAAAAAAAGTAAGAAAAAAAGTTTTTTAGGGGTGACTATTTTAACCAAGCATACTTCAGTGTTGAAAAAAATTCAAAATGTGTAGTTTCACTGATAAATATACAGGGAAAATAAAGATGAAAAACCTTTTTTTTTAATTTTCGGAGGGGTATGACTTTTCCGTGGAGGGGTTTAAAAAAAATGATACAAAAAGTACCCGCCTTAATTTTCATTCCAGAATCGCTTCCTAATTTTTTTCGGTACTATTTAGATACACTCTGTAAGAATCAAGAATAAGAATCAAGTGTTAAATCAATATTTTTTTAGTAATTTCCTTTTTTTAGATACTATTCATATTATTGTAGGTTGGTACAGGTAAATTTTATCTTTCCAGAGTGAAATTAACGGTACGTAGAAGTGTACACACACCTAATTGATTACAAAATACCACGATTAAATCTAATCTTTTCAAGGAACGAAAAATTTGTTGAGTAAAAATAACGTCAGAATTAAATACAAGTATCGACTGATAGGCAAATTAACAAATATATTGAAACTGCAGAAAGCACCAGTAAATAGAAGATTACGTCCTCTTATTACAACAGTAGAGTGTACGGTTGATTACAGAATTGATTCTGCTTTCCAGCACATCGAAGATATGAATGTATATTTCAAAATATTACTTTGTACAATTTTTCTGTACAATTGTGGTAAATTTCAACTTTATTCCATTGTATTACATTAAATTGTTTAATATTTATTTTCTATAAGGTATATGTTCCGGAGTTCATCAATGTTGGTTTTGCATGTCAGAAAAATGCAATGATCCCTTCAATTCTTCAGTTGCCGTGAATTTAACATGTTCAAGCCAACGTCAATATTCTAATCTTCACGGCGAAGGGAACAACAAACATGCGTTTTTAAAGTCTAACGGATCAGACTACGTTTGCATGAAAGCAGTTTCAAAAAACGGAACCGGTAAGTTCATTAAAATAGTCTTAAGGGCGGTCCAGACACAACGTTTTATCGAACAACTTATCGAATCAGACAAGTCGTATCAAGTAAAACGAATTTGAATTTTTTAATTCAAATAAAATGCCTTTATTTCTTTTTTTAATGTATCTATCGAAGTCGATAGATAAGCAGCTGATAAAAATCGGTCTCGTTGTAAAAACCAGAGAGAGAGATGGTCTTATATAGATATAGTAAAATAGATAGAGACAGCAGTATAAATTTACTCGCGTAAATATTCGCAGTTTAAAGTGAAACTGGCCAATTTTCAATAAAGCGGTAAAAACATCGATACTTTTATTCGAGACCGAATTTTCAACATTATTCTAGCCACTATTAGCATGTGCCGCAACTTTTTATTTGTTTTCGACTTAAACGAGTAGTCGTGGTCAGTTATTTTGAAACTATACTGTAGGTGGCGACGATTTTCTCCACCAATTATTTCTATTTCATAAGAAAAATATGTCATATTTTTTTCTTATCAATGCTTATAAACTCGTTTTGTTAAATATGTCGAAAACGATTATGTTTACTGGATAATTGTGGTAAACTTTTGCATTTTTTTAGGTTCTGAGAGTACTATTCGAGCTTGTGTTACTCGTAATATTGATCACTGCCAACAAATGAAAGATTATTCAGGATTGACTGTAAAATACTGTTCGACGTGCGATGGTGACTTATGTAACTCTGCAATCGAATGGAAGTCGTCATTTTCTGTTGCAGTTGCAGTGATATTAACATTATTGTGTTTTTTTCTGGACTAAATAAAAAGCATCTTAAATGGTTATTTTGATTTATTTATTATGTATATTAAAGTTTAAAAATATGATAACAATTGCCTACGATTACATAATAATATAATATTAATTGAATTGGAAGTGTCATATTTTTTTTAAAAGAAAACTTTTCATTTAAAAATGTTTTATGGGTTGATTATTTCAACAACTTCTAAGCATACTTCAGTATTAAAAAAAAATTAAAATGTGTAGTTTCATTGACAAAAAATACTGGGTGTTCCAAAAAGGTTGTGCCAAACTTAAGTAGGTTATAGGGGACATTGTGGTGAACAATTTTTGCAAAGATACCCCTAGTCAAAAATGAACCGTTTTGGCTCCAGTCATTTTTGTTTAAAATGTTGTTCTTGTGTATAGGTTCACTGTATAGGTACCCAAAGTTTCGTATCTTAAGCTTTATATTCAGGGAAAGTAAAAAAGGAAAACCTTTTTTTTTAATCTTCGGAGGGGTATAACATTATTTATTTAGATATTTTACCTACTGTTTTTAAGCACTATTTTTTGCTTTGTCGTTAAATTTTACTTTTCCAGAGTTAAATTAACGGTACGTAGAAGTGTACAAATAATTGATATAATATTACGATTAAACTTAATCTTTTTTGGGGAACGAAAATTCCCAGAATTTGGTTGAGTAAACATAACGTCAGAATTAAATATAGGAACCTGAAATGAGAACTGATAGGTAAATTAACAAATATATTGATAACTGAAAGCACTAATAAATAGAAGCTTACGTCCTCTTATTACAACAGTAGAGTGTACGGTTGATTACAGAATTGATTCTGCTTTCCAGCACATCGAAGACATGAATGTGTATTTCAAAATATTACTTTGTACAATTTTTCTGTACAATTGTGGTAAATTTCAACTTTATTCCATTGTATTACATTAAATTGTTTAATATTTATTTTCTAGGTATATGTTCCGGAGTTCATCAATGTTGGTTTTGCATGTCAGAAACATGCAATGATCCCTTCAATTCTGGAGCTGCCGTGAATATGACATGTTCAAGCCAAAGTCAATATTCTAATCTTCATGGCGAAGCGAACAAACATGCCTTTTTACAGTCTAACGGATCAGACTTCGTTTGCCTGAAAGCGGTTGCAAAAAACGGAACCGGTAAGTTCATTAAAATAGTCTTAAGGGCGGTTCAGACACAACGTTTTATCGAACAACTTATCGAATCAGACAAGTCGTCTCAAGTAAAACGGCGCGTGTGAACCACAAAAAACGTACGATTTCGATCATGCAAGGCCACCCTTAAATAAATATACGTTGGGATCCTAATAACTGACTGTAGTGAAACTGGTCAATTTTTAATGAAGCTGTAAGAACATCGATACTTTTATTCGAGACCGAAATTTTAACATTATTCTATAGCCACTATTAGCATGTGCCGCAACTTTTTATTTGTTTTCGACTTAAACGATTAGTCGTGGTCAGTTATTTTGAAACTATACTGTAGGTGGCGTCGATTTTCTCCACCAATTATTTCTATTTCATAAGAAAAATATGTCATATTTTTTTCTTATCAATGCTTATAAACTCGTTTTGTTAAATATGTCGAAAACGATTATGTTTACTGGATAATTGTGGTAAACTTTTGCATTTTTTTAGGTACTGTGGGTACTATTCGAAGTTGTATTTCACGAAATTTGAATTACTGCCAAGAACTTAAAAAATCAGGTTTAACTGTACAACACTGTTCGACGTGCGATGGTGACTTATGTAACTCTGCAATCGAATGGAAGTCGTCGTTTTCTGTTGCAGTTGCAGTGACGTTAACATTATTGTGTTTTTTTCTGCACTAAATAAATAGCATCTTAAATGGTTATTTTGATTTATTTATTATGTATATTAAAGTTTAAAAATATGATAACAATTGCCTACCATTACATTATAATATTAATTGAATTGGAGTGGAAACTTAAAATTGCACGAAAGAAGAATTTAAAAAATTCGCTATTATAGCAAACCCCAATTTGTGATACATCATTGAGAAGCCTGTAAAAATTCTATCCAATTCTATAAATATTAATTGTACAGAGAGAATCAATATTTGTGAAACATTTTGCCTTAAATGCAAAATTTAATGAAGCATGCGAAAACACCATTGAACCATTAATTGTGCAATAATTAGATGCAATCTAGCTCTAGATGAACATTTTCTGCCCTTCCAACAAGATAGAGCACCTCCTCACTAATGCATCTGCATTTATTGGCACTGGTTGGATGCTAATTATCCTAACAAATGGATTTGAAGGAGAGATTTTATTGAGTGGCCACCAGGATCACCAGACTTAACGACACCTGTTTTTTATCTATAGCGTTACCTCAAGTCATTAAATTTTACTTATACGGCAAGATTTCACAATATATTTGGTGATTGGAAGCAATATATTTGCAATATATTTGGTGATCCCTTTGGTTCTCTAATTCATGCACAATTAATGGTTCGATGGTGCTTTCAAACTTCATTAAATTGTGCATTTAAGGCATAGTTTCACAATTATTGATTCACCCTGTACAATTAATAGTTATATTCTGGATAGCATTCTTTATAGGCTTTTCAATAATGTACCAAAAGTTGGGGTTGCTAATTAAATTTATACTGTTGGGGTACGTGGCACCTAAGGAGTTGATGGGAGTGAATTCCTCTCGGTTTACAAAAAGTAATATATGGTTGAAAACATTTTAGAGAAACTAACATTCGTAATTTTTCAGCAATTCCTAAATCAAAAAAGTTCTGTGGACGGCTACCATGAAAAACCCTTTATAAATCATTTAGGCATCTATTGAATCATCATGAGTTGAATCATTTGTATTTAAGAAAGCCGAAAAAACCCGACATACACAATATCTAAATACTCGAAAGTAGGTAATTCATCCGTTAAATAAGCTAATATTAACACACAAAAAACAATTAAATGTAATAAAGCAAACCTATTGATAACATTTATCGTAACGGGGTGTGTGTTAGTATAAAAACTTACTAACCCAGAAAATTATCATCACTTCTTTTAAAGTATACATTTAGTTATCACCAAAGGAAAAATCTACGAAAATGGGCCATTACGCCAAAATCCTATTTTGCACAATTCTTTTGTACAGTTACGGTAAGTTGATAATTCAATAGATAATTCTCATTTTGTGACTTTTCCTGTAAACTTATCAAATAGGCTAATTTCTCAAATTTATTTGCAGCTGCTTCCAAAGTGTCCAAATGCTATTACTGCTTATTATCAGATAAATGTAACGATCCTTTCAATTCTACTTTCGCCACTGTATTGAACTGCTCCAATCCCAGCACTTACAAAACTCTCAGTATGGATAACAACAACGGGTTCAATGGAAATCGGCAACTTTTGCAGAGATTGGATCAAAACGATGATTACGTTTGCGTTAAATACGTTATAAAAAGTAAGGCATACCTATTTTTTATTAATTCTGATTAAATTTTCATGGTTATTCGAGTTATTGGGATTTTACTGCGAATCCCTAGTTGGAGCTTTTAAGTTGCATGAATCGTTTATATACATATTTAACAATATTAATTGTAGCTGTTTGTAAATAAGTAAATTTAACATTTTTTATTCATAGATAGTGCACAAGTTGCTGATGGTGTAGTAACAGACCGAAGATGCATGCAAAGATATTCCAGCAGCAACGTAGCTGCTTGCGATCAAGTAAAACAAGCCATGGGTACATCTTCGACTTTAATGTCTTGTTCGACTTGCGACAATGATTTGTGTAACTCCGCCATTAGATGGAATTCTTTGTCTTCTTTGACGGCTGCAGTAGCGGCTGTTTTTGTTTTTATCGGTTTGATTTGGTAGTGAAATATGCTATAATTACCTAAAATATTTAAGCCAATTATAACAGTATTAAGTATTATAAATAAATTATTTTTTTTTCTTAAAATATCTTTTAATTATACATAATCTGAATCTATTACTCTGAAACTGCTCTGAGTCTACAATGAACTACCACTGCAAATCTCCTACTTGTTAATTTCCGAAAATTAAGGAATTTTTGAGATTTATATTGCAACTCCAGGTTCCTTAGAAACGGTTTATTCATATTTATTTCAGGATTACGTGATTGAAGAAAATTTAATATGATTAAGGTGTTTTTGGTGATTTAAGACTCAATTGAAAATGCTGATGAAAGCCGCACCTTTAAGAAAACTACATATTACAGAAAACAAAGATTCTATTTTATTGAGTACTCGTCATCTAAAGTTTTACTGATACTTGCTTACACCCATTTTCTATATCATGTATTAGTAATTTACTAAGATAAGCATGTCATAAAATTCAAATATTTGCTCTATATTCTCGAAACAAAAAGTGAATCATAAAAACGTTGCCTTAAAAATGTTTTTCAATGACTGGTTACACAGTTAAACAATTAAACCCAATCTTATCTTTTCTTATTATTTTAACCACAAATCTAATAAAAATTTAGCGATTATTATCTACACAATCTACTCTAAGTTGATATAATACCAGGAAATATCAAACAAACTGATCAACAAATTTACAAAATCCACCTCAACACATCCATCAAACAGAAATCCATATGAATTTAAGGCGTCAAAAAAAATCTACCCGTCTGTAGATATTTCAACGTCCTTCACCTTTATCAATTCACCGAGAGTGTTTATCAGCAGTAAGTTGCATTCTTCCGGCGTGTAATTCTACATTCGGCGCTCCGGAGACGCTCCTTCGCGGCGGAGAAAGGCAGCGCCGCGACGGCGATCACGTGACGGGGCGGCTTCTGCGATGCATGTATCACAGACGTACGTATCTAAAGAGGGAGAAGCGCTTGCGTCGTCGTAGCGACGCTGATAGGGGTGATTCCCGTAGGCACTCTAAAATCTACTGGTCGATTTCATATGGGTTATTAAAGATTTAAATATGGAAAAAACAAATTGGTTAAAAATAATATGAGATTATGCTGAAGTGAAGTTACCTGTGAAATGTTTAATTTCTACAAAAGTACATACTGAACGCTATAAATAATCATTTGTAAAATGTTTGTAAGGTTGGAAATGTAAAAAAGAACATGTAATTCTCACTTATTTTGTACCAAAAAGTTAAATTAAAAGAGAACTGTCAATGTGTCAAAAGGATTTAAATAGCAGTGCTGCCAACTTTATTAATACCAAAATTTAACCAATAGGAGAAAAACAAAAATCGAACATTACCTAATTATACAACTAATTATAAATTTTTTCAACAAACATATACTTTATTAAATAAAAATTACATAAACGGATTAACTTATTCATTGCTTCACCCTGAATATGCAGACACGTTCAGCATCCGACGTGGCCCGATCGTCACCGAATGGCACGTACGTCGCAGCTTCATCGACCGGCGCAGCCACGGAGCACACCGAGCACAAAACAAAACAGTTCGTTCGCCGATGTCGACGGGGTCAGCGTGTACCAGTCGTTGCGTCGTCGAGCCGGTAAATGGGAACAAAAATGTCTATCGGTTGCTGTTGTTTCTAATGTCTGCGTTTGCGAAATGGCTTCACGTTTAGGCGTTCGTCTGCGCGCCTAAAACTGGTAAATCTCGGTTCTTGTTTTGGTGCTTTTCTGTCGAAAAAACGGGCAACGCGATTCATGGTGGTTTTTTACTGTGCGAAAGTGTACTGTGAACAAACAAGCGGTTTTATTGTTGAGGATTTCGAGGATTGTTTGGAGTTATATAAGGTGAGGGTTTGTATTACTTCGGCCAATGATTTAGTTTTAATTGCCAATAAGAATTGTGCAGGTAAACAAAAAGTTGCGTCCAGAGTTAACTCAATTAATTTGTTACTTTGGCAATTAAAGATTCATCATGTAGGCATATTTTCGAATTGTAATGGCGTAATCTACCTTTAGCAATTAACACGTTGCGTAAATTGTTAATGTACATAAATACAATTTAATAATCAGCAAAAAAACTTGATTAATAAACGATGGAGAATTAGAAAAAAAATGCTAATTTTTACAACCTACTCACAATTATTAAACATATTCTTGCAAAGGTAGAAATAATATCATATTACTTATCATAAGTTTCGGTATCGACGATTTGGTTTCGAAATTATCTGAAACGTGCAGAGAAGAAGCATCAAATTCTGATAATGTACAATGTAAATAAATTAGAATACCGCTCAGTCATAATACTGGTAAACAAATTTTATCTACAGACTCGTCTATATCTGGGTCAACGTACTTTGAATATTAACGCACCTTGTATTTAATTATTAAAATACTTGTATTAAATTCTACGTAATTCTACAGCAGAGTTGTTTGGATAATAGATTTATTCTATTTTCATGTATCTATTATTTATTACCCTAAAATATACCAGATAGTTTAGGTATACTAAATAGTGTACCTATCTGTTTCCTTCCTTCCTAATAGGTGTTCCAAGAAAGACAAGAGAGTAACATTCTCATAGAAACAGAGTTCTTGAGTTGCTCATTTTGTTCTGCTGGTAACTTCACAAATTAAAAGATAGCACCTACACGTCTAGTTTATTTTCCGTTCATGGAATATACATAGATTGCCCGAAACAGTACATTCATCATACTGATGGGATTCGCTCTTCTTCACTATACAGTTACATACATTTTTTCCCTGTCTTTTTTTTTTTCATATCAAATCAACGGCAACAAAGGTTCTCGTTTTAACCGCGGCGGAGTAAAGGTGTATTCATACTATCATGCACTGAACGTTTCGGGCACGGAACGTATCGGTTCAGACAATCGTAAGACGCATTCATACTATCAGGCACTAAACACTTCGGACACGTAACATATCGGTTCATTTTGTAGTAGTCTTTCGAAGTTTTCGCCAGTTTTGCAAGTTCAATAGAGAGCAAACGTGAAAAGAAAAAATCGTGGCTAAATTATGGAACAAAAAAGAATTATTTGCTATTACACTACTTGATGAAGAAGAAAGTAATGACAAGAACCAACGAAAAAGACGCTTTAGTGTTCATAAAATGTTAAAAAATAGAAAAATAGAGGGAGAATTTTTCGCGAATTAATTCTAGGAGCTTTTTCAAATTCATTTTGGGTAAAACAAACACAAGAAATCTTGCTGCCTGATACAAAATAAGTAGCCGATTGCCGAATCCGAGCCGAATCGAAGCTGGATGCCAATTCATACTATGCGTTCAGACACGGACATGCACGGAGCATTTCGGCAAAATATTGTCTCCAAGAATACGGAACGTAACGAAACGAAACCGAACGCATCGGATACGATTCGTGCCGTAAAGTATGAACAGAGCCATTAGACACCATATAAAAATATTATGCCGAACCGATACGTTACGTGCCCGAAACGTTCAGTGCATGATAGTATGAATACACCTTAATGCTAAAGATATTTCGCCGGAGGGCCAGTGCGAGCGGAGTGGAGCAAAAACCTTGAAAACAAAATCGAAATGCAATTACAAACGCAGTCCTCTTACCGGGCTTTGCGGCCAGGTGCATCTTTCCTAATAGCAGCGTTGTCAAATCGGGCACAGGACGAAAGTTCCGGGAAATGGGTTTCTTATTGTACGTGCATAAGCCCATTTAATAAACCATGCGACAGTATCTATGTAGTTTCTTAATTCATTACTACTGTAGTTGTTGAAGTTTGCATTTAAAACTTTTAACATATGAAAGTACTGGAACTGGATTAAAAACAATCTGTAAATAGAACATAATTCAGAACTACTTGAGAATTACAGTTGTGCTAAAATAAAATTTCTGATGATCATTTATGTTTCTATTGGAATAATTTATTTCTTGTTTTTCATCGAAACTGAACTGACCATTAAATTCGTTCAAACAAACATAAATAACTTCTAACATAAGAAACTAAGTATACCTAAAATTTAGTGCCTACACGTCATTAAAACCATTCCTTCCTTACTAAGTATTTCTTTGTGTTTTATACGATTTCCAGGTTTTATACCGGCAACATAGCAAACTGGCCGGCTATATTACAGCGTTTAAAATCCGACGCGAACGCCGCCGGAATTTCAAGTGGACTCGGTAATACTTTCCATTGATATTCTCGGTTTGTCATAAACTGACCTTATCCATTTCTATTACATCACCTAAACAGCATTTTTATTACAATTGTGTGTACACACACAGTAACTGGAATCCACCCACGGACGACGTTCGACACGGTTAAATTGTTACCGGGGCAATTGCCGTAACAAATGAGACGATAAGAGTGCACGAAAAATGTATTAGAAGTTACTCAACGCATACTTGAGTACTTACTTTTTAAACAACATGAGAAAGCTCGTTGAAACCTTTACTTGTGATATGTTTTTTGTTCTGTTAATATACAGGGTGGCCCAGGATTCACTCCCCACCAGGAAAAGGCCTTATGGAAATGACAATGGAGATGCCAAAACTGCAGCCGAAGACATGAAATAGTTATTCCTTTGGTAAATAAAGAGGTTTAAAATCAAGCAATCGCAGTAATAGCTGAATTTCAAGAAAATTATGTGCATGAGCTTTAACAATTTAACATTATTGAGGTCTGATCCGAATATGTATACAGCCACCTGAAAGCATGGAAATGATTATAATATATGGAGAAAGTGGATGAAACGCACGAGAAGCTGCTAAAAGATTTTCCCGAAGGATGAGTTATCTTGTGATCATCCTTTTATTTTTACAAGCAAATCTTTGATCAGTAATCGTAGCTGATTTTGACAGCTTGAAAGTGAAAAGGAATCTTTCAATTAAGTCAAATTATTGGTAAAGCAAATTTACGTCAATTTCGTGGATTTGAACTGCTACTGGGGTTGGTCGATTTTAAACCTCTTTATTTACCAAAGGAATAACTTTTTCATGTCTTCGGCTGCAGTTTTGGCATCTCCATTGTCGTTTCCATACGGCCTTTCC